TTTTTTTTTTTTTTTTTTTTTGGGCGATGAAAATTTAGCAGGGCTACTTAAGAGCTTGCATTTGTCCTACTACTTGTGGTAAGAGGGGAAAGTCTCCGTGGCTCAACTATGAGATGTATACAGCCCACCACAGAGTGATAATACAATACTAAATCTCATGCAAAATGACATGTACCATCACATATTTGGCTAGCCAGCCGTTGATGTGCTTGAAAGTAATGTCATGGCGAACCATTCTGCATAATGTTCAGCCTTGAAGGGCGTTCAGCCAGCCACGCAGTATATGAGGCACACTTGAACAAGTCACAATCACCATGCAGCATATAATGATATAAAAATGCGTGGTTCAATTAAATTGCACCACAACGTATTTCTGCGAGGTATTCGGCTGAGGTCTTCAGGGTTCCAGATGAATGGCGACCACCTACCTCTCCTTCGATACAAAAGCTCGCTATTCCACCGTCCTGCAGACCTACATATACAAGGTCTTCTAACAATTTAGTGAAAAATATAATCATTAACTCGCCATGATTACCGCAGGCGAATTAGTCCCAAAAATACCACGCTGCCGAAAATGCAGCTACAAAAGCTCTGGATGCTGCCCGGATCCTTGACAGGAGACTTCCCGGAGATGATAGGGGCAATCAAGAGCTTCGGCGTCATCTGGAGGAGACATATAACCGAGGCCATGACAATATTCTGTACAGTATGGCTGATTGAATCGAACCAATTGAGCAGAAACATCGCGGCGACTGGATAACATCGGGCTATAGACCTGAGGATATCAAGTTTGGAGATGCGGGTCATTCAAAAGCGGTCGAATAGATCAATAGGAATATTATTAGACCAGCCGAGGAACTTGCACGCCGAGGGACTTGCACGCCAGAAGGGCTGATTATTTGGGATCACATATTTGATCGAGATAACTAGTTATGTTAGTTATGTTATGCACATAACTTACATAAGCAAGCATAACGCACGTGATTGCGCACGGACTACCCCGCATTAGGCAAGTGCACAAAGTGATGCTAACAATCAGGCCCCTCATTACTATATTTCGCAGCGTGCATATTGGCAGGGGGAAGAGGCTATCTCGCTTGATAACGCATTGAATCTCTATTGTATGTAGTATGAGAGTAACGGGTGTCGCTGAAACTGCAGAATCTTCGCGAACCTTCTTCGATTGGCCGAGCGTTTTCAGGTCACGTCACACGTCACCGCTGGGGACTGGAACTGTCGCTTGTTCGTCTTAACTTGTTTTCACTCTTCTTTCTTAATATATCATTTTCTTCTGCGCTGTGTTGAGTGCTCCATCAAAGTGACTACATAGTACAGACATACCCGAGTATTACGAACTGCGTCAAATCAAGCAAGTCGTCTCGAATCTTCGCCGTCATTCGGGATCGTCCCAGACCGCACTTCGACACTGCGAACTTGTGGTTTTAACACCCGCTGGTCAACTGAACAGTTGTCGGTATCGCAAACGCTACAACAATTGAATTAACACCATGGTTGCGGAATCGAAATTGTATGATGCGTTAGGCGTCAAGCCCGATGCATCGCAGGATGATATCAAAAAGGCATACCGGAAATGCGCGCTGAAGTACCATCCGGACAAGAACAAAGATGATGCTAGTGCAGCGGAGAAATTCAAGGGTGCGTCTCTTTTTTTTTTTTTTTTTTTTTTTTTTCAAATAAAAAGTGTGAATTTACTAACAACATATAGACGTCTCCCAAGCCTACGAAGTCCTCTCCGATCCCGAGAAGCGTAAGGTCTATGACCAGTTCGGTCTCGAATATCTCCTCCGCGGCGGCCCTGCACCATCACCAGGCGGTGGTGCCGGAGCATCGCCCTTCGACGGCGGAATGCCCGGTGGTTTCGGGTTCGGTGGAGGCATGCCCGGTGGTGGTGGTGCGCGGTCATTCCATTTCTCGAGCGGTCCCGGCGGCGGCGCCAACGGCTTCCGATTCAGCTCCGCGGACGACATCTTCAAGAACTTCGCCAAGGCTAGTGGCGGTGGAATGGGTGGAATGGACGATGATGATATTTTCTCGATGCTGGGTGGTGGTTTTGGCGGAGGCGGCGGCGCTGGTCGTGGCTTCAGGTCGGGGGCTGGCGGTCGCGGGCCGGGTTTCCAGCAATCGCGGCGCGCTCCTACGCCAGAACCGACTGTGGTGGAGAAGGAGTTGCCGTTGACGCTTGAGGAGCTTTTCCGGGGGACGGCTAAGAAGGTTACTACGAAGAGCAAGGCCTTTGATCCTAGCGGGAAGCGGACTGTGCAGGATGTGACATTAGAAGCGAACATCAAAGCTGGTCTGCGGACGGGATCCAAGATCAAATATAAGGGTGTTGGGGATCAGGAAGAAGGTGGTCGGCAGGATGTCCACCTTATTGTGACGGAGGTAAGCTATCCTTAGCCTAGGCTTTCAGGAATCCGCGCTAACAAGCCTACAGAAAGAGCACCCCAACTTCAAACGCCAAAACGACCATCTGATCACAACGGTTGAAATCAGCCTCAAGGAAGCCCTCACCGGCTGGGAGCGCATCGTGCGCACAATCGACGGCAAATCGATTCGCGTCTCGAAACCAGGTCCTACACAGCCTGGCCACGAAGAACGATTCCCCGGCTTGGGTATGACGATATCCAAGAAGCCGGCTGAGCGCGGTGACTTGGTTGTCCGGGTCAATGTACGGTTCCCGGCCAGCCTGACCCCATCGCAGAAGGACGTTCTGAGGGATGTCCTACCATGATTTCTCTATTTCCTTTGTATTATGGTTTAGCATTATTTTGGCGTTGCGGTGTGCGAGCGATGGTCGATACTCAATTCCTGGATTGATACTTTTGTTTGAATGAAATGGATTGTGTTTTATATATACACCATGTATAATAGCGAAGACAACCCGTGTTTTGATTGCGAAGTAGTTATATGCACCTGCTCAATGATATGACGAATTCAAGCCAGCTTATCTTATCAGCATAGCCCGATCGGGTGCGGAGAAGCATCCGAACAGCTCAGCTCACCAAAACACCTCCAACACCTCTACACTACACTACATTACACTCAATCCAGTGACAGCAGAATGAAACGAAGAATCACCTTTATTCAACCCCCCAACGCCCCCTTCTCCCCCGACCAAGCCGTTCTCACCCCCGACGCCCTCTCAGTCACCAACCTCGATGCTGTCCGCGAAGAACGGCTCACCGTTAGCTATGATGAGTTGCCAGACGATGTGCTTCCCAACCATACTAGGGGCTATAGACGATTGGATAAATACTGATTGGTGATAGATACGCACAGTCATAGACCAATACCAAGCAGTCCACATCCGCTGGGCCACAGAACAGTCGCACAAAGCTCCCGCGCCATTGGCGAGTAGGATCTCGTCGGGTTTGCATGTTTTTGTTTCTGGGGAGAAGCGTGCTGAGGGGTGAGATTTGATATATTTTCTTTGCGGTGGTGGGGATGTCTTGCTGATTGTTGAGCGGTGTGTAGGGAAGATGCACTATGTCCACTGCTGAAGAGGATGTTTGGGGAGGAGGTCGATTGTTTGAGCACTGAGGTTTGTACACTCGAATCACAAAGTTCATTAATGGAATGGGGATGCAATGCTAATTGATATAGAAATCATTCATAGAGCCGCCGATCCTTTCAAAACGGTTCTCCTCCACCGCTGATTTGTACTACTACAGCGTCCTCTCCTTTGCAACTCCGCTGGTCGATTATATCAAAGATAACATCTGTGCCAAACTGCCCAGATGGTCCGACTCATCGTACGACTGCATAGAACTCGCATCGTCGCTGTTCGCAGACACATTTGATATCAGCTATGATGGCATCTCGCATGTCCTGACTGTGTCGGCGGTGTCGAGTAGAGCACCTGGCGACGGGGAATGGTCGCAAAGAGTTGCGAAGCCGGAGGGTAATGGTAATGGTGGAAGGGAGGGGATTGATCAGGTTGAGGTTGGGTTATTGACGACGGAGAAGGCGGCGGAGGCGGAGGATATTAAGATGGGTGGGTTGTTGGGTGTTGTGGGGAGGGATGAGAAGCTGAGTATGTTCATTTCCTACCTGAAAATTTATTCTGAGATATGCTAATGAGTGCAGAGCCGACGATGTTCTCCTTCCCATCGCGGCATCATGCTCTACCAGATGACGCAACGTATTTGGCTTCCTTCTCCCATCCAAAAGGCCTCCATCCGACAATGACACTTTCCCTCTCTCCGTCAGCGCTGAAAGAACCCCCCGCCCCGGCAGACGCAACCTGCGCGCTGCATACATATCTCACCCTCCCATCATCCATATTCGGCGACAAATACCAACTCTCCACGACAGACCCGCTCTTCCTCCAATCGCACAATCTAGCCGCCCTCCGCGCCGTCTTCGGCGAAACAGACCTTGAAGCACCAGATTGGGCCGTCGACCGGTGGGGCTCAAACTGGTTACTCGAGCTTGCTACCCCGGAGAACCTTGACGCGGTGACAAGCGAATGGAACGTAACTATCCCGCTACACTTGCGCTACCTGCCCCCCTCCGAGTCCGGATACCGTACTATACGGGTCCCATGGCCGGTTGTCTTCTGGGCGTGCACGGCCGAAGGAGGGACGAAGATGGGGATTAACCCGTTTGACCGGGTGAATCTGGGTTGGGAGGGGTTGTTTGGGCCTCGGACGATGTTTTACCAGGTGCATCCTAGTGATGAGGATGTCTATCTTTACGAGAAGGTGACTGTCCCTGTTTTGCAGTTGGATGAGAAAGAGGGATTGTTCCGGAGTAAAACGATCGAGCTTGGTACGGTTGCGGTTATTGTGCTTGGATTTCTGTGGGTGTTGTTGAAGCTTGGGTTGGTGTCTTCGTCTTCGGGAAAGAAGAGTAAGCAGGGGAAGACTGAATGAGCTGTTTTCCAACCCCTATACCCAGACGTTCTTATAACATGAACATAGTTCAGATAATTTAAGAGACTAAATCCCCATCTCCGGCAACGGCCAAGGTACATCGGTAGTAAGAAATTGATCGAGATCGAAATTCTGCAAACTCGGCATATCAATCATTAAATCGCCCAGCCACGAGAACTCAGAGTGTGTCGGCAGTGGCACACCGTGCGCGTGCGCGTGTGCGTGCGCATGGTTGATATGATTGCTCTCAGCAGTAGAAGTAGATGCACCATCGTAAAAGTTCGCAGTAGCGTCATCAGGCGCAGCAGCAGCCTGCTGATGAGCATGAGCATGAGTACGAGCAGGCGCTGGCGCAGAAGCAGAAGCAGAAGCAGCAGCGTGATGCGGTGTCAATAGCGATGCAACGCTGTTGACCTGCAACACATCCCCAATGACCCTTGTATCTTCTTCTTTCCGTCGCTGGTGTAGCAGGATAAGCAGGTATGCTGTGCTGTATGCCTCCCGCATGACGTCTGTGTCGTATGCAGCGGCAACTTCGCCGAGGGTCTGCATTGCGTCGCCCAACAAGGCTAGGGACTTGCGGTTATCCATTGCTAGCAGTGTACAGACAACCTGGAAGGGGACTATGGCGATGTAATGCCATGGACAGACATCGGCTGTGAGTTCGCGGGTGGCGTGGAGGGCTTTCGCGGCGAGCGCGACGATGCGATCGAGTAGTTTTGCGGAGATGGAGTGGCTGAGCGCGCGGAGACGGCGGTATATACAGAGGACGAGGTTGCATTGCACGAGGATGAGGATGTACGGGACGTACTCTCCATCCAGGACATCGGACAGTATGCCTTCAAGATCTGAAGAGTCTGACGATCGAACTGGATCCAGGCTCTCGGAGACAGGGAGCAGTTCGAATATCTCGGTGTAGAACTGGGTTGTGTTGACGTCAACCCTGCGCGCTGGAGCGACAGAGTTTGCGCCGTGTAGGACGACTCGCGAGCGGCCTAGCTCAAAGGACACCCAGACGTTGAGGTGGCGGGCCATGCAGAACAGCCTGCGACGCAGTTCAGGATTGCAGTAGCTCTCGTCGTTTTGTCGGAGGAAGCCATTATCCGAGGGATTCTCGAGATGCATTCCGGCGGCCTCGACGAGGTGCATTGTCGTGCAGCTGGCTATCCAAGCTGTGTGGGGGGACGCCGTCATGCGGAGATATGAGACTCGTAGGATCCAGCCAGTGATGATGGCAGGAGAGGGGGAATCGGAGGTGACGTGTTTCTCGAGGATTTCTCGTCCGGATTCTACGACCCTGGCTTCTGCGATTGACCCCTTCCGTCGCGAGAAGAGCATTCCCATCGCCGCCAGCCCGCACAGCACCGCGTCATAGGAGCTGGGCCCCAGCGCTGATTCGGATGAAGGGGGTAGCCATCGCCGACTGACCTGGCGGAGGAGATGATCGCGATCGATGAATCCGTAGCAAGGGTCGATTTTCTCAAACCAAACTGCTATCAAGGAGCGCATCTCATCCTGCGAGACGATGTCGACTATGGTCGACCCCGTGGCGGCGGACGATGATGCCAACGACTCTGCGGACGGCGTACGAGCCCCGGCATTCCAAGCAAACAAATGTAATCGCGGTGCATGTGCCGTCTCAAGCTTCAGGCCTAAACGTCTCACAAACGCAGCGCCTGAATTGGCTTCGAGGGAGGTGGAATGAATATGGTCCGGCTCAACCGGGCTGCGGCTCCTCTTCTCGTCCGCGGTGGTGGTCAGATCGCTCGAATTGGAGGTAGCTGTCGTTGCCGCTGTTGGTGCCGTATGGAGTACATTAGCATACGGATTTGGTTTGACGTCTTTTTTCTTGCGGGAGAAGTAATCGTAGTGGCATTCGGTGCCGAATTGGGCGCAGATGGTGCATGGTTGGCCTCCGGAGCATTTGCGCTTGCGAGACTGGCAGGACGTGCAGGCGACGCGAGAGCGCTTTCGTATGGCAGAATCGGACATTGTAAATAATACTAGCAGAGTAGAAAGCAAATGGACATCTTAAATTCAGCTTCTAGTTTGTCTTTGACATCGGGAGAAGCTGGGGAAGTGGAGGAATTAAACGCGGTTGGGGTTAAGCTTAAATTCATGTGACCTTCCCCTCATTTGCCGAACATTTCACTTCGACTAAATCGAATACGAGCATGAAGGATCATACTATTAAACCATAGCAGGTGATTGTATTACATATGATATATCTAGTGCAGCCACTATTTTTAACCCATTAACTAGATCAACGCTCATAAGGACTTCCATCCGGATAGCCCATTAAATCCTCCAATGCCTTGATATCCGGCATGCCCGCTGGTCCGGGCATATAATTCACATTGTCCCGGAATGTGGTGCCATTCCACCAAATTTCGTTCTTATGCAGGGCTTCCATGATCCGGGCTGCGTCGATGTATGTCCGGATTTCGACCATTTGGCCCTTGTGCCAGCGAGTTATCCAGACATTAACGATGTCGAAAGGATCGCCTGCATCATTAGTTACGTGTCCAACTACAATATTGTGATGAAAGGATTAAAAGGGGTTTACCAGAATTCATGATTCCTTTGAACTGAACCTCCTGAACCGACCATCGCTCATTACAACCCCCGTGAATGGCTTGAGGATGGATCTCGAACCTATCCGCATGGTCCATGAACAAGACACTGACTCGACGAAGAGCATTGACATAGAAATGCATCAGGTCATTATAATGACCCGCAATAGGATGGTGTCCAACCACCGTGAAATTCACATCCTTATGGATCAGCGTGAACAACTTGTTCATGTCCTTTTCCAAATCCTTGAACGAATCCCAGATGTGCATCTGCGTCACGTATGCACAATCCGTCGAAGGATTCTCAAAGTGGAACCCCTCTCGGTCTCTTCGTCGGGGATTGGGTTTGTCGATGAGGCCATCGCCATTGCAATCACCATTACCGGGCGCAATGACGCCAGAGCCGTCACAGCCTGGTTTATCTTGGGGATAATGTCCTAGTGGATACTGTGTCTCTGGCAGGCCGTGGTGTTGTGGTTTGATTGCCCTACTTAGGACGGTGGTGTCGAGTGTCGAAGCCACCAGGGCTTGGAGGAGATATCGAATGGCGACCATGGTAATCGGGTGATCTGGTGATCTAATTGTGCAATGAGGAGCTTACCACCCTTTTGTCCCCTCTGTCAGCTCCGTTTATAGCCTCCTTCAAAGTCACCGAATGAGGGGTATCGACAAATAAGCCGACATGGTTTCATTGGCTTCTGTGAAACCTGACCCTCGTCTAGTCTATTGGAAAACGAGGGACGACAGGGAGACGGAAGACAGGGTCCAGAACTACAGGGTACAATGCGCCGATTCTATCCTCTAAAACCCGACGCGATTCAAGACAAAGACCCGGATGTTGTACGAATCTCACGGTTGAATTGAGACAGGATCATCCTACAGTTGCTTTGGTGCTTGATGTTCTTTCTTGGCCTGTGTACTATGAACAAATGTACTTGAATCTGATTGATCCGACAGTGGCCAGAGTAGTAGCCCTAACGATCACCATTACAATAGCTGCCTTGGCAGCTCTGAAACAGTGGCTAAGTGACATCAAGTCTGTTGAGTCATTCCGGTTAGCAAATAGCACGTGGGAGTGATAAAGTCGTTATATCATCGCGTACGCGCAGCCTGTTGCCTCTGCAGATTTTCATGATCAACATCAATTGTGGATGCTTTTGAAGTATCAAATTGGATTTGTCAAGCATTGTATCGTAAGTAATACCCCAGTCACATACGATATCAAGACGCCTCCGATAGCGGCGCTGCCAATCCCCACAGTCTGATTGGATGGCGACTCGCACAAAACTCGGTGAGTTCAAGACACGTGCTTCGACCGGCCCGATTCCATCCCGCCTTTTTCTTCTCTTTTCCCTCCGCTCAAACTTTTCTTCCTCTTTTCTCTCTTCTTCCCCAGAGAATACTCTACTGCAACACAACACCCATTGAATTCAATGTCCCGCTAAACTCTTCCTCTTTCTAACTCTTTATTACTACTTGTTTAACGACTAGTAGCTCTTCAGTCGCGCTTATGCGTTTGCACTCTATCTTCACTTCTCAGGACTACATCTCGGGTATGTGCACACATGACACGATACCCATGAGTCAATTCACTGACATTCTCCCTATAGATCACCTCTGGAAAGCTTCTGGAAGCTGCTGAATAAACTTCAATCGTCTCGTGTCTTTCGTCTCATTCGCATACTCGTAAAAAAAAACCATCCGTACAATGTTTGCTCGAGTCTTCAGGGCGATGCCCGCCAGGGCCCCCGCCTTCCCCTCTGTCAATGCTGGCATCCAGTCCCGCTTCATGGCTACGGTTCGTCAGAAGCCTACTTCGGAGCGCGCCACTTTCACGATCCGAGATGGTCCTATCTTCCACGGAAAGTCCTTCGGAGCCCGCTCCAACATTTCCGGTGAGGCCGTCTTTACAACCTCCCTGGTCGGTTACCCCGAATCCTTGACCGATCCGTCCTACCGGGGTCAGATTTTGGTCTTCACCCAGCCCCTGATTGGGAACTACGGTGTTCCGTCTTTCCAGAAGGACAACCACGGTCTGCTCAAGTACTTCGAGTCCCCCAACCTGCAAGCCGCCGGTGTCGTCGTCGCCGATGCTGCGGAGCGCTACAGCCACTGGACGGCTGTCGAGAGTCTTGGAGAATGGTGTGCTCGTGAGGGCGTTCCAGCCATCTCTGGCGTCGACACCCGTGAAATCGTCACCTACTTGCGTGAGCAGGGTTCGTCTCTGGCCCGTATCACCGTGGGTGAGGAGTACGATGCCGACCAGGATGAGGCCTTTACCGACCCTGAGCAGATCCACCTCGTCCGCCAGGTCAGCACCAAGGCCCCCTTCCACGTCAGTGCTGCGGACCCCCAGTGCCACGTGGCTGTCATCGACTGTGGTGTCAAGGAGAACATTCTGCGTAGCTTGGTTAGCCGTGGCGCCAGTGTCACCGTGTTCCCCTACGACTTTCCTATCCACAAGGTCGCCCACCACTTCGACGGTGTCTTCATTTCCAACGGTCCCGGTGACCCGACTCACTGTCAGGACACCATCTACCACCTGGGCCGCTTGATGGAGTCCTCCCAGCTTCCCATCTTCGGTATCTGCTTGGGTCACCAGCTCTTGGCTTTGGCCGCTGGTGCCCGCACCGTCAAGCTTAAGTACGGTAACCGTGCTCACAACATTCCCGCTCTGGACATGAGCACCGGTCGCTGCCACATCACCAGTCAGAACCACGGTTACGCGGTTGACACCACGACCCTGCCATCTGACTGGAAGCCGTATTTCACCAACCTGAACGACGCGAGCAACGAGGGCATGATCCACAAGTCTCGTCCCATCTTCAGCACCCAGTTCCACCCCGAGGCCAAGGGAGGTCCGCTTGACTCTTCGTACCTCTTCGACATCTACCTCGACAGCGTGCTGAGCTACAAGAACAACCAGGCCCAGTTCCACCCCCAGCGGGACAGCCGGCCCAACCCTCTCTTGGTCGATATCTTGGCCAAGGAGCGTGTTGGTGTGCAGCCTACCGTTGGTATGCAGAACATTGCAGCGGCCGCGGCCGCTGCTGCTGCTGGATCTGCTTAATTTGTCTGGGTTCGTGAGCATTGGAGTTTGGGTTGGATATAGCTTAGGTCATTTTTTTTTACATCAGTCAATATAATTTGCTATTTAGATTCTCCAAGTAATGCCTAAAGCGTAGCTATGCCGTGTACCGTACCACTAGGAAGACTAATGCAAATGATCTGCTTCCAGGGTCATCAATTGAAGTCGTTGCACATTTGACCTAATTCTAATGACTATATCCACCATACCACCGTCTAATATTTATTACTTCGCAACAATGGAAACAACATCCTCATCCGCCACAATATGTCCCAACCCAACCCTCTGCGGAACATGTCTTGCACTAGCCCCCCAAACTAACGCATACTTGAACGTCTCCTTAAGTGTCCGATGAACCTGATCACACACATCCTCAATACTCGAGTTTTGCCTCACAATCAACGCCTCCGAAAAATCCGGCTCCTCGCCCTTTCTCTTCGTATAAAGCCGGACCAATCTCAATTCTTTCCAGATCCGATCAACAACGTCTTGAACACCGAGATCGAGTTCACAACTCATGACCGCGGTGTAGGGTTCATGAGCGAGCTCGTTGAGGAAGTCCAGGCTGACGCCGTCGATCTTGTTGTAGACGTAGAGGCAGCGGATGTATTTACGGTGGTCTTTCATAATTACGTCGATGAAGTCGTCGATTGTGGCGTTTTCGTCGCGGACTAGGACTTCGCAGTTCAGGATTTTGTAGTCGCGAAGGACGTTGTAGATCATTCTCTCGTCGAGGGATTTGGGAGGTGTTTGGAAGGTGATTTTCATGCCGCCTGCGTTCTTTTGTTTGAGATAGATGTTGCTTTGATTGTCAGTTACTCTAGCCATTATGTGATGGGTGGAAAGGGTCTTACGGAGGGTCCTTGTTAAGTCGAATGCCAACAGCATCCAATTCAGCCTCCAGCAGAGATCGCTGCTCAGCACGTTTTGTACAATCAAGAACCATGAGAATCAAGTCACTCGTCTATCGTTGTCAGTAATCTCGACCAACAATCATTGGAACAATGTGCCCACCTTAGCAGCAGAAATAACCTGTCTCCCACGCCCCTTCCCCTCAGAAGCACCCTCAATAATACCCGGCAAATCCAGAATCTGGATTTCAGCGCCCCCATACTCCAACACACCCGGGATAGCCGTGAGTGTGGTGAACGAGTACGCAGCGGCCTCACTCTTGGTCTTGGTGATCTTGGACAAGAAAGTGGATTTACCGACGGAGGGGAAACCGACGAGGGCTACTCGCGCGTCACCACTCTTGCTTACGTCGAAGCCGGAGCCGCCTCCGCCGCTGGCACCAGTAGGTTCGAGGAGTTGGGCCCTTAGACGGGCGAGTTTTCTGATGTCGTTAGCGGTTGTTTGATTTATATTGAAGGTTGGGTGAAAAGTACCCCTTAAGAGTACCCAGATGATATTCTAGAAGATTATCAGAAACTGTTCAATCTGAAGGGTTGTATATAATGCGGCGCCCACCTGTGTTTTTGTTCTCTGTGATCTAGTTAGCGCGGGGTTCTCAAGCGGTTTATTAGTGAAATAGAATATGCTTACTCTGCGTCCTGCGCATCTCATCTTCGATTCTGTAAAATGAAACACCGGCATTTAGCTAATCTATCCAACCAGCAGATAATCCAAGACCTACTCTTTGATCTTCTCCGTGATGTTCACCATCTTGCCGGTTGGAGTCTCAGAGACTCTGAGAATCAATTACAATCTGGACGGGTTCAAGGAGAGCGGTAAAAGAACGAGGATTTATAGTTCTCTAGTATCCCCCAGTAAAGATAAATAATCAACAGAACCCACGGTAGTATACCTGCGATGTTACTCTACAGCGAGTAGCGATATCAAATTCTCAAGTGCCAAGAGTAGCTGACTAAGCGCTATCGCCCCGTCAACTTCATCGACCGACTTTGCCTTTAGACAACAACAACACTCTCCAACTTTTCTATCACAAGGGACAATTCTCTTAATACTAGAACCATGGCAGACACGGAAGCAGCCAATGCGTCCCAAACCACAATCCCCAGCCCACCTCCCTCCGGCACAGAACCGACCCCCAACGATGAACATGCCGTCACAACACAACCAACCGAAACCACAATGACCACCACCACCGACGCAGACGGCACCCAGAAGAAAAAAAAGATAATCCGCCGAAAGCGCCGCCCAGCACGCCCCCAAGTCGATCCAGCAACTATCAAATCCGAACCCCCTCCCCAAACCGGAACAGTCTTCAACATCTGGTACAACAAATGGTCCGGCGGTGACCGCGAGGACAAATATCTCTCGAAACAGGCCGCGACGTCGCGGTGCAATGTGGCCAAGGATAGTGGGTATACGCGTGCGGATAAAGTCCCCGGGTCGTATTTCTGTTTATTCTTCGCGAGGGGTCTTTGTCCGAAGGGGCATGAGTGCGAGTATTTGCATCGACTACCGACTCTGCATGACCTGTTTAATCCGAATGTGGATTGCTTCGGGCGCGACAAGTTTAGTGATTACCGTGATGATATGGGTGGTGTGGGGTCGTTCATGAGACAGAATCGCACGCTGTATGTTGGACGGATTCACGTCACGGATGATATTGAGGAAGTTGTTGCGCGTCATTTCGCGGAATGGGGACAGGTTGAACGGACGAGGGTTTTGACGAATCGGGGTGTTGCATTCGTTACTTATACGAATGAGGCGAATGGGCAGTTTGCCAAAGAGGCTATGGCGCATCAGAGTTTGGACCATAATGAAATTCTGAATGTGCGGTGGGCGACGGTTGATCCGAATCCGTTGGCGCAAAAGCGTGAGGCGCGGAGGTTGGAGGAGCAAGCCGCTGAGGCCGTGCGGAGGGCTCTTCCAGCTGAGTTCGTTGCGGAAATTGAGGGACGGGACCCTGAAGCGAGGAAGAGGAAGAAGATTGAGGGTAGTTTTGGGTTGGATGGTTACGAACCGCCGGATGAGATCTGGTATACCAGGACGAAGGAGCTGGAGGATGCTGGGACCGCACCTCAATTGGAGGCGCCAGAGCAGCCTCTCATGATGGAATCTGCGCCTCCCGCTACTGCTCCTTTCCAACAGCAACAGCAACAGCAACAAGGCGGCGGGATCTTTTCCAGCTCCACGGTAGCAGCCTTACAAGGACTGGGAGGCGGAAATGTCACGACACGAAAGGCTGCCCCGTCTTCGGGGCCTCTGGTAGCATACGGAAGCGATGATGAGAGCGATTAATTACATAGTTCGGCGCGTATAGGTTTGTCTGTACAATAATTTCCAAGATACCTTGTTTTCATTCCTCAACTGCACTCATTCACATGTAATTCTCATTTGGGTATAATTCGCTAAATAACGGAGAGGCGATTGAAAAAGCAACCTAAGTGGTGACAATATTGCAAACATAGCTATACATATTACACGTCAATCTCATGAAATAACACCTATCTTTCGCTCACCCTCCCGAGATCATAATACAAGCAAGACCCCGTTCGATAGTTGTATATAAACGCATTCGCGTAGCTCTCGGTGCCGTCGCCCATTTGACTTTCGTTGGCAAGATCGCAGAGCAGTTCATGCACTTGGCTCAGGTATTTCCGTTCACTCGGTGGTACATTCTGTATCACTGTGCGCCAGCTGTCAGGGTCTGAAAGACGCGTGTCTCGAATGGACTCAAGAACGTCATCCCGAGTATCGATAGCAGCGATGGGGCCGTTCAAAGCTTGCTCGACGACTTCGCGTGAACGTTGAAGAGCTGTGTTTTATTAGCAAATTCATCTTCAGTCGTAAGTTGGGGCAGAACTTACCAGAGTCAACGATATTCCGCCTGTTGCTCTTCTTGCTCCGGTGCTGAGAAACCAAGATACGTACATCATTGGTCCTCTCATTGCCGGGAGACGACACGTCCGGCTGACTAGGCAACCGATGCTGCTTAGAATGATCGGCTGTGCCCTCGCGCAGGTTACGCGCACGAATCTCATTCCGAAGCCAGGGAACCAGCTCTGAGGCTCTCATGTCGTATTCTTCCCTTGGGGCTAAGCTTCGGATTTTGAACCCTCGTTCCTTGCTGTCTTGTTTCGCAATAACGATCCAGCTATGATTGTGGTCTCTGTATTTGCTGAGAAGCTCTTCGAGAGAAGACGCATCGACTGCCAATTCTGCGCTGATATCATTTGACCATAGATCCTGGACGACCTTGATTCCCACTGTGCGCAACACAGATGCGTCAAAGCTGGCGACAAGTACATCGCACTACTGAATTAGCCACCCTCTTTAAAGGTGCAAGAACAATGGGACTATTGACTTACCCTTCGAGTCTTCCAAAAAGTCCCAGCCCCTGTTTCGGCTTCTGGGTGTTTCAAAGACGCCTTGGTCGGCTCTTTAAGGTGCCCAAGCATCGAAGAACTAAGCCTATCCCAACTCAAATTGAAACCCACGGCATGGGTTTGAGTGCGACTCATCAAAGCCTTCGGGGAGAACTCCTGGACCAACCGGTCATATCGGCCACCCGCTGCAAACACATCACGCCGCTTGTTGTCAAAGACACACTGGAAAAGAATGCTACCCCTGAAGAATTTGTCGTTCAGACTGGAAAGCGGGTTGACATAGACTTTCCGCTTCACGTCGAACTCCTGTAAATAATTAACTACCGAGTTCAGACGGGCGAAAATCGGAGTCAGTCGTTCAGCGAATGGCGTGCCCTCCATGATGGCCCGCAATTTCTTATGGGCTTGTTTTGGAGAGTCTGTAGCTCGTTAGTCGAATTCTGTATTAATAAATATCGGCGGAGAGATACGGACCTCTGAAATCAAACCTCGCAAGATTGTCCAATGACGTGGAGGCAACACCAACGGCAGGCGAACGAAGCTCACTCCTGATTTTTTGCATTGTCCATTTCCCGACATTCAACTTGCTGATGATCTCTTTGACCAATGGAACCTGAGAAGGAGTAATGCGACAGAATTCCACAATCAATTGAAGCAAATCAGAGTGGTTAATCATGAAACACATCTGTGTTGATCTAAGCGGTGGGAATTCTTCGATGATCTCGTCTAGTACTTTGATGACTTCGGCTTCCTTCAACGCCAGATCCAACGTGTTGTGTGATACGATGTCGAAGTCCACTTCCTTGTGAGTCTGCGGCTCACCACCGTGGGGCGTTTCCCTGTAGACTGTGCCAAAGGCAAATGTCTTCTCCAGCGAACGGTCTTGTCGAGGAATCGCACGCGCATTCGGCAGGGTCAAATCAAAAGGCAACTGGAGCAGATTTCCTGATGAGCCGAGCAGCCGCACAGCACCATGGTTGTAATGCTGAGATCGTGGGAAAAGCATTTGCCTCGCACTTTCCACCGCTCCATGCCGACGAAAGATAGATATCAGCTTGTCTTTGACCAGACCTTGAACCAATAGTTCATTTGCTGCCGGCGACACATGCGAATCCATGTCCCAGGCAATATCCTCAAATCGCTTGGGAGATTGGGAGAATATGGCTGAGAGAATCTTCTTGTAATCTGGAGAATTTGGATCGGAGAGCAAGTGAACGATAGCCCTTCTGAATGTTTCTTCCTCGACCTGCAAAGGGATGTTCCCACTGTGAAGGAGCTCTTCGGCCGATGGACGCTCATTCGGTGTATGGTTCAGCAATGATTCAATGATTTTGCCCTGTACCACCTTGTCTGAGTGTTGGAAGGTAGAAGGGAGAGTATGGTTCTTCTCCCGAATTACTCGCAATGTCTGATCACGTTCCATGCCTGTAGGCAACGGATGACACATTTCAAAGAAGATTACGCCCAGAGAATACATCTGTTCCGTGTTTAGCCCTATACCTAGGAGGAACGAAGGTGGGAATTTAGAGGGACTTACATCAACCTTTTCATTGTAGTTTCCTGTAAATCCAGACTGCATCTCAGGCGCGACATAGTAAGTCGTACCCAGGCTGCGAGTCAAATTACCGCCAAGATCCACTGTTGCAGACGAACGAACTGCAGTCATAAACTGTCCACTGGTCGCTAGGCCGAAGTCTCCGATACGCGGGTTATTGGCCACGTCAATGAAGATATTATCCGGTTTCAAATCTCGGTGAATAATACCGTGGCCATGGATATGGCTCAATCCATCTAGGATTTGGCGGAAGAGGCGCCAGGACCTGTCAACGTCATCATAAAGGCCGTTCCTAATAAGATCACGAAGAGTATGTTTCTCACAATACTCCATTTGGATGTACAGTGTAGTAAACACAGGCCGTCCTTGCGAACTGGTCTTCATTCGGCTTGGCTCGGTCCCGCTCTCGCTTTCAGAGCCGTCATAGCCATCAGGTGTCTCTTTTCTATTTTGATCAGACATAGATTCAGCGTCTTCGTCGTCGCTATCTAAGCCAAACTGGATCCCTGAATAACCGCTGGAGCTGATAAAGTCAAGTCCACCCGTACTAAAACCAACACTACCGGGGCCTCGACTCGCAAACGTGTCGCCCTCAGTGAAGGATACGGCGTCCTCGTCACCAAATTCGAAATCTTCCTCAAGCCAAGCTGTGTAGTAGCGCACCACATATGGATGGTTCAACCGAGATAGTAGCATGATCTCCGACAATGTATCCTTCAACGCAGCAGCTGACTTCTGAGAGATCTTCTTGACAGCGTAAAATCGACCATCGAGTTTGTTTCGAGCCTTTACGACCTGGCCAAATCCGCCTTTGCCCAGACGTCCAGCTTCATCAAAATCTTGATTGTAGCGTGAAAGCGCAGAAGTACCACCAAAGGAGTCCACGCGCGGCCGTCTCGGCAGAGACATGGAGTTAGCTGTGCTAGTATGCATTATCAAAGGCATGTCAACACGGAAGAATTCGGAAGGCTGAAGCTGGAACGCCGTAGGTCGCTTCTTGGGGTCTGGACGGAAAAACTCTTCGAGCAAATCCTGCAAAGGGGGCGATAGATCGAGTGCACCCATCAGTGCATTTGCAGATGTATAGCGTAGCATGACATCTTTGCCAAATCCCATCTGCAAAAGAATTATACCTAAGTCCCAGACATCGGTCTTCATTGACAGTGGCACGTCCCCCTGAGTCAACTCCGGGGGCATCCAGAACGGGGATTTGGAGGTCGCCATTGACCGACTCCTGCCACCTGCGGGACCTGGTAAAGCTCCCTCAATGCTTGGTTGCAACTTCACAGTCGTCCCTCCTGTCGGGCTCCTGAATAACATGACCCGCCCACTGTGAATATCCCCATGGATAAACCCACTTCGGTGATAGAACTCCAATCCTTCAAGCAACTGAAGCATCCAGCTGCGAAGCATCTCTACAGGGACAGTACCCACGAGATCCAGAAATTCCGCCAAAGAACCCTTGTTTGCGTACTCCACAAGAGCATATACTTTCCAAGCATTATCATGCGAATCGTCGTATAGGTCAGGACTATTGATCTTGAAGCCAACAAAGTCGATAAGATTCGGATGGCGTAGTTTCTTGATTGATTCCAATTTGTCTTCACTAGTCCGCATTCGCTCTCGAAAGACCAAAGTTCCTAGACCCTTCTCAAGCGAGTACTCTTTCAGAACCAGAAGAGGCGCATGGGGCCGGTTTTCAGAAACAATTGGTCGTACGGTAAAGGTTTCCTTTCCATAGGTACTTTTGAGTAAACTCTTCCCGAAAACCGCTCGGAATTTCAGTAATTGTTCATCGGAATCATTCATAACCAGCGGAGGGTCAAAGGCAATCGCGCCTGGGACATGCTCGATGTCGTCCATAAACCCGTTCGAATCTACTCCAGCTGTTCGACTCTTTCGACGAGATAACCGAGCCCTCGATCTTTCTCTAATCTTATTCTCAATCAATTGCTGAAGGGCTCGTTCCTCCTCAGCCGTAGCAGCCTCCTGTTTCCGAAGGTCTTCCTGCCTTTCTAACTCTGCCTGGTGCATCGCTGCGGCTTCTTGCTTTATGCGCTCTTCCTCTAGACTGGGAAGATCTTTATCCTGCTCCTTGGCTTGAGCCACATCTTCAAGGACGTCTTGAATCGAAACACCAAGTTCGTATATCATCTCTGTCCCAACGAGCAACTTCGGCTTATTTTCGACAATATCCAGAATTCGTGACTGCGCTCCTTCGCGAAATTCCCCCAAGTTCTCTAACAACAAGTTCGGATAGGTCTTGGGATAGGTTGCTGGCAGCTCAATCAGCAATTGGATGCGGACTTCCGGGTTTGACGAAGCTCGCAGGTGAAGCCTGAAGCAAACATCGGACGATTGCTATGTGACACACCTGTCAGCAACCCCAACACTTCCAATTGATCCACACTCTGCGCGACTTACATGCCAGGCTGAGCGCCTGTTTTCGACCTCTTCGAAGTCATCTCCATAGATCGAGCGGAGAGCCTCCACCTCGTTCTGGTGAATTTCGCGGTAATTCGTAGGAGCTACTACCGGTGGAGGGGTACTCGGAACCGATTGATGCTGCTGCTGCTTTTTCTCCGCCCGGGGAGAGCCAATTCTTAGGGCATGATTCGAGGTCTTCTTCTGCTTGTGAGGCATAGCGGGGCGTGGGCGGTGTGGAAAGAGTGCACCCAGATTGAGTCGGTCTTTGCCACGGAATGAGGAGGTGACAAAGATGCAGCCGAAGCTGCAGCCCTCTATAGCTCAGTGGGGTTCATCTCTACCCAAGAAAGCAAGATAAATAAATGCAGATAATGCTGTAAAGTTGTGTATGTGATGCTGATAAGAGAAGACAGCAAGAGAAAAGCCAAGCGGTATCGATAGCGGGGCCGGTGTTTTTCCGCTGCTCACCGCCTTTGGAAGCGCTGTCCGTAAACAAAGCACAGCGCTCCACGTCAATCGCGCATTCCAGTTCACAGGCTGGTCAATACCCAATGGCATCGCGGACGTGATGCGTCTTATGTCTTAGACTTTGAATATCTGAACAATTGAAATTTACGTTCCCGCGACATTGTCGAGATGTTGGGTTGGATGACAGGGCAGAATCAGAACGAGCAGTTCGCGCATTCCGCCGGTACGTTTGCTCTCATGGTCATTTATGGTTTCCGGGGAGCTTTGCTTGTGTTGGGAGAAATAAGTGGTCCCAGTTATGCAAGGACGAATAGGATCCCGGAGGATTGTGGATGACATGATCCACCATAGAGAACGTCCATGTACTGACTTGTTTACTGTTCGTAGACAACTCAAAAGTCCTTGAAGCGCCCGAGACCCCCGCGCCTGTGTTTGCACTTCGTGCGTTTAAGAGTGCGCTTTTTGGTACGCCAGCTCCCGAAGAGGAGGACCGCGATAGGGTGTTGCGCGCAAAAGAGCAGCAGTCTCCTATTCGCGCACGAGTCCAGGCCGATCCGCAGAAAGATCATTCGACAGGGAACCTGGGGGATGATAAGATGCCCACACTACAGCCCGACACTGCTCCAACTGGGAACACGATGGTTTCCCCGACAAAAAGTATCCTAGTTACGCCCGGTACCATCTCGAATCGACGCAAAACCGTGTCATTTGGCGATGGCGTTGTGGATAATGAGCGGAAACAAGAATCACCCAGCAAGGCTCCTTCATTAAGGACACCTACGAATTTATCCACTAGTCCCAGTAGCCAATGGGCGTCTGGCTCGTCGGACAGCAAACCACGCAGCAAGCTAACACAGGCTTTGCTGGATTCACGCGAGAAACGATCCTCGAAAGACTTTCAACCTACACAAACTTCTAAATCTAGCGAGACTCGATCAGGTGGAAATACATCGAAAATGGTCCCACAATCGGCAGAGAACGATGACAATGATGAAACCCTCAATATGAGCGAGCCTCGTTCCCAGTCAGGGAAATATTGGAAAACCGAGTTTGATAAATATAGAACGAGGACTGATTGGGAGATCAAACGACTTGTTCAATATCGTTCTGTTGCGAAATCCTACGCCAAGAAGAAGGATGAGGAAGCCGTGCGTTTGGCTGAGAAGTTGAAACAAGAGGAGGAAAAGGTCGCGGAAATGGAACGTCACGTATCGCAGTTGGCGTCGACAATGGTCACTGAGGGAGATAAGCACGACAAGGAAAGGTTGATTCAAGATCTCACCAAGCAGACAGCTTTGGCATTGCAGTATAAGCACCGTGTTACCATGCTGCGCAAGGCCTTAGAGAAGCATGGCGTGGTTAGCAACGAGATGGAGGATATCAAGGAACAGTCAGATGGAAACGTCTCGGCTGATAAAACCACGGAGGAGCTGCGCAAATCCCAGCAGGCGCTGGAGCAGGCAAATGCGAAGATCAAGGCGATGCAGAATCAGCGGTCAGACCTCAGCCAGCTCCACGATCTCTCGGAAAGCTCAGAACAAAAGGCCTCGGAATTAGAGAAAGAAAACGTCACACTCAAACAAACTTTGGCGCGATTCAAGTCAGAGATGACCAAATACGAGGGGCGCCGCAAAGAGAAGGAAGCAAAGCTGAAGCAGAGAGAAGCCAAGTTGGAACTACGAATCCGGGAATACAGAGAACGCTTGAGGACCGTGACCCAGCGACACCGAGAATCACAAGAGTCCTTCAAGGAGTTATTCGAGGAAGAACGTCACAGCCTGCTCGAACAGATCGAGCGACTAAAACTGACACTCGGCACACTTGATCGTCTTCCGGATTTCGAGTCTGGCCGCCTTACGCTCAGTCCACGCAAAGACTATACAGGGGTCAACGTGTACGATTTTGGGCAAAGCAGCCCCCAGAGAGGTCACAACAATGACGAGACAGAAGAACTCGGCGACCCTCCGAGTCCAAGCCCTCGCTCGAAGGAACGACGCTATCGCCAATTACGAAGTGCAATCGACGACCCTCTTGACCTGAGGCGGGCTGCGCAAGCCATGGGGATCGACATAGACGGCGACGGTAACGATCCATCGATCTACGCGGAAGAAGATGAGGCATCTCCTCAAAGACAGCCTCGCCGATTCAACCACGTACCCGACGATGAAGGCGACGTAGTAATCCCGCCCTCTTCGCCTCCAGACCTCTCTTCCATAAAATCCTCCTATAACCGGAGATCACTGACGAAGCTAGATAACGACCTAGATGATCAGCATGCGACATCTCGCGACCGTTATCTAGCTGGTCTCGAGGAAGAAAAGCAGACTCGCCCTCAGCAGCGTCGTCGCCGCTCACCTACCAAATACGGCCTGGACGCTTTGTCAAAACAACAGCGGCTCGGGTTATCAGAATCGCAACGCGATGCGATGCCAATAGACCGGAAGATCGCGGCTCAGGCACGTCTCAAGCGGAAAGAAGCAAATCGGAAAGCGAAAGAGGAGGCAATCGGAGCGTTTTAGCGAGGGTGTACATGTATTCTGGTGTTTATCTACTTTGGATGCTTTCTGGGTGTCAATGGTTGTTTGCTTTTTGGGCTTAGGCGTACTATTTGATAGGTTGAAAGGTTCGTGAATGACATTCATTGTGCTGTTCTCCATAATCAAGTCCTTCGATAATCTGGATATTTATATCTTGGTCTAGTCCTAATGAATCGAGCTCCATCCTTTCCTGCTCCACAGCAATGGTTATTAGAGATACTATTTGTATTCCTACTATATTCATCTTGCCGAATCCGTGAGAACCCTAGCTTGGCTTATATATCCTTTTGGAGCCTTAATTGGCGTATCATGTGAATACAGTCACAAATCATGGAGGAGATCGAAAAAACACCGCCGTGGATTGCCTTCCACGGAATTTCTCTAATGGTATTCCTGGCAGCAAATGCCATACTATTGCAGCAAGTGAGTTCCACAATGAGTTCTTGGAAAATTGCCGAAAGTTGGTATGACTCGCTTTGACCTGGGTTCAACTGGGTCTGACTGACATGAGGCCAACGGTCGAGCTGAGGAGCCGATTGATGTAATCGGACCGAAATATACTTGACATCACTTGGAGGACAAGCCTACTATGGTTATTGACGCTGGATCGTTGGAAAGCCTGGACCAACTGTATTGTGAAGCACGCCATTGGTTGGATAACTATGGCAATAAGGTTAAATTGGTGCTTCTTCTAGCTATTCAGCGAGACTATCAGAAGTTCCTGCTTGAAAGGTGGCAAATGCACGAAGGTCAACCAGTCAGGGTTCAAGAATTCAAGATTGCTCCTGCTGACTGTGATTGCGGCGCTGTGGATGTTAGGCCAGATGGTATGGATCTGGTAATTCTGTCGACCTTCTGTTCCACCAAATGCCAGAGCATGTTAAGGCTAACGAGGCTAGCATTCCTTCCCGTGGAATCCATAGCTTTGGTGAACAGTACTATCATGCCACTCAAATGCAACCTGTCTTGTTGTGAGAATTGAATTGTGCTGTTGAATATGTATGACTATAGTCTGTATTAAGCAACTTCATTTGAAAACCCCTTTCCTTCTTTTGCCCACATAAATTCCGTGCTCTATCACATAAGTTGTGTATGCCCAGGCTATAAGGGGCTTCCGTCAATATCACGTGTCTCCAGATTAAGAGAAAAACTCGCCAATGCAGCAATCCTATTTGCCGACAGCAAGCTACCACGATGACTGAATACATCTTCGATACATACAGTGTGGCTCCCTTATACCGCCACATCTTTGTGAACTACTTGAACCTCCGCTCCTGGTTACAACAAAGCGTCCAGAAACACTAAGATGGAGGACTGCAGTACGTTGCCGTTGACCGGGTCACCATTTCAATCCTTGAATAGATAGACAAGAACTGGGCCAGACTGCCCAACATGAGACTACACCATGATGCTTCGAGCAACAGACTAATCATAAAGTTCGTCAAGACCGGTCACGGCATTGCAACTAGGCAGTTCCAAGAAGAGCTCATGAAGAATGTCAGCAGTTAGGAGCACTCGCAAGACTTTTACATAATAGGATCCGGTTGCCATGAATGCGTTACCAACAGGTCAAAGGAGCCGGATGGGGGTTTCAAACCACACTTAACTAGACCATATTTCGATGACAAGCCAACTTTTCGTTGTTGAGATAGGTTTCTCTGAAAGTCTCGAGCAACTGAGTAATGACGCTGACTCCTTACTAACCCATACTAATCTCCAGGTGAAAGGGTAAATCCTAATCCATATCAACAGGAACAACAAGTCACTTCATATTGAACAGTGGCGGATGCAGAGCATGGATAGGTCAGCAAAGGCTTAGGATTTCATCGTTAGCGATAATGGTGCTATACCTATCTAGCTAGAAGCTCTTCCTGTAATCTCCCATGGCATTCTGTTCGATGTGAAACCATTACACGCTACTAGGACGGAATATAGAATCCCTAGCAGCTGCCTCCAGGACTTTGCTGAACGATATTTCGGAAAGACTCGGATTAGACTACAGGGTGGCTAGTGGCCAGACTAGAAGAACTACTTGGCGTAGTTGGCATGAAATGTATTTGGCAATAGCCAGCATGGATTTCTCTCTCCTCTCAATGTTATCTACTTCTCTCGACCTATGTATATATGCGCTCTGTGAACCAACTAGTTCTGTGATGCTCCTCCAACAACCACACCAACAAAATACAAAATCCCAGTCGTGTCTAAATGTACTAATATCGGAACATTCCTTTTAAAAATGTTATGTAGGCGGAGAAAATTCCATTAGCGGGGGAAGTTCTAGCTATCCTACACTGCCATGCCGTCTTCGATTGTGTTACCCAGATTCATAGTCGAGGGATCAATTAAGATTCCATGCATCACTTCGGTAACGAATGGATCTATCAGACAAGGATATTGCTCTTGGTCCAACCGTATGTTCGACGAATCTAGAATGGTCAGCTTATAATAGGAATAGGAAAACATGAGGATTACTTTTAATGTAAGCGTGATGGTAAAACCGCAACTTCATTGCCGTCGTCTAGAGCCAACCTGTGGATCCAATCCTATCAACTTACACTGTATTTCTAGGTGATTATATTATATACATGCCTTCTATCGAGACTTCGATGCCTCGATTCTGATCCTGAATAATATAATACTATGTATCTCCTTCTTTTACGTCCCATCAGTCCCAAAGATCTTCTTCTGGGACAGCAGGCTCGCGAGGATGGACTGGCATTTCAAGATTGCTTGTTGTAGCTGCTTAGACCAGTCAAACTGTTCTCTATATTGTAGGCATTTAAAATTCATGATAGGCGACAGCGTCTTCGAAAGAGGGCGATGAAATGATGCCGGTAAGGGCAAGAGGACTTCCTATTCCGGAATCTAGATGCATAAGGGCATAACTAATTTATGCTGGTTGTACAAGTACGCTGATGAGTCACAGAAGGCGGTCTGAAGGAATCAGCAGAAATTTTCTCTCCACACCATATTGCCATCGACATTGGGCGCTATAATTGGCTGCGGATTGTTGCCCCAGTTCCTCGATTTTCAGTTCTTAAGCTCTTCACTTCTTTCAACCTGTTCCAAAACGAAAAAAGAGACACCTGTTGCATTTTCTTGTTCATTGTCTTACACTCATTCCACACATTGCGAATATTAACCGCAATGGCTGATACAAGCACCGCTCAAACTGGGCAATTCCGTCAGTACTCCCCCATATACCCCGCGATTCTGATGGACAGCTGCTAAATCCCGTAGAGAGAATCGACTCGCAACCTGAGAACCCTTATTCGCATCTCATTGCGGATCAAATCACTGTGATCGTTCCGTCGTTTACCCTCGAGTCTGGTGTCACGCTGCACAATGTTCCGATTGCCTACACCGCGCGGGGCGAGTTGTCTCCCGAACGTGACAATGTCTTGGTTATTTGCCATGCATTGAGTGGTAGTGCAGACGTGGCGGACTGGTGGGGCCCATTGCTAGGTGGGCCTGGTCAGGCCTTTGATATGTCTCGATTCTACGTTGTCTGCTTGAACAGTTTGGGCAGTCCATACGGAAGTGCCAGTGCCGTGACGTACAAAGACGGTGACCCAGAGAAGGGAATCTACGGTCCTGAGTTCCCGCTTACTACTATCCGTGATGATGTGAGGTAAGGTTTCATCTCGTGCTACAAGATCCAAGGAGAGTCTCTGACTAAGCAAATAGAATTCACAAGATGGTCTTGGATGACATGGGCGTCAAGCAGATTGCGGCGGTGATTGGAGGTTCTATGGGCGGTATGCTCGCTCTAGAATATGCGTATTTTGGCAAGGACTACGTGCGAGCAGTTGTTCCGATCGCCACCTCTGCCCGTCATTCCGCATGGTGCATCAGCTGGGGAGAGGCTCAAAGACAAAGCATCTACAGCGATCCGAAGTACGATGACGGTTACTACACCTTCGACGATCCTCCGGTAACTGGACTGGGAGCTGCACGCATGTCGGCACTCCTCACCTATCGCAGTCGTAACTCGTTCGAGTCGCGATTCGGCAGAAATGTTCCCGACCCCTCGAAGCAGCAGAACATCAAGGACACCCAAAAGCTGCCTACCCCTCCTAATGAGCACTGGGCTGTTCACAACGATGGACACAAGGGTGGACAGTCGCGGAGCTCTCCCACTCCGCAGCTGCAGGCCGAGCTGCCGGCCATTGAGTACATGGATCCGCAGTTTTCGGGTACCAAGACTTTCAGCGCACCTGTGAAGCCCAGTGTCGAGGGACGGAAGAGGCCCCCAACCTACTTCTCAGCCCAATCTTACCTGCGCTACCAGGGAGAGAAGTTTGTCAAGCGATTTGACCCCAACTGCTATATCGCCATTACCCGCAAGCTTGACACGCACGATGTCTCCCGTTCCCGCGCCAGTCCGACGTCGGAGGACCCGGTCCAAGAGGCATTGGGCCGAATCGAACAGCCTGCTCTGGTTCTAGGAATCGAAAGCGATGGCCTGTTTACGTTTGAAGAGCAGCTGGAGGTTGCGGCTGGTATTCCAGACTCGAGACTGAAGCGGATTGAAAGCCCCGAAGGACATGATGCCTTCCTCCTCCAGTTCGAGCAGGTCAACCGTTATATCCTAGAATTCTTCCGCGAGGTGTTGCCGGAGATTATGTCCAAGCAGACGGTCGAGGGTGGCGCCATCGTCGACGGCGTCAACAAGCTAACCAAGAGCAGCACCTTTGGTGAAGCTGAAGTCGAGGACATCACTGCATGGTAAGCTCCCGCAAAAAGTTGCCTTGATCGATATTGGCGCAGTAATTGCAGCCTTTGCTTTGCCATGCTCTACGCACCCCGGGTTCTCACGGTGAAAGAGAAACGCGCCGTGGGAAGTCGGGCGCACCGACGGGCATGGAATATATACGGGGAAGTTGCAGTGCGGTTCTTTTCTTGTGATTTATGCAACCAGTCAAGAGGGATGAGCATCCAACTGCCTCTCTCGTGGTTACCTATCAGGTAAGACTGTAAAGAAGCATCCAACTGCTCTCCATCATATAAGCCCTCAGAGTGAATGTATCTATAACCTGGATTCACCGAGGGTGGTGGGCCATGTAGATAGTATAGAGATAGTGATATATTTGGAAACAATCAATATGTATATCTTACACTTCTATAAAATTGAGCCAAATGCGGTGTCGCCTTTTAGACTTCTAGAAGCAAAGCTGTATGTAGTCCGGGAAGCAGTCAGCCGTCAGGTTGCGTTGCTTGTGTATGCACCTGTTGCTAGGATATATCATGCAGGGTACAGTCGGAGTTGCATGCATTGTGATGATTTGTTTCACCTAAGTGACTTAGCTCTAGCACTCGATATATATTTTCCATGTTTGGCACCGAGTCAACCGTGGGGTTACAGATGTATGAAAACAACCAACATACTGGCCCTCGTTTACGCATCTCCCAGACAACTCGGCATTCCATTGTGACCGTCATTTCTTGATCGAGTTAATGATGCTTTGTTTACGCAGAAAGCACCGAGGAATGTTCGGTCCGTTTACCCAACCCTTTTGGATTCCCAGGAGATTCGAGAAAAAAAATACATAGAAGCAGACATCAAAAATCCAGAGGGTAAAGGTATGTATTGTCTTGTAGGGCGAACACGTGCATAGTAAATCTTTTCTGACTGAGCATCTCCGTTTGAAAGGTGCCCGCCATGCTGGCCATGCTGTGATACAACAAGTATCACGTCTGAGATCCCTCTTCAGACGCCCTCATTCTCACACGGCATAACACGTCTCGCCTGATTTAGATTCTCGTCCAGCACTATATTCAATAAATCGTATAGAAGCCGTAATGATTGAGTTTCCGACAGTAGATGAAGTTCATTAACCCTACGCTAACCCCTTTTGGATATAAAACGGCGCTTTTCGCCAATCAGCGATTAGAACAGCCAGCGAAGCCTCAAGTGTTCTCAATTGGGCGACTGTGACACGACTAACTGTTTTGGGACTCGATCACGGGCTTTTGTGTTTCGACAGCGTCTCCTTGTCTTCGTTCCCCGAAACTGTTCTTCATCGCCAGCACTGTCCCTGTTGATCTTCTGCATTCGGTTGAGCAGGGCTTGACCTCGACTTTCGTTCGGCTATATGCCCACTCGCTATCGACGACCTGGCCAGTACTACCACTTCCCTTACGGCCATTCAGGAACAAGGCACTAGCGGTCGATCTTCTGCTCATCTCCCGGACCCGTCGCCGTTAAATTATTCATTCTTTGTGCTCGTTTACGTCCCCACATTCCAGTCATTGCGCCGACAACCGCCGTGTCTCGTGTCCAATGAATACGGACTTGAGCACTGCTTTCTAATGGGGAGCATGGCTTGGAAGCCATCATTTGTTTTATCATTCCAGTGGTCAATGGGTAAACTGATAGCATAGCTTGATGTTGGCTGGTTAGGCTGTTTTGTTTCATATCTGACTCTTGTTTTGTTTTTATCTCTGTGACATCCTGTTCATAATCGCTTAGAGCTGTTGCACATTGGCCATTGTCACACACCATGGAGTTCAAGTCTTCGTTGAAAGACAGACTTCGGAGGACGCGATCCTCGATCATTTCGTTTTCACAGGTGCGTCCACGAATCCATATCCATCGTCGTTATAATCTAATAAAGCCAGCCCATCACACTCTTCTCCGTCAAACCAAACACATACTTCGACTCGAACACACGTAAAGGATCTTCAAGTTCCATAACGGAACCGCCCTGCATCCCACGCAACGTGGAGAAGGAACTCCGATATGCCTGCCACCGACTACAACGGAAGATTGAACGGGAGATTCCTTCGTATGACAACTATTATAGGCCAGAAATATCGTGCGAGAGGAGGCACACCATGGCTGCACCGGCACCGCAAATAAACACAGCACCCCAAACACAATCTCTACCAACGACTCTCAGATCACCAAGGAACAGATATTATCCCGGGTTAGAGTTCGACGCCCAGGAAAGCAAGCCAAAGAAAGATGATATTTCCGAGCTTTACGATAAAACAGCCATGATTGCTCGCGCTGAAAGCACATACACTGGGCAATCTGACTTCAACACATCCCGTATTCCATCATCCGCCACCAAAGACAGGACTCACGCTGATGGCGAGCAGCCACACTCGTCTGGAGAAACGCTGGTAGGGGTGAACGATTACAAGCTTGCACATGATCATCGATACAGCTTAGACGTCGTGAACGAGTCATGCCCCGAAATTCCCCTGGATCTCATTAGAGACCTCAACTCGATGCCTCATATAGTCCCCAGCTTATCCCGGCCTCCCCCGCCAGCTCCAGCTCCTGAGCCTACACGATTAGCCCGCAAGCAACGCGTCGAGAATCTACAGGAGGAGAGCGAAAGCCAAAGTCAAACCAACACCGACACTGAAAACGAGACCGAGACCGAAACCTTAGGCAGAACAACAGGCCCTCGCCCAAAATATAGATACAGCTGGCTTCCCAAGACCGCTACAGCTACTGCCAGACCTATAAGTACAATGGAGCTGGGACTGGGTGTATCACCTCCGGTTATTATCGACAGTAAGGGTGAGCAGCGAGTCATGGGCCCTGAAGCAGAACAACAGCGTCAGAAAGATTTGCAGCAGGCAGTGAAAGAGAAGATGTATACGGGGGCAATTAATCCCAGATCGGTATCTGATACGCACCGCATTCAGCCTTGCGCAAATTGTTCGGATGCTGCCAAATCCACCGGTATCACTGATGTAAACGAGACTGATCAGCAACTCTCGCGGCGAAGATCGATTCTCCGAAAATTCTCGTTTTTCAGCTTTGCGAAGCTGAGGAATAATATGCCACGGGCGAGGGAGGCGGTTGGGTTTAGTCGGATTGTGGATGTTGTCTAGCTTCTTTTCTTACGAGTTTTCTTCTTTTTTTTCCCCGAACCTTTTCTTCAGATTTGCATTCTCATGGTTCCGCGTTTGTGTACATTCACTGTTGCGCCCTTGTATATCCTTCACTAGTCTCTACACCTAGCTATTAATTATTAACAGTAGCATTTTATCACTTTTATTGCTTTTCATCCGTTCTCATTTTCATAAGCCTACCAGTGATTGCGAGTGTTTGGGTGTCAATATAAGGGCACATGATATCTCGACTATCCGTGATTGAACATGAGTTGCCTTCTAGTCTCTTATTCGAGACTGCAAATACCATCATCTGGGCAGTTCTTCAACAGCTCAGTCATGTTTTCCATTATGAAGTAGAATACCCACCGAGTATTCTTGACGAGGCCTCCTGCGTATCAGCTCTACCTTTCTTCAGAGTCATGGCAATTTTCGAGGATTCAGGCCGCAAGCCCAACTGCCTTGGGTATGACAGTGCTCGACATTGAGCTAAATGTGTGCTCTTGGATTTCCTCCCCACGAGAGTGAACATGCTGTTTCTGACACACCCTCCATCTCTACTTTCCAAACAGGACTTCTTGAATATGTGCCACTTCGTCCCTCTTGTACTCCTGACAGTCTACTAGATTTTATAGGGCTTTGACTTAGCAAGAAAATCCGGACAGGTAGCCTCCCAATTTACTTCGCGTATCATCACTCTATACCTCCATTTAGAAGATCACGCCATGGAAGCGAGCATAAATTACACGGAGCCAATATCCTGAAACAAGATTTTGATCTACGAAGAACACCATCTATTGTTGACATACACGAACGCTCCTAGGTTATCTTTACGTAATAGAGCATGCTGTATAAGACTACGAAGACTTGCACGGGGGGAAATACCTCCTTGATACATGGGCTCCCATTGGCGAGAAAAAGGACTACGATACTTCTGAGTATCTCGATGTGTTCAAATATATATATATACAGTTGGTGCATGGTCGATTTACTCAGTCAAATGTTGAAGAGCAAAGGTCATCCATATACAGAAGCTAAAGAGCTTATTCTGCTAAGCCCATGGCTTGAAATACACCATATCAAACCACATCTGGAACTCAACATTCCACTCTCATTGACGGCACCATTTACGGCAAAGGGTATTGAGAAATTGGAAGCTATTAAATCCATATCTATGGCTCATTTCTTCGAGAACACAGCTTCATTGATCAATGAGAAATAAGTACAGTGGTTTAGATCCTTGGCCCGTACGACGCCGCGAAGGAGATATCTCTTGTATAATCCGAAAAAATGAACCAAGCAAAGAGTATCCTCATACCTCTTGCTTATACATTCTTTCAAGGAAGGCCATCGAATCATGATAGCGTTGGGCAACACAAAATGGCCATCAGCACAGCCTGGGCAAGCCTAGAAACTCGAGATACGGAGACGAAGAGATGATTATTTCTCAAACAGCATGGGCCTGTCTGTGGCATTTTAACCTAAAATTTCTGTAAGAGCGGGACTGCTTGCCAGACTTCGCGCTGATTGGGACTCTCATGCCGGTCGAGAAGCCCATGTTGGTGCAATGCTGGACTAACAAGTACGCCAGTCAGAGTTCAAGGGTCTAATGTCTGTTTTCCCTTCAACTACGCTGACACCACTCTCGCGACGATGGTGCTATAGTTATCTATTCAACCGGAAGCTCCCTAATATTTTCTCATGGTTTTTCCCTTCGATGTGAAACCGGTACAAGTTACGGGGACTAAAGTCACGATCTCTAGCAATTTGAAAATTTACTCAACTGTATTTCGTAAACAGCCGCTGCAGAATAGTCGGCAGCCACATGGTACTATCGACGACTCCGTTGAGAAGATGTACACGGAGGTTATGCTAATTTTCGCTGAAGACGAACGATTACAACCAGTTGGAAGAGTCGGGATGGCTAATCGCTGATATGGCTTGACCTGGTGCCACGTCTTCGTTGTACAGCATATGCTCTAATACTATGGATCTTATGATTACCGACTATACTAGGTTGTCTGGAACATTTGCGTTTCAACTATCAAAGGCGGCATCGCGTCTATTAAACCCAGATGCATCAATAGTAGACGCACAATCATCCTGTCTATCCAACAAATCAGGTACGGCAGACTGATTAATGATCCAGCACAAGCCCAGCAAGCTACGGCGACAAACTACAAAATGATTGCCAGAAGCTCCAAAACCGCTCAACCTTCAGAATGCATAGGACACTGGGGGAACTCAATCGCTAAAAGTAGGGCCACAATGAACGTTTCCGGCCATCATGCGAAAGCTTCTTACAATCGTTTACATTTGTGTGGCATTCACAACTGATGGGAATGGACACCGGCAATAACTATGCATCATTAGACCCTCTGAGGACACTTTGGACCCCCATTGGGAAGCCAAATTTTGCCCTGGGAAAAGGCAGTCATTACGGTGAGAGGTCAAAGGGTAGGGGGAAGCTCTTTCACAAGACTGACTAAAGACGATTTGCTTTCTATCTCCAAGCCAATAGGACTGTTATCCCAATCAGTCAAATGGAAGTGGCTAATGGGGATAGAGGACTCGCTTGGGCATTTCTGACGAGGTTCTGTGATGTTTCTTATCCAGCCTCTTTCACCAGAGTCGTGAGCAAATCCATGAACTTGACTATACAGCAGACCACCACAACAATTGTCTGAAGCACAATCCCTGTTCAAAAATTTACAATTTGGTCAAGAGACTGGAAGAAATTTCTCCCTTGGCGTGATGAGGGGCCACAAAGAAAGACTTTCAGGAAAATACCATAATCACGATGTTCCAGGCGAAAGGTAAGATGTTGGCTCCCATGGACCGCGGTCAGCTCAAGTTGTTCTGATGGTTGCTTTTCCTATATTCTTGTCAGGCTTTCCTTTTTTCCCCCCTCTTTTTTTGCATAGCGTGGGGTTTTCTATACTATATGGTATGATTACTGGTCAGCTTTGATGTTTCTACAGATGCCTATCTTTCTCATTGATCCGCTATTGTACCCCTTGCGGTCATTTTTTGATAGTCATAATGAGCTTCACTAATGTACTTTATACTACATGCATGGCATTACAATCCAACCCAATATCTCGTCTTTTCAACCTCAAAAATCCCCTTCAACACCTCCTTCCCGGTGCCCGTAACCTCAACCCTATAAATACCGCTCTCAGAAGCCCAAGCACCTCGCTGTTCATCCCACCAACTCGTCGCTACCTTCTTGTCCACGACGATCTGCACTTCCTTGCTCTCACCAGACTGCAAGAATACCTTGGTGAAGCCTTTAAGTTCGCGCACGGGGCGGTTAACGCTGTTCGTTGGTGGAGGGAGAATCCATAGTTGTGCTATTTCAGATCCCGCCACGGGGCCGGTGTTTGTGACTGTAAGAGTTGTGGTGATTGGTTCTGTGATGGTACCCTCGGGTTGGTGCGGGAGGGTAGGCTTTTCCGGAACGGTGTTGATGGAAATGTTTGAGCGAGCGAAGGTGGTGTATGAGAGACCGTATCCGAAGCTGAAGAGCGGATCCCGCTCGATCTTTTCGTAGAACCTGTACCCCACGTATACGTCCTCGCCGTAGAGCACGCGACCCCTCTCCGAACGGAAGTTCACGTAACTTGGGTTATCCTGCAGACGCACGGGGAATGTGAGGGGTAACTTGGCAGAGGGGTTGACATCGCCGTACAGCACATCCGCAATACCGTTTCCGCACTCGTTACCACCGAACCAAGCTTGCAGTATGGCCTTGGCGTTGTGTGCCCATGGCATTGTCACGGGTGTACCGCTCTGGTTGACGATGACGGTGTTGGGGTTTGCGGTGAGCACGCGGGTAATGAGCTCGTCGCTGCCCGGGGGCAGGTTCATGTGGTCACGGTCGTAGCCTTCTGTCTCCCACTCCATGGTGAGACCCGCGAAAAGAACAACTTGTTCGGCACGGGAGGCTTGCTCGACTGCGTGAGCAATCAGGTCTTCCTGGTTCACGCGGCGAGCGGCACCGAAGCGGAAACCACCTGGGCCAAAGGCGACGATCCCGCGGTTGTCGAGGTCGGAGGTTGGGGCCGTGCCGAATTGGAGGACGATCTTGTATGTGCAACCAGCTTGCAGGTACTTAGCGCCCTTCTCTTCGATGGTGCCGTTGCCGAAGAAGGCGGAGCCACGTTGCTGGTTCTTTGTGTTGTCGACTATTACTTCGTCGTCGATGAGCAGCTTTCCTGTACCAACGACTGTAACTCCAAAGTCGTAGAGACCGTCTTCTTCGGGGGTGAAGTAGCCCTCCATGTCGACGTAGAAGGTCATGGACTTGATCTTAGGGTTGACGTAGTCCATAAGGAAACCAACTGATGCGACAAGATGCAGCTCGTCAACCGCACCCCGATTGGCTTCGGTGGGAGGCTCATTAAATACTCGAAACGAGAAGCCTGGTTTGCCGTCCGCGGCCTTGAGCAGAGGTCCTAGTAAAGGAAGGTCCTTGTGCGAGTAGACACCTTGAGAGAACTCGACGGGGGCCTGACTGGCGGCCGAGACGCCTTCAAAAGGGGTCACGGTATAGTAGGGGAGAAGCGAAGCAGAGCCTCCTCCGCAGTAAGCTGCAAGCTTAGCATTAGGACCAATGACCAGAATTGGCTTGTCCTTTTTCAAAGGAAGAATATTATCCTGGTTCTTCAGAAGAACGACAGACTCTGCGGCGGCCCGGCGCAGCAGAGCGTGGTCCTGCTCTCGATTTAACCCCTTCTCTGGTGCTCCCTCGGGAATACCCAATGGATCCAGATAGTTGATTAAGTTGAGGACATTCCGCACACGACTATCCAAGACAAATTCAGCGACCTTATTCGAAGACACAGCGTGAGCCAACACGTCTCCTCGCCACCGGGTCTTGCCCGGCATCTCCAGATCCAGACCAGCATTAATAGCCTCGGAGGTGCTGTATGTACCAAACCAATCACTCATAACCAATCCATCCCATCCCCACTCCTTGCGAAGGATATCGCCAAGAATCTCTTTATTCTCACTAACATGCGTCCCATTCACCTTGTTATAAGCCGTCATGATACAGGCACTCCGACAAATCCTCATAGCCACCTGGAACGGAAGCAGATAGATCTCCCGCAGAGCCCGCTGCGTAACGATGCTGTCGACAGCCAACCGTTCATGTTCCTGATCATTACACACAAAGTGCTTCAGCGTCGCACCGACACCCTTCTCTTGCATTCCCTTGCTGTAGTGACCGGCTAAAGTACCGGATAATATTCCATCCTCGGAGAATGATTCGAAGCCTCGTCCGCCCAGCGGAGAGCGTTGGATGTTGATAGTAGGGCCCAGGACAACGTGACAGCCTTTGGCGATGGCCTCGTCGGCCATTAATCGACCAACATCGTCCAGCAGCTCGGTATCCCAAGTGGCACCCAATGCAGTGGCACAGGGAAAGCATGCGGCCGGGATACCATTGAAGAATCGTGTTCCTCGTACGCCATTCGGGCCATCGGACAAGCGGAGGGATGGAATGTTCAGACGGTGAACAGCTGCAGTGTGCCAGAAATCAACCCCTATGCAGAATTAGATGTGTGAAATGCAGTCCAAAAGATCCAGGGTAAAGCAAGTACCAGCTGTCAAAGCGATTTTCTCGCCAAGAGTTAACTCCGAAATGGTCTGTTCTACGTCTAAGCGAACCATGATGCAATAGCGGGCCCGCCGTTAGAGCCAGAGAGAAGCGAATACAATAATGCGTTTTAAGGGAGGTGAAAAGAAGAACAGAAGTCAATAATAAGAAAGGAGGAGGAGAAGAACGGAGCAGAGGGCAGAGGATGGACACAAGAATCCGGGAGAATGTCGTAATAAATAAACCCATAAAACAAGTCCTTCATGCACAACCCATCAATCAATCAGATCAACCAATTCCTATTCCCAAGCTGTGCTTTTTGTTCATACATCCGATCTCAACTCAGCAGCTGTGGCTCTCATCACATTAGTCACCCATCACAACGGGGAGTACATATGTAGTGTGTATTCTGCTTGCCGCCCACTGTGATAGTAATAGCCGAAGCAGATCGCTTTCCCATATATCCCAAAGCTCATCACAGGAGACCCTCCAGAGCTTATTATCCCTGAGGACACGAAACAAAATGAGTATCACCCGGACTAACCTGTGGGCGGATCGTCAGCCGAGATTCTGCCATGTATTTTGGGCTTGGAAACACGCAAACCGGAATGCAGGAATTACCTTACAGGGTAAAAGGACGATCCAATAAGCCTCCAGTGGACGTGGATCCTGTCCTGTCAGAAAGGCCGAAGATTTGCCAGTGGCCTAAGTTGAACTATGGAGTACTGTATGGCCGAAGGTTAAAGGTATAATACCGAAGATTAGCCGGCGGACCATTGTCGGGCCGGATGGGGGAGCAGTTGCCTATTTGGATGTACTATCAAGTATAGAATGGAGCAATTGAGATTATATTCTAGTATCAACAGAATGCTTCACCGTTTATGCTAATACATAATAATCGCTAGCAAAGAAAAAAGCCATTCCAACACCCGATCATGCATAAATAGATGAGAAAAATAAACGAAATAGATCAATGAGAGACAGTATCAAACACTCCAGAAAGATCAAAATATGTTTACATACCCCGACGAGGCCTCTTGTTCTCATTCCCCATCCGTGTTCCTCCACGACCTCCTCCTCCTCCTCCTTCGCCATGTCCGTCATCTCCGCCTCGTCCGCGCTTGCGATGGCCACCACCACCGCTACCGCCGCCATAGTCACGGTCTCGCGCACGGTCCCGGTTACGCTCGCGCTCGCGCTCGCGACCGCCGCCGCCCCATCTTCGCTCATCCTCGGCACTTCCGGGGAGAGGCGGGGGCGGAGGAGGCGGTGGAGGTGGGACGCCCATAGACGATGGAGGCCGTAGACGGCCTTCATGTTCGTGGGAGGCTAAATCTGCTGCTGCTCCCTCGTCTCGTTCGCGCCGCTCCCGGCGGTCACGATTGCCGCCTCCCCGTCGTAGTACTTCTCGGGGTGGTTCGTAACGGGCATCGTCTCGATTGCCAGCCGCGCCAGCGTCACTACGGCGGCTGCGTTCTCGTTCGTATTCACGAGCGCGTTCGCGTTCTTCTCGTCGGCTGCCGCTTCGTGTCCCTTCCTCGTCTCCACGGCGCTCTCGTTCTCGTTCGCGGTCCCGATCCCGTTCGCGTTCGCGGTCTCTCTCGCTGCGCTCACCACGTTCGCGGTCAGCGCGATCACCACGATCACGATCTCTGTCCCGTTCACGGTCCCTTTCTCGTTCACGGTCACGGTCACGATCCCGTTCTGAGTGTCGCTGCGTACGGCGTGGCTCAGAACCAGGCTCCTCGAGCAAGTCGCCTCGACCTCCAAGACTCCTACGCGAGTGGCTCTCATCCCCTCGGGAAGCGCTGGTGATCCGATCCGCCAAAAGGTCAGGCCGACCTTGTTGGGAAGAAGTCGAAATAGTGCGACTTCCATCATCAGGTGTTCCGCCAGAAGGAGTAGACTGCGGAGATGGCGCATTCATGGCAGCGGCAGAGCGATTTGCGCCTCGGCCCCGGATCGATGTACCAGGTCCACTGCGATCTGCAGGGCCTGCCGACTGTTGAAGCATAGTGTTGATGCCGGCGAATCGTTTGTCTCCTCGTCCCCGGTCACCACCGCCACTACCACCACCAGTTCCTGGAGGCTGTGCTCCACGAGGAATAGGTGATGGGCCTGATGGCGGGGCAAATGAACTACGGGGCCCGGATGGAGGGGCAATCCCTGGTGATGGTGGTTGCTGAGATCGTCCACCACCATAGTCATTTCCTTGAAGCTGCAATGCCTTGAGACGGTCTGGATGAATTCCGCTATTGTCCATCCGTTCACTGGCAGGCGATGGCGGTGCGCCTGCCGCTTGCTGTTTCGGTCCCATTGGCGGTTGGCGCTCGTTGCCTCCCGCGGGAGGTGGAGGCGGAAGCTGTGGTCCAGATGCTCCGCGGCCACCACGCCCATGTGCGTTCCTTACCCGTGGTCCAGAAGGAATCTCCGCAGGTTCCGGCTGGCGCAATCGTCCATGGCTGATGTCTGGGCCAGAAGGAGGTTCCCTTGAATCGTGAATCTCTCGTCCTGGACGTTCGCTGCGAGGTCCCGTGGGCAAATCATCAAGTCGCGAACTCGGAGGGTAATTGGCAAAACGTCGATCATCGCCGGGGAAACGTTCCAGCCGGCCTGGGAGATCTAATGGTCTCGGTAGTGATAGACCTCTCGGTGGAGGCCCGCGTCGATCCCGGTCTGGACGCTCATGGATCAACCCAGCACGGTCAGGATGCGTTTGTGGGCCTGGTCGTGGACCACTTGGCGCTTCATGGGGCACACGTGGACCGTCGGGCCGTACATCAAAGCCATCAGGTGCAGGGCGCAACCGTCCAGGTCGGTCCGGCCATTCGGGCTCCCGGGGAAGTCGACCGTCGCGATACGCAGGACCACGGAATGGCTCATCGGTGGGCAGTCTTGTCGGGAGTTCCCTCTCGAGTGGACCATAACCAGGGTGATCATGCTCCCCATCATAGCGGTTAGGGTGTCGTTGCCGTTCAGGTCGGGGCGGCAGTCTTCCATCTCCATGGCGAATTGGCCGGTTAGGCAATCCACGAATGTTTGATGCACTGGACGAAGATCGTTCGATTTCAGGACGCTTGGGAACCTCTGCTTGTCTCTCGGGAGCCAGAGGCTCTGGTTGAGAAACAGCGGAAGCAGACGAAGCGCGAGGTGGTTCAACTGCTGGTTCGGCTGGTTTGTCGGTTGGTGATGCCTCTGCACCGCCAGTAGCAGTTTGCTCAGCTTGCTGCGGTGCCGTCTCAGGTTTCGCAGAAGGTTCTTGTTTCTGCTGAGTTCCTTCTTCCGTTCCCTTCATCGCAACATCGGTCATTTTGGCGTCCTCAATCTCTCCATCCTCAACTTCCTGTTTTGACGGTTCAGACTTAGGGGTGCCCTCGGCTCTGTAAACGCGGGAGAAAAATTAGAAAACTGTAGGCAATTGACAAAATGTTCGTAACTTACTCTTGGCCAACTGGGGGCTTAAACGAAGGTGCAGTCGCATTCAATGCTGTCGGTGTCGCCGTTCCCGAGGCGCCAGCCTTATCAGACGAAGCTTGTTCAGTCTTCTGTTGCTGTGCCGGGATCGGTCCTTTAATCTCATTAAACGCCTGAGGAAGCATCCACTTCTTCTCTCTCCGGTTGAGGTCTCCAATCAGCGAAGCAGCGGGTGTCTTCACGTCATCTCGTTCGTCGTTCTGGCTCAGGTTGTTGACGCTCTTTAAGATATCGCGGCCGATCCAGTTGACAGCGGGGAATTGCTGGACGATTGCCTTGAGCACACTGATCGCGTTTCGAATGTGCATATATTCACCTCCGTTCAGACAAATCTTGAGTGCTGAGGCCAAGATACGGTGCCACTTGTACAACAGCCGACGGAAATCCTCGTAGTCTATAAACCCTGCTGGCTTTCCATCGGAGCCAACGGTAAAAGCGAATCCGGGGAGGTCCTTTTTCGTACCGAAAGCCTCTTTCTCGTACACAGCCTTGTCGGCGTGCCAGCGACCGAGGTCCCGTAGGGTTTCGTTGAGGAATTGCCCAAAGTTGTCCGCCTCCTTCGAGGTGCATTGAAAGATGATAGCCGTTATTCTTTGCTCGCGGAACAGTTGATCCAACAACCCGACAGTCCGAAAGTTTGGTGTTCCAGAGGTATGCAAGAACTTAAGCATTTTGAAGCAGTAGAAAGCCTCAATCGGTGACAGAAGCAAACGAGGCACGAAACACTGTTCCAACAAAGAAACGTTCAAAGTGTCGTAGTTTCCACGCATGCCAGCAAACCACCGGTCCTTTTCTTTCTGCAATCTTGTCCTGGTTTGACCGTACGCCTTGAGATGAGTCTTGTTCTCTTCCAAAATTCGTTCCTGAAGCTGAGTGAGCTGCTTCTTTTCTCGTTCCTTCCGCTGAGTCCCGGCCATGCTGATATCGGATCGATCGTTGTTGATTGTAACTACCTTCCTCTTCTGGCGGTCGATTTCATCTTCATACGCCTTCTGGGGAACGTGCACGTCATAAAGTGACAATTGCCAGAAGATAACGTAGAAACGTAACCCCACGATGCCGTATGTATCGAGCGACAAGACAGACTGGATCTGCTCTTCGATGTCCTGGACAACAGCATTTGATGCAGGAGGATCGGCATTACCATTGCCGTTCGCGACGGGTTGTTCAGGAGCAAGTGTGCCATCCGATTCGTTTGAAGTTTGTGACTGTGGCTTGTCCACATCCATCATTCCTTCGGTCGTTGCTTCCTCGCTCTTGGTTGCTGACTCACCATCAACTGTCATGTCTTGGCCATCCTCGGCCTTCGGTGCTGAGGGAGATCTCTGACTTTCACGGTTCTTTGACGCAGCTTCCTCCTCCTGCGCTGCTCGTTCAACTTCAGCGATCTTCTTCCCGATGCTGGGTCGTTGAATCCAGAAAGCGAGTTCAGGCTGCACACCGAATTCTTTGATAAGAGTGGGCAAATCAGGAACAAACGAATCGAACTCCTCGACCGACAGGTTGCTGCGCAGCAGATCAAGATACTGCGTAAGAATACGGTGAATTTCATCGAAGATGTTACCCAAAAGCTTCAGCTCTTCGGAGCCCTCCTCCTGAAAGATACAGGTCCACCGCTCTTGTGCAATAGCAACGAGCAATTGACCAGCAAGCTTGGAAACAGTAAGCGACTTCATAAGCCGCTTCGAAGTCGTCTTGGACTCGTGTCGCTTGTCCAATAGCTGCAGAATCGTCTGCGACTGAAGGGTATCGCCGCCTGCCATGGCCTGGATTTGAGCCTCGTTGAAGCTGCTGTCCGTGATGATACCTGCCATGGAGCTGATCATCTGCTCTAAGACAATAAGGTCAGTGGAGTTATTGTGCCGCAGCTGTTCTACCACATACTGCAGCACTGGAGTAGGATCCATGACAGAGTATCGTTTGAAAGTCCTGCCAGCGAACGTAGCCAGTGCATTCAACCACCGACTGGTTAGTAAACCTCCTTCCTGGACACGACTCCGTCCTTTCTGACCGAGAGAGTTGATCAGGGACCATGTCAAGATATCATATCCAAGATACGTGAAATAACGGGCACACTCCACAACAACTTCGATGAGGTTCTCGTAGGATTCAATTTGGCTGATGGCAACGTTGATGACAATTCCGGGGTTAGCATATGCAATCTTTGCCAGCGCACGAGCCATGGGGCGAATATTCGTCTTGCTCAATCTCTTGAGCGTATCCTTGGTTTCGGCTCTAGCTTGGTCGAATGCGGACTTAATGTCGGGAAGTCGCGAGGTTTGTCCAAAGTACCATTCCGCGTACATATTGTACCGGACCTCACGGGAGAAGAAACTGATGAGATCGAAAACTTCATTGACCACACCAGGGTTGGCCTTGGTCAAACTGATAGCGGGAACAAGAAGACGCTTGCACAAATCCTGCCAACGGGCCCTGTTCTCTTGAGAATTATCCTTGCTCAAACTGTCTCTTCCGATTCGTGCCAATTTCGAGAGCAAAGTCGCATCCTGTCCAATCTTGTGACCAGAGAGGTTAAGGAAAGAAGAACAGAGAGCGAACACGTCATCAACAGACTGACAGATAGGAACGTTGTCCGCCCAGTCGTCCCAATAGAACCGGTAATCTGTCCCATCATGTTCATCCTCCACGTCAAGCTGGGCCCATCTAAGAACCCTCCTCGGTGGCGCCTGGTTCAACCGGATCTGCCCCTTAGGTACACTGGACTGGTCCAGGCTGGGGATCTGCTGCTGATCCCGAAGACCTTCCACAGAAGGCAAGGGACGTAACGAGGCGTAGACCTTGCTCAACGAGTGATGCAGAACACGGTGGATGAATTCAGGAAGTTCGGGGTAGACATCCATCAACCAAGGAAACTTGCTCAAGATCAAAAGGGCTTCAGGAAGGGCACCAATGGCCAGCAGACTTTTAAGCAGCAGGACCTTTTGATCTGACGGTTCCGGGAGTTCATCCTCCTCCGCTTTGGCCGCAGCCTTGTCTGCTTCTTGTTCCCTACTCGGGGTGGCTCGAGCTTCTGACTCGCGTATCCGTGGCATAGGAACAGTATCATCTGCCAAAGCACCGGCCATCATCAACGCGTTGACACCACCACCCGGTTTTGCTGCTCGTTCCCGCTCCGCTTTCTCTTTCAACTTCTCCTCTTTCAGCGCATCCATCGAATCATCGGGCCTCCAGAGATGAGGGTACAAGTCGCGAAGGGAAATGAAGCCCACTTTAATAAGCAAAGCTGCCAGATAAATGAGGTTATCAGGGAGAACATCTGACTTTGAGCGTGCCCGAGACGAATAGAAGCGCAACTTGAATCCGAGAAGCTGCGCGGCGACGCGGCTACCTTTAGGAGGCAATGTCCCAGTTTCCTCGATCCACTTGCGAGTCTCGATCTCTTCTTCTGACAAGGTGTTTGATTCAGGGAGTATTTGTTTCTTTTCCTCCTCGGAGATCGGCCTGCGCCCGATTTCGAAGAAAGCGCGGATTCCAATCTCTCTCACTCGGCTCCAGAACTCCCGGTCTCGTTGTTCATTGGATTTCACGATCTCTGCTCGTTCTTCATCAGTTGTGATCCAGCCAGACGAACCTGGCAATGCCCAGTTCGGCAACCCAGAATCACGGTTGCTGCCTTCGAGAGTACGGAAGGTATCTTCCTTGGGCCACCACGAACTAACGCGCAGGAGCTTCACGAAGAACCGATATTGTTTCACAAGAACAGCAGCAAAAACATCGAGAGTAACGTCCAAAACACGGCCAACGTCCATGTCAAAAGCACCAATCATTGCCTTTACCCGTTCGAACGTATCCTCCACGACCTCACTAGATGGCGGTTCGTTGTTGCTTGTTGTAAAAAGCTCGGTAAGTAACTTCGAGTAACCTTCCGATTCTTCTCGCAAAAGGTTATAGTTCGATTGCCGGTAAAGAAGGTTGGTCTGCTTTCGAATACCCATACGAGCAAAGGTCTCGCGGACAAGTCCGAGCGATTGAAGAAGTGGTGTGTCGAGCTGGAGACGCATGAGCGCCGCACTAATACCAGTCGAGAACACCAACGGTTTCAGGGCACCATTAGTTGTATCCGAATCGGTAACAATGGAAAGGATATCAAGGAACAGAGCGCGCGTATCGAGTAACGGTCTCGCATCTTGTTCGTTCTCAATATCGACATGCTGAGCTGCAACTTCCTCTCCGATTATATCCTTCACTGCAGCCCCTGCATCTGTTGGTGGTAATCGGCCGTAAATAGCGGAGCGGATCAACTCCTGGTAGATAGACGCCAATTTCCCAACGTTCTGTTGATTTTTTGTCTGGATGCCTTCATCAACCAGCCTCTGCCGCCCTATCAGCATCCACTCTCCAATAACATTATCGGTAACATATTCGTAAGTGTAGGGTGTGGGTGGATTAGGAGGTTGGATGACGGGAGCAGGCTCGGGCTGCGGCGGCGCTTGCGTCTGGGGCGGCGCTTGAGTTTGCTCCTGCTGAGCAGGAGCCGGCGGTGCAGGCGACGGTGACGGCCGAGATTGTTGGTTTCCAACGCCTGCCGCGGTCCCATTTGTCTGCATCGGATCGGAAACTTCCCTGGAAACAGTGGGAGTCGCGTTGGGAGGAGTCATGTTATTCTGGCCATCAGCGCTTGGTCTCCGACTGGGACCGTTACGACCTCCTCGGCTCGGTTGCCGTCGTAGGCGCCCGCGCGACTCTGGGTAATCACGAGGTTGGTGTTGCGCCATGTTGAGATTACTCGGACGATGGGGGGAGGGTCTTTGGGACTCGTTCCCGGAATCGCCAGACCACAATCGATCGCCTCTCTTTCTTTTTCCTCCGGCACCTGGAGCCATGACAGCTTAGGTCAGAGCTTGTCGTCTCAGGTAGAGGACTGGTGAAGTGCCGACAGATCGCAGCTCATCGAGTGTGAGTCGCTTTGAGACTGGGGAACCGGTCAGTACTGGCGGGTAACATGTTCTGACGCAAACTCGATAAATAAATGGGCCAGACGGGCTGGCGGCAAAGGAGAGGGTGAATACCTGCTATCGAATACTTTGGAAAGAAAGAAAGGATCGAAACGACGACTACGCAGCGTCGGATTATTCACTTGCTGCAGGGAAAGCATGAAAGAACGGCCGCCGCAGCTTGCTATGTCGGCGCCAGTGGCGGCTGTCGCGTTTATTTCTTGTCGCGCGTTCAATGTTCATGAGGTCACAAATCTACTCCGGGGTACTCGATGCGTGAATTGTTATCTCTAATTATAACTTGATGCAGCTACTACAATGAATAACCCATAAGTCAATCCTCGACCCAAATCTCAATTTCTTCGACCTCGACCTCGTCCTGCCAATCCCCCCTCCATGAGGTTGCCCTGTATGCTGGTTCCTCTATTTGCGCTGAAGAATCATTTAATATATTTGCCCGCGTCAAGTTCCTAGTTAATACTAATTCTACTACATTATCCCTCTGCCCAAGGATAGCCTTTCCATTTTCCATAGCCCAGCCCGGATGGTCGCCATTGCTCCGGAAGACGTCGTGAAACGGGCTTAGCTGGAAAAGAAAAAAACCAGCAGCGTCATCTCCACCGCGCCATGGGAGATAATAGCCAAAGATTGCCATTTCCCCGGTTCTTGTAAGTTTTCCGCATATGAGCAGAATCAAGGGATCAGGGGCTGCAGTGTTCTCATCCGCAAAATAAGACGCGCCTATAGTCGCTTGGACGTTTTAGGTGTTGTAGAACTAGAGTTGGTCGAGGCAGACGGCGTCTGAAAGTATTGTACTTAATTGCGTAAAACCAGGCAGGGTAGCTATATTCCTCGGCTGAGGGAGACGCTGCGCTAAGCTGTCGGTATTTGGTGTAGTGTAGAAGCAGGATAATATATGCTTTAGACTGATGAGTAGTTCCGGCTGTTTACTATAGCCTGGGCTCTGAAAGACAGAAGAGTGACATGTAGTTGCTGCGAGAGCCTGGTCAAAAATTTCCCAGATGATTCCAACATCCGAATCATGAACGGGTCTTCTAAAGATGCAGTTCTGCAGCATGGTCAAACCCAACCATCTTCTCTATTGGGACATTCAGTCTCCCAAAACGCACAAAGCAGAGAAACTCAACAAACTCTTGAAACCCATCCACCGGAATACTCAGATAATGCAGATGTAGACACCCACGATGTATCTCCCTAGCCAAAGGACGAAAACAGTCACGCGGCACCGGCGCTATCCAGATGTTAGGAGTAGGCTGGGCCACAAATAGAGAACCCGAGAGACCATGGAACATCTCATAACCATCGTCATCGTTGTTCAATTCAGCATATTCGCGGCAATGCGCGTAAAAAGCAGGAAATTTGAATGCTCTCTGTTCGGATTGCTTTTTGGACTGGTCGACTTTCTCTCTAGACAACGCATTCTGGTCATTGCGGACTGTTGCTAAGCTTTGGAATATGATCCTCCATGTATCCGCCAGCGTTCTAGTCCGTGAATCCTCGCTTTCCTCATAGACACATCTGGACTGATCGTGGTCTGTCCAGACCAGAGACCGAAGGAGAACACCTAATGTCAACTTCCGAGCGGAGTGTCAATATAATGAAGCTTGCGAAAGATTGATGTGACAGCAGTAGAGAGTCTCCCCTGCTTTAGTCATGGACGAGGGAATAATCTCGCTCTCTTGAAGGAAATGCATGTTTGTTGGGAGAAATATAGAATGTTGTTTTCTTCGGTACAGATAGAACGAAATGTTTGGCAGAGTTGTTTTTCGTCTTCCAAAATGTCGAAGTTTTTTATTCTGTATCTGAGAGTGTTCAAAACAGCATCACAAGTGATGAGGCCTTGCCTAGCCCATTCCTTGATTCCTTGGTAATACTCTTAGGGATCCATGGTGTGTTGTAGCAAAAAAAAAATCTGGGGTGTCCGTTTTGAATACGGCAGGGCTGTTTTTATATTCAGTGGGGAAGTACAATGGCAGTGTTTTGCATAGCAGTCCAGCCTTACTTTCCAGCTCCGGAACTAAATATGTATATTGATTAATTTCAAATGACCCTAGATTGTCTTCTGTTTATAAGACTGGATTTAGCTCTCGATACTAACGATAGCAGTACTTTGTGCCTTTTCGTTCCAAAGCTATTGCTATTCAGGGCTAAGATATACACATACAATAATATATTTTCATAGCAAAGGGGTACAAATCGAGCGGTATCGTTTCTTGGGATCTTTTCACGAACAGCAACAGCTATTAAGTTCCCCTCATCAGAGGCTCAACGTCTGTGAGTATCCTTCTCCAGCTATACATCTTCCAACTTGTTCAATTAGATCTCATTCTTGGGTCTGTTTCAGACTTCATTTCAGCTGAGGGCGTGCGCCACACATACTATATCCATTGCGCATCTCAATTTGGATATGGAGTTTTATGAATTCAAACTCCGAATATATAGTCGGTCGTTCGATAGATTGTGTCTCTGCTATACACAAAACTAAACTTGTCATACTATTCATAAAATCATCACCTGACTGCAATCACTGTAATCATTGTAATCCCAGGCCCTTAGCCTCCACATCAACAATATGCGGAATCAACTCAATCAGCTTCGGCTTCTCAGGAGTCCATCCCAGCAATTTCCGGGCCCGAATAGCATGACCCCGCGAGGTACTACCCCAAGCATACAAACCAAACTGGTTCAGTTCGGTAACCTGAGCATCAGGAATGGATTCCACATCCGGAGACGAAATTAGACCCTTCTCATGCGCAACCTTGGCAACCTCCCGCTCGATATCGCCCCAAACAAACGATCCATTCTCAGCAAAGTAGTAACCCGCATCATTCCAGGTCGCTGGGGCACCACCAGTAGCTGCAGCCTCACCAAGAGAAAGATAAACCTTGCTCAGATCCTGCACATGAACTTGGTGCCAAATGTTCGTACCCTGTCCAACAAGCAGACCCTTCTTCCGCTGCAACACAGCACCAGTAAGCCAGTACGCCTGCACACTCTTCTGGTTACCGGGACCACGGCCGGGACCATAGATCGTGGGCGGGCAGACGATAGCTGTCTTGATGCTGTCAGGGTTGTTCTTGCTGGCTTCGATGACAATCTTGTCGACGTTGCGGTGGAGGGCGTCGTCGGGGAGGTTGAGAAGTTCAGAGACGCCATCCCAGTCGTTGTACTCCTTGGAGCGCTCGATACCCCAGGTGTTGGTGCGGAAGTCTTCGACAGTTAGGATGCCGGTGCCGGAGGTGTGAATCCACCAGACGGGGTTTTGGGGAGTGTGGTGGCTGGCACCTTTGGCGATTGCCTCGGCTGAGGCGACGTGGTCACAGTCCGCAAAGTCTACGATTGTTAGTTTGCACTTATATTCTTGGTCACGAGTGGGGTACGCACGGTAGACAATGTCCGCGTTCTTAACTTCTTCTTCAATGATGTCGGCCGAGTCCAGGTCACCGTGAACGATCCGGACCTGGGGATATTCACTGGCCAGCTTCGCAGCCTTGTCCTTGCTGCGCACAAGGACAGATAGCTGCCAGTCAGGATGGGCTTGGTGAACGGAGTAAAAGCCGTCACCGCCAATGTATCCAGTTGTTCCTGTCCTTCGGTGTATTAGCGGAGTATATAGAGCGGATATGGATCAGCACATACAAGAAGACCTTGGGTGCCATTTTGTCAGCGTGCAAGTAAGAGATGTATACACAAGAGTACAGGAATAAGAGAATAGTTCAAGTTACAGGGAGAGAAGAGGATATTATATCATGGTTGCTTTCAAATCAAGAGTGGAACCGCACCGAATGACAGTGAACCGAAGTGGGGAAGATTCCGAGGGTCCTGGTTATCTCCGAGCTCAAAGATGGGGGTAAATACATAGTGCAAAGATGGTGTGACTGTCAATAGTGGCACTTTCTATCTTCTGCTACGTTACTCATTCATGGATGGGACTGTCGAAATGGCACGCAATATACAGATAAGCATGATAATCACATACAAAACTGACTAAAATAACAGATTGACAGTCAAGGGGAATCACATCACACAACAGATCATGGCCCATACTTTTTACATACAAGATGATGACAATGACTGGCTCAGAATGTGCTGGCCGCCAACCGACTGGCCGCATTCCGAGCATCCAGCCGGTCATCATCGTCTTCTTCGGCGATGGACCCAACGCCGCTGGACGACCGCACACGTCCAGATCCAGATTCTGTTTCCTCGTCATTCTCCAGATTAGGCGCCATATAACTGCCACTTAGGCTGCGTCCCAGACTATCACCCCGACGGGGCACTCCACTCCATGCGTCACCCTTGGGTCCTTGGCTCGACCCTACGTTCGGTCGTCGCGCTGTTGGATGCGCTTCACGACCCAGACGACTGAGACCCCCAGAGGAGTCAATGGCGCGGATATCCGGTCGGACCATCTCTAGAGTCGCCAAGGTCCTACGCTCTGCCTCGATTTGGCGTAGGGTGTACTCGCGCAGGTGGGAGATGACATCGTTAGATGTTTGGTCGAACCACCGTCGTTTCTCTTGAACCAGGTTGGAGGTAACTTGGTGAGTTCGCTTTGACAGGTAAGTCTCATGGTTCTCGGCCTCTTCCAAGGCACTGAGGGCCTCGTCCACCTTGTCGGGACGGACTGAGGAACTAACCCTCAACCGATCGGCAGCAGCGCGTTTGCTGCGGGCGGTCTGTTGGGCTTGAAGGAGGTCTCGGAGAAGGATGTGCCGGTTTGTCAGTGTTTCCTTCACGACGAAGGCATCGGAGGAGTGGTAATTGAGTGGGTCACCCAGCGTGGTGGCTTCGGCCGTTGCTTGCACTGCATGAAAGTCGCCTACGCTTTGAATTATCTTTCCGAGTTTTTTGTACGCGTTGGCCAGTCCCGGATGGGTCTCCTGTACATGCATTTGTCCAAGCTTCAAACCAAATTCCGTTTCCGCCAAGCCAAGCCCTGGAGGGTGTTAGTTTCTAAAACTGGCAATCATGAAAAGGGAATAAACATACCCCGCCGGCCTTTAACTACGCGATCCACCTTGTGGCTTGCGTCCATGGCACCCAAGTAAAACATCTTCACAGCAGGGCGTGCGCTCTGCAGCTCAGGGGTATCATCCGGGGGCGGCGCAAACTGCTTCAAGACCTTCCTCCGCATTCCCGTCGCTGGCTGTTTCATCCGGACAACCGGGCTGTAACCAAAGTCGCTTTCAATAAACAGAACCACTTCGTCGTCTTGGGTGAGGATCTCATTGCTCATAACAATGTTGAGCCATCGCTGCATCGCTGCTTTAACGCGAATCTCATCTTCCTCCGTTCCTGCACCGGCAGGTGTCAATGGCGGAGGCACGGCGGGGACGAGAGCTTCAGCGTTGGCTGACATCAAATGCTCCGCGAGCCGGACAAATTCTGCGTGAGTACGGCGAACATCTCGGTATTGCGTAGTTCGGAATTTGGGAATGTTTGTCTAAATCTCGGGTCAGATGACATCTCCGGAAGTAGCTGTACGAGTTACCCACGTGAACATCGAACCGAAGAATGGGATCCTTCTTGCCCGTCCTCTCTAGTCCCGTAATTCTCGCCTGGATTCTATATAGCGGAGCCGGTCGTTTATTCTCTTGCCCTGCCGGTGCTTGCGGCTCGACAGGAGGCTGTGCTTGCTGTTGCGGTGCATACTGTGGTTGCTGCGGCGGGAGCGGTGGTTGTTGCGTAGAGTACGGAGGTTGTTCAATCGCGTAGTCTGGATCGCCTAGTTGCGCACTCTGCAATCGCTGCGACAAATCAGAATCAGGATCTTCCTCCCTCGAAGCCGACCAAGGCTCAGCACCGGCAGCTTGGGATAGATCTCTGTCCGCATCGTACGGCGACTGTTGCTGAGGGGGTAACGCGGACGGGGGAATATCGCTATTGTTGGATTCCGAAAAGGTAGTTTTCGCGGGTCCCGGTGATGCCCAAGGAGAGGTACCGGTAGGATCATCAGATATAGCTGAATAGTCCATTGTTTGTCTGCTTTCTGGATCGGTTTGGATGTATGTATGGGACCGGCCACGTTCTGCCTCGACGACCATTAGCAAACTCGAAGAAACCGCGCTGATAATTGAAAGATGCACACCTATAAACCTTTTCAATTCAGATCCACCGACAGGATCCAAGATAGCAGACCGGGAATTAGCTGTGGTGTGAACAAGAAGCAAAGGAAGAAGAAGAGAAGAAGAGTAGGCGGAGGTTACGTCGTTAGGGATGTCGACACCTGGCCATCCAGGCATATACATTTTCTGCCGGCGATATAAATCCGCTTATGACCTCAACAGTCATCTCCAAACAGATCGGTACTATTCTCTTTGTATAGATATCGAGATGCACTTTTTGATATAAAAAAAGCCCTCTGTGCGCAGCTCTTAAATATAGCTTCTCAATTGCTATGGTTGCGACTCCGTTGTTGCGCATCTCTCCCCAGGCATTGGCTCTGAAGCCAAGCCCAATTGCGGCTCGACGCCTGGGAAATCTCAAATCATTGCCATTATATACTCGAAAATCCTTCTCGACATCATCAGCGAAATGGTCGGAGATGCTCGAGCGGACGAGGAATATCGGCATCATTGCCCATATTGATGCGGGGAAGACCACCACAACGGAACGCATGCTCTACTACAGTGGGTTTACGCGCAGAATCGGAGACGTGGATGAGGGATCTACAGTAACAGACTTCCTTCCCGCGGAACGAGCTCGGGGTATCACAATTCAATCCGCAGCGATTACATTCCATTGGCCTCCGGGGGCGCCTGGGGATGAGAACATAGTGACCGTGCAGGAATCACAGGACAAGTCCCTCCCAAGATCTGCGGTGCCTCATACGATCAACCTCATCGACACTCCCGGACATGCGGACTTTACATTCGAGGTCATGCGGTCGTTACGCATTCTGGACGGGGCCGTGTGTATTCTGGATGGTGTTGCGGGTGTCGAGGCTCAGACGGAGCAGGTCTGGCATCAAGCTAGCACATACAGAATCCCAAGATTGGTGTATATCAACAAACTCGATCGTGATGGAGCGGCCTTCGGACGGACAGTGAGAGAGGTGGGCTCGAGACTTGGAGGCTGGCCGGCTGTATGTCAAATTCCGTGGTTTGAAGGCGGAAACGGCTGCTTTGTGGGAGTAGCAGACGTGATAAACCTCCATGGCTTACGATGGAGCGACGGCGATGGCAAGTCTGTGAAGATGCTTGGTCTTCAGCAATTGGATCAGGAAGAAAGTCAATTGGCGGTGGAGCTTCGACGTGCACGGGCGGCTCTGGTCGAGCTTTTGAGCGAGCATGATGACGAGTTGGTCGAAAAGTTTTTTGAATACGATGAGGATCACTTAGCGGTCCCGCCTCAAGACATCATCAACAGTCTTCGACGCTGTCTTATTGAGAACAAATCGAGTAGGATTATTCCCGTGTTTGCAGGTGCCAGTTTCCGCAACATCGGTGTACAGCCTCTACTGGATTCCGTTATAAACCTTCTTCCTAGCCCTCTTGAAACTTCAGATCCGGAGGTCAGCATCGGACATGTCAAGGGTGGCCTCCGACGACTGCTTTCGGGGGATCTCCTAGTGGAACAGAATGAGAAAGCTGCGTCCGGCGGCAAGAAGCAGAAGAGCAAGAAGAGCCTGCATGCAGAATCACAGGGCTTCATTGAGAAACTTCAGGGCTGTGGTCTTGCCTTCAAAGTGGTCAACGATGCTAAGCGGGGGGTGCTGGTGTACGTGCGAGTTTACTCAGGGTCACTAGATCGAAACAGCACCCTGTTCAACACCAACCTCAACGTCTCAGAACGTGTGCCTCGTCTTTTGAAGATGTACGCCAATGACGCTGTGGAGGTTGACTCAATCCCCGCGGGCCATATTGGTGTTGTGGTCGGCCTCAAGCATGCGCGAACAGGAGATACCCTGGTCTCGTATGCAGGACACAAATCAACGCCTCCAGAGCCACTGAACACGCTGCAACTCCGCCCTATCGATGTGCCACCGCCGGTATTCTTCGCTGGTGTAGAGCCGCACAGTCTGAGCGAGGAGAAGAAGCTCGAGGAATCGTTGGCGCTTCTCTTACGAGAAGACCCTAGTCTGCATGTGACGGTAGATGAGGACTCAGGGCAGACGCTTTTGAGTGGGATGGGCGAGCTGCATCTCGAGATTGCTCGGGACCGACTTCTTAACGACCTCAACGCTAAGGCCAGTATGGGTCGGATTGAGATTGGATACCGCGAAGCACCACTGGGAGCTTCTGCCCCTGTGACCAAAATCTTCGACAAGGAAATTGCTGGCCGTAAGGGCAAAGCTGGATGTACTGCGGTCATCGAGCCCTGGGATCCTTACACGGATGACGCCAGTCCTGGCAACAACGACGTCCTCTCAGTCACCACACATGAAAACAATCAAATCATCATAACCACACCAAACCTTCAAGTCGACACAAACAAGAGGGGCATCGAAGAGAGTCCTCTCCTCCCAGCTGGCCTGGACATCCCAACTTTCTGCACAACACTCCAAAATGGCGTTTTCGCTGCCCTCGCCCGTGGGCCGCAATTCACATTTCCCATGCACAGCACACGAGTCACTCTCACTTTCGATGCAACCAAACATCTCTACGGCACCGACACCACCGCTTCTGCCCTCTCTTCCGCCGCTCGGCACTCTACAACTGCTGCTTTACGCACCCTCCTTCCTCCACCTTCTTCTCCCCAGTCAGCGCCAGGAACATCCCCTACACCGGGTACTGCTCTCATGGAACCCCTCATGAACGTAATCATCTCTGTCGATGAATCCTCCCTTGGCTCTGTCGTCCACGACATTTCTTCCTCCCGCGGCGGCCACATCATCTCCCTGGACGAGGACCTCACTCTTCCCACGACCGACCTCGCCTCCTCCCCTAAATCCTCGTACTCCCCACCCCAACAACCACCCGAAGACCTACCACCCATCGACACAAGCAAGCTCTACGCACCCCGCGATCCCTTCGAGACAACCTCAATTGGCGGGGGCTCGATAGAGGACACGGACCCTGTGTCTGGGTCGGCAAATCGCCCGCGGACTATAGCCGCGAAGGTACCGTTAAAGGAGATGGTCGGGTATCTAAAGCATCTAAGAAGTTTAACGGCGGGTCGCGGCACGTTTGTTATGAGTGTGGATCGGTTTGAGCGGATGAGTGCGCCGAGGCAGAAGGCGGTTTTGGTGGAGTTACGGGGTGGTCTTTGATTCTGAGTATGTATTTTATGATGGATTGGAGTTGCATGTTATGTCTGTATATAGTTGTATGTATGTCACTGCAAACTGATATTTAAAACCGCTGACTTCCGCGATGATGCTCTCATCTCTACAGAACTCTCCTCCTTGCTGGTATCCTTCCATCGCTAACATGGCCAACCAAAATGCCACATTAAGAACCATCTTCTGCGAACAGACCCCTTAAGTATACTCTCATTATCAAACCTATCTTACAAATCAACCCTCGGCAGCGAAGCCCCGCGGATGGAACGCGGAATTGCTGCCGCAGTCAGAGTCTACCTCCAGTTCTTGTGATTACTGAACAACACAGAATATCACGCTACTAATTGCCGGCAGCGGCAATTCAACCCCAGATGTTCCTTATTAAGTTGCCGTCATCTCCGCATTCTGGGGCTTGGCTGCACCTATGCACGTTGGATCCGCCCCCGCACAAAGATCTGAGAGCCTATCTTGGCAGTAACCCTAACGAGTATTGACAGATGCAACTGGGCTATTGATTTTGCTTAAGGTGTTCCTGGTCAGTCAAGTTGGTGGGTTGGGTGGACAAGGGGACATGTCAATTGCCGATGCCTGCTTTAAGGCAGTATATATATCAGCCATGACAACCATGAAAACTACCACAATTGGGTCCTAAGAACGAGCACTTGAATAATTAGTTGACAAAATGAAGCTCCTAACTGGATTATCACTTTTATCTCTTATCCCTCACACATTGTCTGTTCCCATGGGCAACAGCAATCGTCCACGCAGCTCAGGTCAAGATGGTCAGCAACCCCTGCTGAACCTCAAGCCCCAACGGACTTCCTCCCGAGACCTCATCTCCCTCGATGGCCTGTGGAACTTTGCCCTCGCCTTCGATGACAACTCTACCGCCCAGCCCTGGACCGGCCCACTTCCTAAAGGCCTCGAATGCCCCGTCCCAGCCTCATACAATGACATCTTCGTATCCCAAGAGATCCATGACCACGTCGGTTGGGTATACTACCAGCGCCAGGTGATCGTGCCGCGGGGCTGGTCTGGCGAGCAGTATCTAGTGCGCGCTGAAGCCGCCACGCACCATGGTCGTATCTATGTCAACGATCATCTGGTCGCGGAGCATGTGGGCGGGTATACGCCGTTTGAGGCTGATATAACGGATCTTGTGGTTGTGGGAGAAGAATTTCAATTGACGATTGCTGTGAATAATGAGTTGACTTATGAGACGATTCCGCCAGGAAAGGTTGATGTTTTAGAGAATACAGGCAGAAGGGTGCAGGATTATCAGCATGATTTCTTTAATTATGCTGGTCTTGCGCGCTCTGTCTGGCTTTACTCGGTTCCGAAGCAGCATATCCAGGATATTACTGTTATCACTGATGTCGATGGTGAAATCGGTCTCATTAACTATGCCATCAAGACGTCCGGCAACTCGACGACTGGAAACAACATCAAGATCTCCGTCCTTGATGAAGCTGGAGAGACTGTCTCTGAAGCCTCCGGACATAAGGGAACCGTTCGCATTGACTCCGTCAATCTCTGGCAACCCGGCGCCGCATACCTTTACCAATTCCGCGCCGACATCGTCGACTCCTCCGACAAAGTCCTCGACACCTACAGCGTAGCTACGGGCGTCCGCACCATCAAAATCAGTGGCGCACAGTTCCTCATCAACGACAAGCCTTTCTACTTTACTGGCTTCGGAAAGCACGAGGATACTGCTGTCCGCGGCAAGGGTCACGACCAAGCATACATGGTCCACGACTTCCAGCTCATGGATTGGATAGGAGCCAATTCGTTCCGTACCTCGCACTACCCGTACGCTGAAGACGTCATGGACTTTGCTGATAGGCACGGAATCGTTATTATCGACGAGACACCCGCCGTTGGTCTGGCATTTTCCATCGACGCTGGTCTTGATGCCAGTGACTCCCCCCCGACTTTCGGGCCTGATGGAATCAACAACAAGACCCGTGAGGCGCACGCGCAAGCTATCCGTGAGCTCATTGCAAGAGACAAAAATCACGCCAGCGTCGTGATGTGGTCGATCGCCAATGAACCCGCCTCCAACGAAGACGGAGCCCGCGAATACTTCGAACCCCTCGCCAATCTCACCCGTTCCCTTGACTCAACCCGTCCCATCACCTTCGCCAATCTTGGCTCAGCCACATTCGAACTAGACCGCATCTCTGACTTCTTCGACGTCCTTTGCCTCAACCGGTATTTCGGCTGGTATTCGGAAACCGGTCAGATCGACGAAGCAGAAGCCGAACTTGAGAAGGAACTCCGCGGCTGGCAGGAGAAGTTCCCCGAAAAGCCCATCATCATGTCCGAGTATGGTGCGGATACTATTGCCGGTCTGCATTCTGTTCTCGATGTTCTTTGGAGCGAGGAATTCCAGGTGCGGATGCTGGATATGTACCATCGAGTGTTTGACCGGGTGGAGTCGGTTGTTGGTGAGCATGTTTGGAACTTTGCGGATTTCCAGACCGCGCTGGGGATTACAAGGGTTGATGGGAATAAGAAGGGTGTGTTTACCAGGGATCGGAAGCCTAAGGCGGCGGCTCATGGGTTGAGGGAGAGGTGGACCAATATGTCCTAGTGCTCCAACTGCTACGTATTAAGATGTATTCAGCCCTAGATACTTGAACCTAAGATATTTATATTGCTATGATGATTTTCTTTTCCTGCTTAATAATTTCCGCCATCTTCCTAGCATGTCTGTACTCCGTCGACTACTGACACTCAAACGAGCACCCACACCAACAAAAATGCTTATCGACTGTGCAAACCACGAGCCCAAACCACGCTTCTGGACATACTTCTCCAATGGACCTGAAGTTGTTGCCGTCTTCGGCTACCCCTCCAAAGGCGGCGTCTACATCCTAACCGGCTGCTTCGGCCTAGAACTGGACTTCCTTGGACTAAGGCGTTTCGAGGACAAAGAACGCTCGTCATCATCGGACCCTGATAGGCAGGTTAAGGAGTATGTGCATTGTGGCCGGAGGGAATTTTCCCGTATCATCTAATCGGGGCTAATATGTAGTGCGTTGCCTAGGCGCAACGTGGTGGGAGAGCGAAATTGAGCAATCTGAGAATGAATTGCTGCATGTATGAGAATCACATGTACTATGATGTGTACCTGTCGAAATCCAACCCTGTATACAACAGTGGAATTACCCTGCCAACGGAAACCGTATACCACGGTCGAGGCTCCTTAGGAGAAAGAAGGACACAGGGGCGCCAGACAATGGATGCATTACATGCGAGTAGTACTCCATCTCCCTTCTGATACGACCACCTTCCATAACAGCACGGCCAAACCGGTCTTCTTGTTCAATCACACTGCGAGGACCATCCGGAGTAGGTGGGATGGGGCACATTGGGGTATCCGGGCTTAGACATTAGGGCAGCATAAACACTAAACCAGAAGGGAGGCCGTATTGTCTTATAAAATCATCGACGCTTGTGCGCATGGCACGAACGATGATGAGCAAGTCCTCTGTAACTGCATCGATTTCAGATGGCATGGAAAAGGGAAAGATGCATTTGCTGCGCGAAATGCATCTGATTGCTATGGATAGCTTTTGATGGGGGTTAAGACGTGATGCTTGATCTGGGAAAACTAGATAGATGTCTTACAGCACATATGTAATGAGCTCGTACTGTGTAACAAGGGTAAAACGCGCCAATGAGGTTAGCCGATAGTGAGTTCGACTGATACCGAGTGTATTCAATATGTGCTAGATTGCTATATGTATGAAGGTCACATACTCCTCCATGATACTACCCAAGTCCAACTCTGTATACAACAGTGGGAATAAACATCGAAACAATGTACCAAAAACAATACCAATAGTTACAAACAAGAGTATAACCTACCAATCCTCATCCCACCCCTCCTCATGCTGCTGTCCTTGCCCCTTCGCGGTCCCAGTAGCACCACTGCCACTGCCACTCCCGCCAGCACCGCCAGCACTACTCGTCGCATTAGATCCAGCCCCCGCTCCCGTAGCAGCCCCCGGCTTCATAGCCGCCGTTCCAATAGCATTAGGCCGACTCGCACTCCTTCGATGCTGGCCCTGGCCCTGATCCTCCGCCCCCAACGACGCAAAATCGTCCCAAAAGTCCTTCCGCTCAGGTTCCCCGCGGCGCCTAGCTAAGGACGAGGTATGTTCGTCTTGTCCCTCGACGAAGCGGTTAAATTGGTCTGCAGCGCCACGTGCGCCGACTTGGATGTTTTGGCCGAGCTGCGCGGCTTGCAGGCGGGCTTGGGCTGCGAGGTCGGATTCGGCGAGCTGCATTTATTAGTTATATTCTAGATGAGATGAATGAGAAAGGGGGGAGGGGCCGCACCTGCTTCGCTGTAGGCTGAATATACGAATCATGTACCGTCTTCGCACTCTTCCCTACAGCCGACGTAAACCACCCAAACCCCTTCGTCAGCGTCCCCATAGGGTCCTTCTGAAAATCATCCAACCCAGGCGTCCCCGCACCACCAATACCACCCATAAATGAACTCCTCGATCCAGCCGACGAACTCGGCGGCAATCCGCCCCCAAAACCAGTAAACTTCCCACCCTGCGATGGAGGCAGAGACTCAGACCGCGTGGCGTTTGCGGACCCCAGTTTTGAGAAATACGCCTCATTGCGCTCTTTCTTCAACCCTCCTTCGCTGAGAGCAGGTGAAGAACCTCTCGGCCCGGTACTGGATATCGCGCTCGGTCCCTGACTTGTCGGTGTTTCCTTCTTCTTAGCTTCCCGCTGCCCAGGAACATACTCTCTTCCCTCGACCTTCGCCGCCAACCTCTCCTTCCACTCCTCCCCGACCTCCCCCTCATACCGCTCCTTGATCGTAGAATCCTCAAACGTCCGTCCCTCAGACTGTGTAATCGCGTGGTTATCGAAAAACGACTTCCAAGGTTCGTTGCCCCCTTGTTCCATGCGGTGGATTTCGCCCATCTTGAAGGCGTCCATGGTGATTGAGCGGACAAAGGAGATGTGCACGCCGAGGCCGCGGTGTGTGCCGGCGCAGTTTAGGCAAATGAATATTCCGAATTTGGGGGAAGCCTGCGTAGCATTGCATCATGACTGTTAGCGATAATCTAGGAGGCGTGTAAACCGAGCCAGGGGGAGGAAGGGTAAGGGGACGAACCCATTGGGGCGAAGGTGCATTGCAATCGCAACATCTGTCGTTTCCGTTGGTTTTGGAGATTTGGAGAAGCTAGCAATAGACAGCAGTACCAGTTAGTATCGTCCATGTCATGAAATCGCAACGTAGACTCTGTAGTCCGTGTCCATACCTTGGCTCTCGTCTCCGGGTCAACCTCCCACATTCGAGACATGATGCGTTGAGTAATTATGGCAAGAAAAGTAGCGATTAGGAGGGACTTCAAGACGAGTTTCTAGAGTCCCTCTTCGTTGAGTATTGTGAAGGCGTTCTGGGTCGAATGCCAGGAGTGCGGTGTGGGGCGATTCAAGCGCGCCTCGTTGCGGCGAGTTGTTGCCGTCCGCCACAGAATGCGCAGTCGAATGCGCAGGTTGAATAACAGCAATGGTAACAGTTGAGTGACAATTAAAGACTCGTTGGTGGTAGCGTACTACGTAGAAATGTGTATTACTGAAGTTGCGGCTAATGATCTGCCTGTCAAGATCACGTTCTTCAGGCCGAAGCCTCTATACAACACTACGAAATATTCTGTGCGGAGACAAAGTCTTTCAAGGCCAGCTTGCGGCATCATAAGTTAAATAATAGCTAAGATATAGGACACAGCAGAAGAGACAAAATCGTCAACAGGATATGGTCTGTAAGTTATAAGGTCAAGTTAAAGCAAGAGATGAATTCTCATCATCTTCTCGCCAGTAGCAGTGATGGTGGTGAGTGCATCTTCGACAATGCCTTCTCCTTCAACATAAGAAATCATCGTACGTCAAACACGTTTATCGCATATTCTCCTTCAAAAGTAAGACTTCCACGGTGTCTTCGTGAGAGACACGAAGATAATCTTCCAATAATGGTCATCTTTTACACTCCGTCTGTCCTACTCCAACATAATCCTGCATATGGACAGACTCGTTCTGGACAGGAACGGTATTGTCAATCAAAGAAAAACAAGCTGCTTAAGCAGCAGCCGGGGCGTTCTCCTGACCCGCAGCAGGGGCGGCGGCGGCGGCCTCCTCGGGCTTCTCAGCCGCGTCGAGGGCGTCATCCTCCTTGCCGGGGCTGTCAATGGCGACCTTGACGGCAATCTCACGACCCTCAATCTCCTTTGCGTTCATCTCCTTGACAGCCTTCTCCTGCTGCTCCTCGGAGCTGAGAGTGACGAAACCGAAGCCACGGCCCTTGCGGCGCTCGTTGCGAGCCTGGAGCTTCTTGATCATGAAACGAGGAATGGGACGCAAGGCGATCTTAGCGGAGACGGGCTGGTAGGCGTTGAAGAGCTCCTTGAGCTGTAGGGAGTTAGCAACTGAACTCTTTCTGTTAAGAGAGATTGTCACGTACCTTGTCCTCGGTCAAATCATACGGCAGGTTGGCCACCATGACCTTGGTCTTGGACGGGATACCATCCTCAGGAGGACCACGCTGCTTCTGCTGGACACGGCCACGAGGCTTGCCCTGCTCGGTGGTAGCAGTGTTGTTGGCCTGGTTATCGGTCAACGGATCAACCTGAGCAGGGACATTGGTGGGGGCCTCGGTTTTTTGAGCCTCCTAACTACGTTAGTATACTTTTGTATTTCCATTTCAGGGGGGAGGGGGACGTACAGAGCGGCCACCACGTCCAATGCGACCTCCACGACCGCGGCCACGGCCACGGCCACGACCCCGACCGCCGGTCCTTTTGCGGCCTTCGCCCTCACCGCCACTTGCAGCACCCTCCCTGGCCTCCGCAGGCTCAGGCTTGCGAGCCAACTGAACTGAAACCTTACGCTGGAGGATCTCATTGCCAGAGAGTTCTTGAATGGCAGCGTTGGCCTCGTGTGCGGTGGCGAGGTCCACGAAGGCGTAACCAACGGGGCGATTGGTGCGGGGGTTGACAGGGATGGAGGTGCTTTCACTGCGGAAGTTAGATATGTTCTTAAACATAGAAAAGATAATACAAAAGCAATTAAATCGGAGATATAAGATCAAGTAGGGATGTAGTGACAGCTGCAAGGTGCTGGTGGTTGGGACGACGTCTCACACGTGGCAGTATTGGCAAGCGGGAGGGGAAGTCGGTGACTCAGGAAATAACAGAAAACACTGAAATGGCAGCATTAGACAAAGAGTAATACTCACATCTTGTAGTTCTTGAAGAACTCCTTCAGCTCCCCCTCAGTGGTCGCATATGCGAGGTTCCCAATGTACAGCCGACGTCCCTCATCGGCACTGGCAGCAGCAGCATCGGTGGGCTGCGGCTGCTGTTCCTGCGCGGGAGCAGTACCGTTGGGAGCCTCGTTGGTGGTGTTGGAGGCGACATTGTCGGCGACTTTTTCGACGGCAGAAGACATCTTGATGGTTGAGGACACAGTAGATGGATGAGGAGAGGTGGTCTCGAAGGGTAATGTGTCACGGCGGTTTAAGGCTGCCTTTGGGAAGAGTAGAAAATTGACAGGTTGAAGAGGGGGGAGGAGAACAGGGTAGCTTGGTGCCCTAGATTCGTAAAGGAAAAGAAAAAGGAGGAAACTGAAAAAAAGAAGCAGGAGAGTTGAGTTGCCTGAGAGAGGAAGGAATGAAGTCGAAGAGTTGAAAAGGAGCTCTGAAGAAGGTGAGAGAAAAGGGCGGTCAGGCAGGAAGGCACCAAGGCACTAAGGCAGAAGCTGACATCATCTACTTTCTACATTTTATTTCCTATTGTACCGCATCTTTTCTCTACTGCGTACCCTGGTACAGATCTGTTTTAATATTTCCTTCTATAAATTGATTATTCTAATTTTACATAGTAGTATATTTCTGTCTCTACCCCGTTGCTCTCCTATCCCCCCGCCGACGTCATGGATCGCTGCTCTGCCGTCCCGTCTACGCATTTCCTGTTTGGGCAGCGACAGTACGTAGTGCAGATACTATGTATCGCAGGCACCAGTCAATGTGCAATTCTATATATGTCTACTATGTACTGGGGTATCCATACTAATCATCACAGGGACATGAGAGGAAAGAGTAGTCTCCAGTCTACTCACTACTCCGGAGTGCGGCATACAACATACGCGCCCTAATTCGGCAGCGTCCCACCGAGATTCGTTGAATAATCCAGCCTGTCGAATCCACCATGCGTGGACGGAGATCCGATCTCGCCTCTTGGCGTCACCCTGCACAACCGCTATGCCATACTAGCACATCTGACTGGTTGCCGCGCGCCTACAAGGCCACCGGATTCTCGTTGGCTGGAATGGCTGCCACGATGTACGGAGTAAGGCTGCTGCGGATCATATCCAACGGTGACGACTTGCCTTGTTCGGTAATCCTCTGATTTGGACAGATCCGGTCCACAGTCTCCGCGGAAGCACTGTACTTGTACTCCATAGTAGCATTTTGGAGTACTCTAATAGTGCCTCCATGTTGTTATTCTCTCTCTTTATGCAGTTCAATAGCCTAAAGTAGTTCAAAGATCTTTCATTCTTTATGCACCATTATATCACCCTATACATAGGAGTACAAAGTGTCAACCCTGCTTGGTCGGTTACAGCTAATTGGGATTGCCGCCTTCATTCCTTAGTCCATGCTTGAATTATATCATTTTCGCTGATCTTTTCTTCTGGCTTCTGCTTAGTCAATCATTTTCTCCTCACTTTATTTTCCGTTCTTCTTTCTCTCCACTTTCTCCCAACAATTGATCATGCCTTGAACTCGACTATATATATTCTCTCGTTATTCCCGACTATCATTCTTTTACCCTCTAATCATACCTCCTCTATAATCCGCACTCCCCCGGCCCCGGCTTCTCAATGGATCGCATTGAGCCGGTCGGTGGTCCAAACGACCGTTCCAGCGACGCCCCGTCCCCGGCGCCTGATAACAACTCCCTAACGCCCACTGGCTATTCCCCCAGACCTCGAGCTCTGTCGCGATCCCGTCGTCCAAGCATTCGTCTTTCCCGCCTCTCCTCCATTTCTTCGTTGGGTAGTAGTGGCGACGACCCGAACCAGAACCCTCAGAACCCGAACCCGAACCGCCGGAATGCTGCCGATGATAGCGCCACGGCGTTTCTCACCAGGAACAGGAGTCCCGGGCCTGGGAGAGAACATACGCAGATAGCTGAGGAGGAGGATGAGTGGCAGGGTAATCGTCGTCGGAGTAGCTCTGAGCCGCGTCCGGGACGATGGTCGTCACCGTCTCCTGTTGCTCTGTCGCGCATCGCAACGCCTATGCTGCCGTTGGCAGAGGTGAGGTCCAACCAGACTACTGGTCTTCGTTCGCCATCGGAAAGGCAAGATATCCCTGAGAACACTGGGAATGAGGATCAGGAGGATTCTGAGAAGGTTGCCGTTAGACCTCCCCCGGTCGTGCGACCAAGGGGCGATAGTCTCTTGCGGCGAACCAGTCAGGCGGCTTTGAGCCGGTTCTCCAGGAACCGCGCATCGACAGTGAACGGTCCAATCCCTAAGGTGACTGATTGGAATCATTACCAGGATGAGGACTATGATCGAACACATGAATACGATCCGGATATTGTCAACGTTTTGGACGTTATAGGTAAGCACGTGCATGTATGCAACCTTGATATATGCTAATACAATCCTAGATCCGGAAGTATCCGCCCTATCGACCCTGACCAACGTCCAAAACTCCCTCTTCGTCCCCGATCTATTTGGCTTTGTCAACCGCGAGCCCACCTACACCCTCTCTCCTCCCCGCCATGAAGCTGTCACAGAGGAAGAAGGCACCACAACCGACGACGGCGGTGACAACCTCCAAGAGCCGCGTCCGGACATGAAGAATCTACGGCATCTGTCTAGTATATCCTCGGTTTTGGACGCGGGGGAAACGCGATTTGCCGTCTTGCCCGACGAGACCAACCTCGAGGGCTGGACCAAGCAAGATTTGGAGGAATTGAACGATCATGTCCGGCACATGCTGCATTCTCGCCGCTCTAAGTTCAAGCGTTCGATGAAGGGATTTGGACAGTATGTTTCTAAACGTGAGTTCTCGCCCTACGGTGGAATGGATAGAAGCTAACGGTAACAGCATTGGGATTTTTGGTTACTCTCTACGCAACCCTAATCACTCTCTTCGGATTAGCTTGGGTTCTCTTCCTCATCGGTAGGCAACCCCCTTCCACCGTTACCCATAGCCATATTAACAAAACAGGCTGGATCAACGTTGGCGGAAAACAGCTCTACGTAATCAACATCATCGACAACATCCTTGTCGCCCTCTTCGCCATCATGGGAGACGGCCTCGCCCCCTTCCGCATAATAGACACCTACCACATGATCTTCATAGCACGCTACACCTTCCTCACTTGGAAAATCCGCAAACAGCGTGCCCTCCCCTCCCTAAAGAACAAAAACGACCTTCCCGCCCGCCGCGAAATAGACATCGACGTCGAATGGGGAGACACCCCCAAAGACGAGGCCTACGAGTTCTCTGTCCTAGGCCCCATACAACAAGCCCGTCTCATCCACCACCAGAAGAAATTCGCAAAGTCACACACATTTTACAAACCCCACGAAACAGGCACACACTACGCCTTTCCCCTCCGTCTGCTCATCGCCATCGTCGTCGTGCTCGACTGCCATTCCATGCTCCAGGTCGCCCTAGGCACATGTACCTGGAGTATAGATTACCACGTGCGCCCCTTCGCACTAACAACAGTCATCCTCTGCTGCTCGATCGCATGCAGCATCTCCGGCGGCGTGATGATCATGATTGGCGACCGGAGGACACGCAAAAAGGACGTCGTGGAACGTATGTTCCGTCAAAAACTCACCTCCGAGGCCATGAAGATGATGCAGAAGCGCAGGCTCAAGGAGGAGAAGAGGAATGCGTCACTCAGTCATACTTCTTCGGGGCCGTCGAATTCGGCCCTGGTGTCGCATATTTCGCCGTATGAGGGGACTTAACCGCCCCACTTTGACTTACCCTATTCAATTTTACCTGGGGCTTCGGGGTTATAATTCTCTTTCTTGCTCACCTTTTCTTTATATATATACACATCCTTTATTTGAGACGACTTACGACTGATAACGAGATCTATTGACTTGCTTTGCTTTCTATATCCGATATATACGTGGGATCTCTGATGTACTTTTATGTCTATACTTTATAATACTTGCTTTTCTTTATCCTTTTGTTCTATCCTCTGGCCTTGTTTTACTCTATTAGTCAGAACTTGCTTGTATTTACCATTTACCTTTTGGATTGCCTTTGTTGTTAAGGGTTTATTATGACTTATTGGATACAACTACAACTGTACGTGAATAACCAGGATCACTTACAAGAAGGTCCATTGCTAATAAACAAAATCTAAAGCAATCACATTGAACTGGAGTAATCACTTTTCCGCCTCGAGGCGATAAATCTATTAACTCGAGAAAAAAATAGAATATATCAAATCAAGCTATCCTGAACAAAATAACACTTATGAATATCCCAAACACATATGAAACTCAGCCAAAAAGCCCAAAAAAAGAAGAAAAAGCGATGTCAAAGAGTGTGCTGATGTTTGTACAAAACGGTAAAACGGACAACGAAAAGAAAACCTGAGACTGGTATGGACAAGTAATTAGCGCTCATGTACAAAGAAAACAGACAAGGCAGGTATGCACTATGCAAAACAAGATCAACCATGCTCGATGAACAAGACAAGGGTTGAGAAATAACAAGATATAGAAAATATGACAAGTAAGAATCAAAGGATACCCCAACGACCACGCTGACAATGGAATAAAGGTAGAACAAGGATAGCCAAAAGACCAAAAAAAGAACGAAAGAAAGAAAATCAAAGAAAAGAACGAATGAACGGCATGTTGCAACCAGAAAACAAGGAAGCGAACATAGACTTTTACGCTTCAACAGAAGCGACAAAGAAGCACAAGCTGCTACAGCTCATGGCGCGATTGCACTTCTTCAACAATCGAATGCGATTTGCGCTTATTCAAAATCTCTTCGAGAGCATCGAGTCTCTCGCGCGTGGTCCGTATGGCAGCATCCATCTCCCGGTCAGTCATCTTGTCATCGCCCATCTTTGCCGATAGTTCTCGTTCAGCCCGAAGTTGTTGAGCTTTCTGCCTCAATGGCGAGACAGATGGTCTGACCGTTGGGAAGAGTGCTCCATCAAGACCAACTCGGTCCTCCAACCAGCCCCAGAGCTCACTCTCCTCCCTCCGCCACATCTCCTCGTAAGCAGCGAGGCGCTGAGGAAGGGTGTATCCCGGACATCCTATGTCATGCGACGACATCACGGGCGGCCGAGAGGGTGTTCGGAAAAAGATGAGGAAAAGAAGAATGCCGATGATCATAATGGCAACATTCCCACTCACCAAGGGCTTCACAATATCCAGAACAGGCTCGAGTATTCCTTGAAGTGGTTCCAACATACCCCAGGACTCGGCTTTGCTCGCGGTAGTATCAGTCGCCGCGACAGCAGGGGCCGCTTCTTGACTAGCGGCATCTCCCTTCTTGCGCTTGCCCTTTCCTTTACCAGGCTTGGCCGTACCCGGGCGAGCACGAGGAGCAATCGCACCTTTGATAGCCTGGATCAAATCGTTTCCGAACCCGCCTTGACCATCGATAGCACCCTTTTCGATTGGGCCCTTCAGCCAACTCTTTCCCGTCCACTCAATCGTACAGGTCATGAGAAATCGCGTTTGGTTCCCCGCCGCCCATGTGAACAGGTATTTCGTCTTCACACTGAACACATTTCCACTGGGTACATCAGGGGTCTGGGTGGTCAAGGTAACGAGAACTGCCTTCTCCAAATCCAGAAAATCCAAATACTCGGTACTGATACATTTTGTCTGCTTAGGACCGATCGAACCGTTCAATGGCTTGATGTAAGAGTATTCTCGATTCCGACTGTCATTGGTAAGACCTTGCTTCTCGCTCGAGAACTGCAGCTCTCCCGACTTCTGGTTGTCGACAAGGAACTTGGGGACGAAAGCACCGGACGCTGGCCCGAAAACCAGAGAATAGACCTTACCCAAAGGAGCAGGAATAACTTCATCCTTGACGACTTTATCATACTGGCCATTCGGGTCAGTATATTCGGTTGGCGCATGTGTAGCAGGCCCCGGAAAATCCATATCCCCAGAGGCCGCGTTACCGTTATCACCAGCATCAGGTCCGTTGGTGCTAGCTTTGGGAAGGTTACCAGAGGCTTGACGGCTCAGTGCCTTTCTTGGATTTGCTGGCTCACTTCCATTGGCACTTCCAGCTTCAACAAAACTATCTGCCGTGTCACCGTCTTCGTCCTCATCGTAGATTTCATCTTCCTCATCGTCCTCATCGCTGTCCACATCACTTTCCCCGGCCTTCTCAGTCTTGTCGCCAGTACCATGAGAAACACGAGTCCCATTGATGGAACTCTTCAAAGCCGGGTGGTTGATCTTCCATATGTTGACCATCAGATCATAGGTTGACTCTCGACTAAGCAAACTGCGGAAAGTATGACGTGCATGCAGGGTCTGAATCGCTATCGCATTAGGGAAGACCATTGCCGTGGACTCTTTTTCTATTGCTACCACTTCATCGAAGCTGATCACGAGGGTGGTGACCCATCCGAGAATGTTACTGGAAAAGCAAATATGACCTTCGGAAACGTAGATACGACCAGCAAGAATGATCTCTCGCTGCAGCGCACAGCTGTAATCCTCAATCAGGTAATCATCTTCGGGGACGCTTCTGAACAGCTGATGAAAGTCCCTGTTACGCTTCTTGCCAGCAACGGCGAACCCAGTTGATCGCGGAGCATTCGGGGTAGCAGCTGGAGCAGTCAAAGCGACAGCACCGGCACCGGCAAGCGCGCCAACGGCGGTTGATGTGGTGGCCGCAGATGAACCGCGGTGCCGCCCGATCAGACGGCCACGCAAGCTGGGACTTCGCCTAGACCTAGTGCCGAGATCTGCATCGAGGATATCGCCACTTGGGGGGGGCTGGTCACCACCAAAGTCCTTGGGGAGAGAAGTTGTCGACCCCAGTTCCAGCGGCTCATCAGTAGGGGGAACTACAAACACGTCAGATGGCTTCTCATAGGCCTTGTGAACAGCATGAGCAGCGTTCTTGCCTTCGAGCATTGCTGCCTCCTCATCACGTTGGTAGACAGCCATGTTCTTGCGCTTCTCTGGTGGTAAATCCGGTTTCGTGATGACGATCCCGTCCGGAGTTGACACTGAACCACCCGGAGGTACATTGACTTCCAAGTGACTAAAGTCCAAATCGCCAGATCCGAGGGTCTCGATAGCAAGTGATTTCTTTTCTTCGCCGTTGCTATTGTTACTGTCTGACCCTCTTGCATCCCCCACTCCGTCATTAGTCTGCGAAGCGTCCGTGCCGTCCAGCTGTGATAAATTGCGGTCCCTTTGTTGAGTGTTCAGGCTGCTGCTGAACGTAGAGGCTGCATTTTGGGCTGCAGAGAACACTGAGGAGAAGAAACCAGCCTGCTGGGCGGCAGAAGGAGTCTTCGAACCGGATTTGGCTTCCTCGATGGTGGGGCTAACGGAAATGGAATTCGATAGTTTGCTAGGCCGGTGGGCGGACGACGCTGAGCGAACCCGGCGGTGAGAGATCATGTTCCCTGACGGACTCACGACAATGCCCTCGCCTGGCTTGATCGACTCGGGAGAGCTGGTGACTTCCGGAGAATCAATCAGTTTGGGGAACTCAAGTCGATGCTCTGACGGCGTGGGTGGTGTCACAGTGGTATGCGGTGCTGGCACCGGTAACGCTGTGTGAGGCGGTGTTCTTGGGCGCTCCGATAGTTCGGCAGGCTTGTCCTCTGTAAGATCCGTACGAATAGGAGGGAGTGGTGGAGGTGGCTCGGCGATGACACCGTGCGATGTTTGTGCTCTCTTCGCGGACAAGCTTCCTCTTCTGCCGTTGCCTCCAAAGAGCGTCATGCTCCGTTTACTCGAAGCAGAAGATGAACGTTCGCGACCACTTTCGGTATCCTTCTTGTCCTGAGCAGAGCTGCTAAACGCATTCTTGAATCGCCGTCCAGGCGATGTACCCCTCTTTTTCCCACCACCACGATTTTCTGGAATCTCTAAAGTCGATGGATTTTGTGTGGTAGATTTCGACGGATCTGCGTCGGGGTTGAAATCGGATGCAGTAGCACTGGGACCACTCACGGCGGATTCTACATCCGCTTGTACGCCCTCGGTATCAGTGGCATCGACAGAGGTTGTTTGAATCAAAGGCGATGACGTGGTATCAATGCCGTTGTTCGAGGAGTTTTGCAGGGACCTTTATAGGAAAAAAAGTAAAAACAGTCAGCCCAACGAAAAAAGCAAAACTCCATTTCTGAACTAGCAAAAAGAAACCCACCGGTCCAGTTCAGAATCATCCGCCAAGAGGGACCCAGCCTCATTTTCAGGCGGGGGATTATTATCATTCGCGAACAAAGAAGCAGCATATTCCCCGTCACGCGAACCTGGAATGTCCCTATCACTATCGGTCGGCTGTTCATCGGGTTGCTTCTTATCCTTCTTCTTGTTCTTCCTCCGGAGTAGCTTCGAAAACCCGCTGGGACCAGCCCTGGCGGTGTCAGCCGCCTCCCCGGACTGTGACTTTGGCCTGTCGGAGGTGGAGTCGATCGACGAGCGTCCATTGCTCCGTCCAGAAGTGTCCATGGTATCCAGGTCAACCGGAGTGGTCCGGGTGCGGTTGATTTTGCTAATATTCGGGGGTTCAGAGAGGAGGGGAGCTGGGGGGAGCTCTTTCGAGGTTGGCGGGTTCTCCATAGTGTATTATTGGAGAGGCTGATTCGAGTGTAGCGGCGGGGAGAGTCGTAGTAGCCAAGATGAAAAGGGGAAGGTTTCAATTAGACAAAAAAACAGTAGGGGTCAAGAAACAAAGAATTTCGATTTTCAAGGAAGGAAAGAAAGATATAAGTGGGAGTGTATTGCGGCAGAGGGCATGGTATGTATTCGGGATATACACTCGGGGGGAGGGGGGAAAGCAGTTGCAGCTGTCCGTCGGAGAAGTTGTGACCAGCACGGTGGGTTTTGACAGGAAGACAATCAACTGCTGAGGAAGCTGCAAACGCAGCGAAAGAGAGTATAAGGAAGGAAGAGGTGTAGAATAGAGAGAGAAGGTCGCTGGAGAAGGAGAAGTTGCAGAGAAGAAGTCGAGAAGAGGAGACACGCACGTCGACTTACCCGATTAGGTAAGGAAGGACGAAACGGCGGGACAGCCATATAAGGGGGGATTCTATTTTAGTACGGAGTATAGCGGTTGAAAATCATGATATGACAGGTTATTAACCACTACGCTGGTAGTACTCTGTACTATGGAAATGCATTGCTCTATGCTGTTCCTCTATACAGCTGCAAGGACATGTCAGATATGCCATGTCTCGTATCGTCAAGAATCTACCATCTGTCACTCTGATTGGTCTATTCGCATAGTAAGCCGTGATCTTACCGTTACACCTTACCGCTGTCTCGTGATGGCGTCACAACTGGGCTTCACCATTTCCTTTCTAGTCTTTCTCTCTCAGAGCTCCTATTAATGCTATTTGACTTTCTGGCCTGAACACACCACTGTCGTGGCCATGGAGACCGCTCCGCTCACCTTGGTAGGGTCTTTTCCCACTGAGTGATCTCCGTTACCACCTGGCTAGATCTGACGATATCAGGCTCATACCCATGCGCGCAACGCAGTCCTCGAGACACGCAAAGCAAACCCCGTAGCAGCGAGCGAGGAGCATGACCTCGCGGCTGGCGAGTTTTCCACTGCTGCTCACTCCAGCTCTGACCGCGAGGTACGTACCGGACTTGGATTCCATCCCTACGAACCCCGCGTGAGCTGAAAGAAACCAGGAAACTGACATGATTCGCAGGCTCTGAGGACTCTTCAACTACTAGAAGGCCACCATAAGAAAATTGCAGAGATTCTTCGTTTTCAGCATGAAAATCCCCCGAGTGCTGCAGCGGCAGAGACTGCTTCGCCCGCCACTACACCGGGGTTGAATGCCCAACAGCCGGTTGCTCAGCAGCCCCCAAGGCTTTCCGGGAATAAACGGCTGTCGACAAGAGAGACGTCATCTTCGATCGCGAGTAACCTGGCCTCCGCACGGGGCATTCCGTCGCATCCTCGGCGGGCCTCCCCTGCATCACCTACGCTTTCCTCGCAGCAAGCCGGGGCCAAGATGACGGACAGCCCACCCAGGGCCAGGACAGGTGAATCGAGACTACGAGGCGCGCAATATTATTCAAGTAATGATCGCGCAGGTCGTGTGTCAGCACCCCAACAACCATGGTCCCCGCCAAACATCAGCCCTACGGATATCACATCCCAGCAGGTTGTTCCAGCAGATGCAATCGTCTCCCCTAGACAAAAAGGTATTACGGAAGAGCCTTTTCAGCGTTTCTATTCTACTTTTGAAGGCCTGATCTCCAAGATATCTGCGCCCCTGGCATTCGCAGGTCTCCCGCTAGGAACAGATGCAAGCCAGGCAGAAACTACGAAACGCAAATCCTCCGCGGAGACGAGATTGGATCGTCATCAGGTCATTTCTGACCGCCCCAACACATCTGCAGAGCCAGATGTCAGCAAGATATTCTCCAAGGCCGCCTTGCGAGCTGTCCGCGATGGAACGAATGCAAGCCCGAACACTACCGCAGAGTCTTTCTACGTCGTCCCCACGACTGGCGGTACTGTCTCGTACGCTGGAATACTAAGCAGAGCCGAAAAGGAAGCGCGAAGAAACAGCTTTGAAGAAGCTGACGAAGACTTTGTCGACGCTCGCGAAACCCCGTCCCCTGAAATGCGCTATAGCATGACAGGCGCCAAGTCCAGGGTAGCCCGCGGCACCGAGAAGCTGACAACCCTACAAAATCCCAAAACGCTGGAAGAGTTGCAGATGGAGAACCAAGCCCTGAAGCACTTATCAGATACGCTCTCGAAACGTCTACACATGTGGGAAGTCAACGCGCAGTCTTCGTCAATGGCTCTGCAACAATCTATACGAGCAATGCACCACCTTCCCTCCCCAGAATACCACCCCCTACCGGCACCTCCCGGAGGATCAGCTGCTACATCACCCATCGCACCACTCTCCGCCGGTCCATCTATGACAGACCATGAACAACGCATCAAGGAACTCGAAGAAATAGTTCGGACCAGCGAAAAGGACCTCAGTCAGGCAGGTCGTGAGAACGAGAAACTGCGAAACGTGCTTGGTCGATATAGAGAACGGTGGGAGAAGTTGAAAGAGGGTGCAAAGACTAGACGTGAGACTCAGGTTCAGGCTGCGCAGCAAAGTAGAAATGAGAGTGCTGCGGCGACATCTACTGCCTCTACTCCTACTCCTTTCGCTGCTCCTAACGATAACGACAAAACGACAGATATCGGGGCGCAAGAGGACCACGAGACTTCCTTGAAACCAGAGGGCGAGGATGGAGACAACACCCCGGAGCAGGAGCAGGAGCAAGATCAGGGATCCAAGGACGTCTCTGAAGATCAGCTGGTATCATAATCATACTGGACGGCCTGGTTTTACATGTCACAAGCAACGGTACGGTGCTCAAAAATGGATCAAGGAATAGGGTTTTGTTAAGTGATTATATGTTGCATGTAAAGTGTCCTATTACCATGCTATTTGCAATTAATAATATGGTTCATTTCATGGCTATATGCATTCGTAGCATGATTTAGTTATTGTAAGAACTGCTATGTCTAGTTGGAATTCGAATGCTAGCACATTGCGATAATGAACTGTGTACAAGATACTTCATCAGAATGAAGGTGGTATACACTCGACGAAGATAAATATAATCATCAGGTTAAATTCAAGTCCCATATGTGCACAATATATATCCCCACAAACCAACAAAATAAACATATATACTCCATACTGTTCACAAATCTATTAAAATGGTACTTGACAAACACTGCACAAGACAAAGACAATGCCGAGCCATCGATATCCCACATGAGAAATGAAGATGGTGATGTAAAGCGAGGAGTAATTGGAATATGTACCCCGGAGTGAGCCGGCCCACTCCTTGAGAAGCTGTCGTATATGTGCTTCTATTTCATTGCTGATGTGCGTTTCCTCCTGATGCAGTGGGTTGTTGTTCGCTTTCGTCGCCTTGGACGGCAGATTCGTTGATTGGTGGTTGTTGGTGTTGTTTGCTGCCTCTGCGGAGAAGTCCTCCTAGCCATGCTGGTCCACCGCTCCATGAATCGCTGAGGCTTCGAAGGCGGTTGAGATTAGAGACGTCTTCGTTGTTGTTTTGAGATCCATGGTTGATGCCCTGAGGGGGCCTTGGGATCGACAGGCCAGTGGGTATCCCCCCTGTCGAGTTGAGACGACCAGTAGACACTTTGAATGGAGAGTCCTGGTTCTCCTCGACAGCTCCGTCAGAATCGTATTCGGCTTCTCTGGCTTCGTCCGTTCTGCGAAGTGCACCGTCCAGGACCGTCGTGCTCAATTGCTTCCTCCTGTCTGTTCTTCTCCTGCCCTTTCGCTCTTTCACTGGGCTGGACTCGCCACGACGGAGAGATTCGGCTACTACTGCACTGAATCCTCCGGAAAGGGCGGGAAGAAGTGGACCAGGTGAGAAGCGCATCGAGATAGAATTGCGCATCCTACGGGCTGTAGGCGTTTCCGGAGCGGCAGGCTGGGCGGGATGGGTCTCTAGTGCCCCGACGTCGTCATTCTGTGGGGCATTGCTCTCCGCACCTGGTGCAGGTGGAAAGCGGAGAAGAACCGTCGATCCCATATTTTGGTCGGGAGTCTGTTCTGGAGGAGTGACTGGGCGAATCTGGGGTTCTGATGCCGGTGAGTCGACAAGACGTTCCTGGGAATCAGCCCAAGGATTGGTTATAAGCGAGTGAGGAGGTTCGGGAGATGGTGCCCGAAGGGATTCAGCGGTTAGCGAGCCTTCGAAAGAGGGGGCAGTCGACAGAAAACCCCTTGGTGTAGGGTGGTCATCTTCGAAACCATCAATGCCCTGGCTGAGTAGTGACCCCCTAGGCGACGGTGGCTCCTCATCAAGAGCTTCGGGCACTCGTTGTAATGGCTTATGTACCCTCGATTCTGGCCCTGGGGGGGTTACATCGACGTTATCATGGTAGCGCTCTCCTAACAAACCGATTGCCTGTTCCTCATCGTCCACAGAGTAGGTTGACTCATCATCTGCACGAACTCTACCGCTTGTGATGAAGTATACACCAAGAAATGTCATGAGACAGCCACCCACGAATTTCCCTGCGCGCTGGGCACCGAAGGACTCGAAATCACGGTAAAGAATGGCACTTCCGATGATCACAGAGAGCGTAAAGAGGACGAACTGAGTCGGGATCACTTGGGTCGAATCAAACCGCTGAAGGGCTCGGTTTATGTAACGGATTTGCATCAAAGCACTGAAAACAAGTATGAACACCAACAGATAGGTGACAGGAAAAGTTATTACATGCCACAGAGTATAGGACAGCAATGAGGAGACGCCTTTGGTGGACAAGGCCGTATATCCACCTATGTTGAATAAGCAATTGTCACGCGCTGAGATCAAGACGGGGGCAGCATACCAAAGAGAGCAACAAGCCCAACGTCGATGAGAATAGTCTGCGAGCCATGCTTCGCACTCATCCACATGAGAGCGACAATCAAACCTGCGGTCAGACCCAAGTACAGTTCAAACTCCCACTGAGTTATCATTTTCCAGATATCGTGGGGGCCAATCTTTTCCTCGGACGATTTCGCACTGATCACGACCACCACAGCTCCAGCGATTGAGACAAGTACACCCAATAAATCCCGTTTGCGAAATTGTTCCTTCAACATGAATGGCGCAATGACACAATTGGAAATCAAAGCGACGACGCCCAAAGGCGAAACAATAGATGCTGGTGCAAAGCCGTAGGCCATGAAATTGCCTGTCTCCCCCAGAACCATGAGCACAATTCCAACCCACCAGTACGGAGAACGAAGGTACGATTTGCGATGGACCTTATCCTCGGGTCGGACTGTTTGGTCAGAAAAGGTTGATTCTTGTAAGCCACCATGCGAAGCAGACTGCTCGCCCTGTTGGTCCCGAGCACGGGAGTTGCCATCGCGCGCATGTTGCGGGTCCGGGGATTCGTCCCGATACGGCTCGAAAATTGGCTCGTGGTGTCTTCCTCTTGGCTCATCATGGTATTCTCCAGCATTACCATTAGCGCCCGCCGCATCTCTGCCTGGGCGCGTCCTTTTCCAGTCCGACTCCTGTTGTATCCTATCATGCGTCCATTCCTTATCAATCCGGATATGAGCGTAGCGCTGAATATTGAGGGCGAGAGAGATCAACACATTCCCGACCAGGGCTGTACTGATACCGATTAGGGATGACCATTCGTGCATTCTCCCTGGGCCGCTTCCATGGCCGCCCGAGAGTGTCTGATTCGAAGAAACGGATGACGGAACGATAGTCGAAACGAACCCAGCGAGCAGACCTGCTGCTAACGGCTCCTGGGCGTGGTCCATTGCTGGCAAAAAGCTGTACAAAAAAGAAAAGGAAAAAAAAAAAAAAAAGTCGACAGGGCACTGGCCCCGTACGAAGGAGGGCGTCGCTGTAGTTTAATAATCAGGCGATCGCGAGCTTCGAAGGATCGACTATCGTGTCAAACCGCCGCGATGATCACCGATAAACGTTCACAATAACAGGATTGCATATATTCCTCCCTCTTCGACTGACACTCTGGTCCCGAAAAAGATGGGTTTCTTCGCGTCAACGCTGTGGACATCGGATCACGTCGAAGGAGCCCGCATTCTGTTCTGGATCGATATTGAATCCCCTGAATAAGTCCGTGCACGCGATAAGAGAGATCAATAGCAAAATCAGGGGAACGCTTTCTGAGTATCGATAAATAGAACAAGAACGGTCGTAGAATTATCGCGTATTCCACTAGGAGTAACTTGTAGGCGAACGGGGAGATCGGAAGAACCGGGGATCGAAAGTACGGCGGAAAAAACGATAACGAGCAACAGCAGACTGTATAGAACACCCAAACATCAACAAACCCTCTCGATGGTGATGGAGAAAAGAGGAGGAAAGAAAGACAAGCGAAAAGAGGAGAAGAGGAGAGGGGAGAGCCTCAGCTGGACAAGGAACGCCAAATGATCATGTTTCTCACCGCCTTTACATCCAACGTCATTTCTCTTCTGGGTATACAAATTATATACACCTTCATATTATCCTATTCTAGGAATGAACCAAGGTGCTATACCGGGGACCTAACACAGCGAACTTCATGTGACTCGAGTGACCCTGTTGTCTGTTTGAGCAGTCGAACATGGCTTTCTATACACTTTGTCAATCTTCATACCTGCCCTATAAAATGCCTGCTGGCATGCTGGACAACCAAACCAGACAAGCAGGATATGTCTCAAGCATCACAACCGCCTCAAAATGCATCCGAGTTCTTCGAAAACGCGATATCTTGCCTGCCGTCTGAGATCGAGTCTCTCAACGCTTACAACGCAAGTCTTGTGGAAATCCACAAGAGCAGTAGAGTAGCAAACTGGGAAAATGGAGCAGAAAACCAGGAAATTGAAGCCCAGGCCGAACATTACACAGACGAATGACTGATGCTGAAGTGTTAGAAGAAAATACTAGAAGAATATATCGACGAGGAGCAGGGGTTGTATCCGGATACATATGCTTCGCTCATGCGCGCACGTCGCGAAGATAAAGACGAAGAGAAAGCGATGGAGCGGCCAGCATGAACGCGTCAAAAAAGCTGTTATGGAGCGATACAACGCTTCGATCAAAGCGTGTCCTTCAGCCTGGTGCCATCCACTAGATGAGTGCGCAGAAAGCGAGGTAAGAGTCGTGCACTTGGTACTGGATAGCTTTTAATCAACTGAGATGTCATATCTTTTTGGCGTTGGCGAGATGCCACGCATGGATCCCCGCGATGGCAGGTTTCCTTCAGCTACTCATATCATATCACCTGGAGTAACTCAATGGGCTTAACATTGCACCACAGGGTTGCAGAGGCCTAGTACCGGGGCGAGATCGCCATTGTACCCACCCCGTCCGAGGCTCCTGACGAAATCAGTCAATGAAAATTTGTTGTCTTCAATGAGAATATCCGTAAGGAGGTCGTCTACTGTTGGACGACAACTTGGAATTTGAGTTTAACCCGACCCTCATCCCCCGAGCGCAAAAATAGCTAACCATATGGAAATACTAAGATATCGATGGCAGGATCCTTCAGCTCCGGGGAGAGAATCGTCCAGAGAAGCGGTATCTTTAATTCAGATACCTCATGACTTATTTCCACCAAAAATGGCTGGGGGACTTGAAACGGGTGGATAGCATCGAGAGGACATATTTGGGCAATGCCTGGTCCATACCTTCGCCGCACGATGCTAAAAATTCTAGCCAGAAAGTCCTTAGACTTGGTGCTCCCAGAGGCGTTTAAGAAGATGGTGTCAGAGATAACATTTGGAGAATCTAAGTTATCCCCAGCCATTTCTCCGGACCAGGAAAAAATGCTTGCGATGTCCCGGCAACGTGATGCAGAGGCTATATGGATTCTAGGGAATGGATTTACCGTGACGAGCATGATTATTATAGTGCGGATGATAATGATAGTGATAGTGATAGTAGCGAGAATAGTTGGTTGCTGTTGTCAGTGGTAATGCAACATTCGATATGCTCATACTAGTATTGCCGTGCGTAAATATGTATTAAACTAAGAAATAACAAGAGATCACCGCCTAATCTTCTTCTTATCAGGCTGTTCCTCCTCCTCATCACTAACGTCCCGATAAATTGTCTTCGGCTGCGTCTCCTTCCACGCATTCGTGAAAATCGGATCCTTCTCAGCCTTCTCCGCATACTTCAACAACGCCTCTCTCGGATCCTCATCTCGCATCGAGCTGAGCGGGATATTCTCCCGAATATGCCTCTCATCAGGCTGCGACTTGGCAAACGGCGTCTGCAATGGTAAATGAGGCCGTCGGGGATCCTTGGGCCTCCCCGACGCAGTAAGGCCAATAGTAGGGTGTCGGGCGGACCAGGTGGAAGAGCCGTAATGTGGGACTCCGTTGGATCCGACGACAACGTTTTCGCCGGAGAGGCCCTGGGAGAGGTCCATGGTGAGGTTGGGGTCATCGTCGACGTGCCGGCGTTTGGGGGCCTTGGACATGACCATTGCGGCGCCCTTTGTGGAGGTGTTGGGGTTGTAGAGGACGTGGGTTTCAGCGTTGGCGGAGCCGGTGAGGATTTGGTTAAGTTTTTCGTGCCAGAGTACGGTGATGAGGGGTGAACCTGGGGTGACTGGTGTGACGAGTTCAGGCCTTAGGGTTGCTGGGTTGAGGATGTGTAGGTGGCCCGTCTCGGAGCCTGTGAGTACATTTGCGGAAGTAGGGGAGAATGTGATGTTCGATGTTGCGTAGCGGGTGGAGCTGGAAGGATGATGAACGGTGGTGATCGGTTGCTTGAACTTCCTTGTATCCCAGAGCTTGATGGTATCGTCGCCGCCCTTCGATACTACAAGCCGTCCGTCCGAGCTGACATCCAGCCCGCTGGTCCATGTATCCCGAATGTGCGCATCCCTAATCTCCCCACTGGGCCTGTGATATGGCCCATTCCCACCCCACAACAGCAAGCTCCCATCGAGAGCCGCAGCGACAAGGAGATTGGAACCACCTTGCTTCGGGGTTCCCCAAGCGACAGCAGTCATCTTGCTCCGGCCAGCAGAACCCGCCACCCTCGACTTATGCACGATAACCTCCTTTTGTGACCGTCCGACATTGGCATCCCAAATGCGTACCGTGCTGTCCGTCCCGGCAGTAACACAGAGATTGTAATCCGTTGGATTCCAAGCTCCGCTAGTCACTTCCGATACATGACCCTTTGTATTGTGCAGATCCCTCAGATACATATCTCCCTTGACAAACTCGACGAGTGTTTCGCCATCTCGATCCAGAATACGTGGCTGCGGCGTCGCGGGTATAACCATGACATGGCTCGGGGTGATGGGATTAAACGCTGCGTAGTGAACGGCATGTGTCTCCTGCGCGGCGGACTGCTTCTTCACGGACGGGTCGACAGACTTGAATGCGCGTACGGTCGTCGGCGTCATGGAGGCAAAATCATGAAGCTTAATCGAACAATCATTGGACCCGGTAATCAACCGCGACCCTGCTGGGTCTACGGTCATGGTAGTCACGCCGCGTTCGTGTGTTTTAATAAGAAGCTCATGCGAAACTGGGAACTCGTCCTCGTCATCCTCATCCGAGTCATCATCGTCGGAATCATCGTCATTGTCATCGCGGGCCTCCTGTTTTCCGAACTTTGTCTCGGGTTCTTCTCGAGTCTCAGCGCCTGCGCTGTCAGTCAACTCTTTCTTAGTATCATCGCCATCGGGCTTGACCGAGACTTCCGACCGCTTGGTGCGGTCAATCTGTGCATTTATATTGGTAGTTCGTGTTTGCTTCCCAAAGCTAGTTGGGAAGAACTGCTTGAATGCATCCTCGTCAAAGCCATCCATGGTCATTAACCTGTAATAGCTCTAGAATTGATGGCAGAACAGTTTCGATGATGTTGGTTTTCTTTTGTTATATTTGCAATGTTTGCATTGTTTACACCTAGCTTCGGCCGATGACGACATAGCTTTGATTATGCCAAATCAGGAAATTCTACTCCTACGGCTACAGTAGACCATACTGGAGTTTGGCTCATTTCGTTATTAGAATACAACCATTAAATCTCTAATGACATATGGCCCTGTGTAGACTGCATCTACAGATACAACCCTTCAATAGGACCGCCATCCTGCTTCGTCTTCATAATCCGTTCCTTGGCCGCACGGAAGTCGTCCATTTGCACTCTCATCCGGCGTTCTCTCAGGGCCATCAGACCAGCTTCTGTGCAAATGGCACGGATGTCGGCACCGGAAAGATCGTCCTTCTGGTTGATGAACTCATCAAGGTCGACATCATCACTGAGAGACATCTTCGAAGTGTGCAAGGTGAAAATCTTCTTCTTGGTGTTTTCTGCGGATTGTTAGTTAGACTGATCGCTGCAGGATAGTTCAAGGGGACTTACGGTCGGGGTTCTCGAAGAGGATCTTCCGGTCAATACGACCCGGCCGAATCAATGCAGGATCCAATGTTTCGATCTTGTTTGTTGCCATAACAACTTTGACGTCTCCGCGGTCATCGAAACCATCAAGCTGGTTGAGAAGCTCAAGCATAGTACGCTGGATTTCACGCTCTCCACCGGAACTGGATTCGTAACGTTTGGTACCGATCGCATCAATTTCATCAATGAACACAATCGAAGGCGAATGCTCAGCAGCGACCGAGAAAATCTGGCGAACGAGACGAGGACCATCACCCAGGTATTTCTGGATGAGCTCACTGCCGACAATACGAAGGAAAGTAGCGCTAGTTTGGTTGGCCACTGCCTTTGCCAGCAATGTTTTTCCTGTACCCGGAGCACCGTAGAGAATGACACCCTTTGGAGGCTTGATACCCATCTCTTCGTACAACTCGGGATGAAGCAACGGTAGCTCAACCGACTCTCGCACTTCCTGAACCTGCGACTCAAGACCACCGATGTCTGCGTAAGACTCAGTAGGTGCCTTATCGAGCTTCATCACCGAGACAAGAGGATCGGATTCCTCGGTCAACACACCGACCACCGAAACTGTCTTGTGATGCAGCAGAACACTCGCACCGGGCTCCAGAAGATCTTTGTCGACGAAAGACATAATAGACACGTAGTACTCGGGCCCTGTTGCACTTGATACAATCGCGTGGTCATCGTCAATCAACTCTTCCAGGTTGCCGACACCCATCGGACTCCCTCTCATGTCATCGACCCGGCCTCTCTCATCGGCATTTCGATCCATGATATCCATGTCACCCTGGCTAACGGGACCCTGCGTTGCCTGCGCCTTAGCTTTGCGCATACGTTCCATGTTCTCCACGTATTCTTCCTCGAGCAATAAGTGGTCATGAACCCGTTGCATCCGTAGGTACCGGAGTTTACATCGCGAGTTTGGATAGATATCGGGAAGTTTGGCAGCGGTACTCGGGCCCGCAGCCTTTCGCTTCTTACGTCCGATGCGAGTGGTAGGGGGAGGAGGAGGCTCGTATCTAGGCTTGTCCTTCTATCAAGACGCTGCGTCAGCGGTGGTCATGGCCATTAAGATACCAGAAGAGTTTATAGTAAATCTACCTTCTTGTCCTTCTCGTCTCTGCCGTCCCCACCAGGGCCTCCGCCGATGTTAGATTGTTGATTACCCTGTTTTCAAAAACATGTTAGAGCAAGGTCGTAGACAAGAGAAGGCGATAAAGCAACGCTTGGACACGCACCATCGTCAAGAGACAGCTGCAAGAATTGTTGAAGAAAGGGTCGATGTAAAAAAAAAAAAAAAAAGAGTTACCCCAGGCGCAGTTATATCGCACTTCCGGGCAACACTGCTGGGAAATGGAGTGATGATATTCGAAGGAGGTGATGTGATGGAAGAGAGCTGGAGCTGTTGTCGCCATTCGTGTCCAGCGTATGCTGCACGTGATGTACCGCCTTTGTCATATTGATACCTCAGGCAGTAAATATATGTCTTTATGTCTGTTGCTGCGTCACTTTTTCGAAGACTTGATTTATACTTGATATTACTGGAAGCTAAGCTTTATTATATAAGTTATCAATACTAGTGCTTGCCAGCAGGCAATTATTTGCTTAATCTACGCTATTGTTAAATCCCAATATCACCGATCTTACAGTGATTGTTCCCCTCATTTCGAGTTCTAAACTAGTAAGTGGGATACCTTGTGGAGTACTCGATGCTAAAATATCTCACTTTCTTGACGACCAGAAGATACTAACACCTAGTTGTATCAAAGCCTCCGAAACTTCAACGACAATAGGTCGAACACCGTACCTCAGTTGAACTGCCCTAAAACCGCCATCCTCTGAAGCTCACATACTTTCACGACTTAATCGCACACAGCTAGCTCAATGGCTTCCCACAGATCTCGTCGCATTACGAAGGAGCTCGCTGATATCTACGCGGATAGCCAGTCACAAATCGGAGCGGAACCTGTGAGTGGTGATGAAGACATCACCCATCTTCGTGGTTCATTTCCTGGTCCGCCGGGTACCCCATATGAAGGAGGCACATATTATATCGATATCAGGATCCCTCTTGAATATCCGTTTAAGCCGCCTGTTATGAAGTTTGAGACGAAGATCTGGCACCCCAATGTTAGCAGTCAAACAGTGAGTGCCATGATCCCGGAGCTATCGCATGAGGAAATGACTGACGGTTGCTTCTATAGGGCGCGATTTGCCTCGATACCTTAGCCAGCGCGTGGTCGCCAGTCTTGACTGTTAAATCCTCTCTCTTGTCGCTACAGTCCTTACTTAATACACCCGAGCCCAAGGATCCTCAGGACGCAGAAGTCGCCAACATGCTTCTTCACCGTCCGAAGGAGTTCGAGCGTGTTGCTCAACAATGGGCAGTGAATTATGCAGGAGCTCCGCAAAAGAATGCGGGAGAGGGTAGCCGTGACGCAGACGAATCTCTTCGACAGGAGCAGGGCCAACAAAAGGACGATCTGGCAAAGTAAGTTGTCTTGGCTCCGTGTTTTCTTGCGCACGCAATGCTTAATTCATCACTTTGCAGGTACGATGGGTACAACAAAGACCTAGTCGACCGGTTCTGCAGTATGGGATTCGACGTCGAACGAGTCGTTGGCGCTTTCAAATATGTTGGAATTGACCGGTTGGATGGGGAGGACTATGAGCTGGACGAAGAAGAAATGGGGGATATTACTGCAAGGCTTTTGGGAGAACCATAATTGATGCGTGACGATCTCGAGATTATTTTGCTTTATATTCATACTGGGATGCATGGTGCATGGCGGCTCTTTATACTATTGTCTGGCGGTTTTCTATCTATGACTCTATTTAGGACATCAATGTCTATAGTTCTGTTTCTTGATCTCTCCAACTGGTTTCGATAAGGCTGATAAGAGCGGAGCACGTGGCCTTGACTTCATTTTTTGTTCCTTCAACCACATCATACAAACACTACTTCTATTCACCCATGACTAGATGAAATAATTGACCTTCTTCGCTATATGCTTGCTGAGAAGATTTGCTCTAGTTAAAATTAATCACCACTGAGTCCCACCACAGCCAGACTCGAGTCAATAAGCAAATCGCATACCTTCATCATGATCGAAGACGACATCTATCGTACCTCATCCCAGTTCCGAATTTGGTCCTTCACGGAGGAATCACTGAAACAACTACGCGCCACGACAAATACCATTGCCAGTGAGAGAGTACGAGCTGCACTGCGGAGGGCACGAGAGGCGCGACAGTCGGCCGCCCCGTCCGCGGCAGGAACACCGATGGCAAACCAGTCCGGAGGCGAGGCAGGTGGCAAGGGACCTGAGGAGAGGAATATTGAGTGCTTGATACCGGAGGAGGAGCAGGAGTTGGTGCGGTATTATTGCGAGAAGACCGTGGAGCTGGGGGAGACGTATAAACCGCCAATGCCGTCAATCGTGCGGGTAAGCACCATGAAAGAACTGCAGAAAAAGGGAATTGAATTTCAAAGAAATGAATACTAATGACTCATGCGACAGGCAACAGCAATCCAATACCTACGGCGCTTCTATCTCACCAACTCCCCCATGACCTATCACCCCAAATCCATCATGGCCTGCGCGCTCTTCCTCGCCACAAAAACAGACAACTATTACATGTCCCTCCGCCAATTCGCAGCCGGAATCCCCGGTGACACAACAGAAGAAGACGTAATCGCCCCCGAATTTCTCATCATGCAAAGCCTCCGCTTCACCTTCGACATCCGACACCCGTTCCGCGGCCTCGAAGGAGGCATTATGGAACTCCAAGCCATATCCCAAGGTCTAGGCCAACCCTCCCCCCTCCAACCTCACCAAACACCAGAAGGCCTCCGACAGCATCTCTCATCAATCCCCCCAGCCCCAAACACTTCTTCCTCACAATCCCTAAACGACCGTCTCGCCCGCGGCCACCACACGACCCGGGAGATCCTCAAATCCGCCGCCCAAATGACAGACGCCTACTTCCTCTACACCCCATCTCAAATCTGGCTATCAGCATTCCTTCTTGCCGACAGACCCCTCGCCGAATTCTACCTGGACACCAAAATCGGTGGACCCCACGCAATTGACCCCACCAGCCCCCTTCACGCCCTCCGAGAAAAACTTCTCACAACCCTAACCAGCTGCTCAACCCTCCTAAGCGCATACAAACCCCTCTCCACAGACCCGGAACAAATGAAAACCCTCCGCCGCATCGCAAAGAAACTATACCATTGCCAGAACCCAGAGAAAGCGAACATCGCGGGCCAGAAGCGGATCCCTGCCGCTGCGACGTCTTCTGGTGCTGCCACTGCGGCTGGGACGCCGGTTGCTGGTGGGGAGAGCGGTGCTTCGGAGAGTGAGATGGAGAGGCTGGCGAAGAAGAGGAAGTTGGAGGGTGGGGGAAGTAGTGGGCCGAAGGCTGATGATATGTTTGGGAGTGAGTTAGTAACACAGCGGAATAAACTGCAGGATCTGACTAGTTATCCTGAGGGTGGGTAGACGATAGAATGAATAGAACATACTAATTTCCTAATAGTATAACACCGTCATGTGGATACGCGGTTTCCGGTCAAATGTAGATATGATAGTATCATTGCCAATACAAGCTACAGCTATCCATATTCACACGACAATACCATATCAGCTAAATAGAGTCATCCAGCCAGTATCCATATCAAAAGCAACATGCGCCTTGATACCCAATCCATAAAAAAGAACAAGCGCCCCCAGCGAACCTGCGCGATCCTCAAATAACTCCGGTGCCGTCAAATACAAAAACCGAATAATTGACGAGACAAGACAGCAACAGGACATTCACATGTCTATGAGACAGTGTTGTTGGGTATCAGCAAATTCCGAACTGAAGCGCCAGATCAAGAAAGTTCAAACGCGAAATACAAATGATACAAATGCGCATTGACTCCGGGGGTAAAGCAAAGTATAAGCGATGAGAACATATCCGTAGTACGTGGTAGACACTCAGTTGAGGTTGGGCCATTTGGACCCCAACGTGGTCAGCACCGTAGTTTGTTGTTAAACGAGAGCCAGGCTATTGCCTGTAAACTCTTGGTCAGTCTGCAAGCACAAGGTTTCAGACAGTGTAGACCATTCAATCCTCCCAGATGGTTTCCAAATCCAGGTCCTGACGACGTTCAGCACCGCAAACACTCCACCGTTTTCGCTTGTCGGCCCTGACACCATAACCTCCCCGCACCAGCGAACCAGCAGGCCCCATGGCATCTGACGTTCCGCGCCGTCTGTTCCCCGCACCCGATGCCTCTGTCTCATCGATCCTGTCAGCAGCCGCTTTCAAAGCCGCGACCTGATCTGCCTCACTGGCCGCAGCCTCCGCATCTGGAATATCAGGGATCGTCTCCAACGAAGATATACTGGGGCTGCGAGAACGCAAGCTTGTGGGTGTCGAAGGCATGGAAGACGCGGACGAACTGGAATAGGACGGGAAGGCTTCGTTGTATTTCGAACCGAGCATCACTGGCGAAGAGGAGTGTGTAGGAAAAGGACCGGGACTACTAGCGTTGCCCGAGTGAAAGTGAAGCGGGGACGAGGGCCGTCGACGGCCCATCCGGGGGAAGGTATGGTGGGTGGGTATCGCAGGCGACACAGCATGCGCTGACTCTGCGTCCGTATGTGAGGATGTGTTCATGGCGGTATCGAGTTCCGAATGCTCTGCAATAGGTTCTGATATTCTCAACGATGCCATCCTAGACTCAAGAGCATCCCCCGTAGCGACCTGCAAGAACGGATGGCGTTTACCATTCTCGAGTGGATTGGAAGTCGGGGCCCCGCGACCATTCACGAAAATATATCGACCCCGGGAATCCAGCCCCGGAGAGGAGTAAGCGCGCGTCATGGGAGGCACATTCGGAACCTCGGCCAGCGAACGAGAACGGAAATGCGACCGGGCCAAAGGGGAACGGCTTTGAGGTGTCATCACTGGCTGAGGTGGTAGCGACAAGGTTATCATGACATCGTTGGATCGTTGTATCTTTCCCGTCGAATCCGTAGTAGACTCTCTGGTTGCTGTGGGTGCTGCTGGTGGCCCTGAATCGAAGGAATCGACGGATTCCACGGGACTTGGAGAAGACATGAACCGTTCTGACGACATTCTCTTCTGTTTCCTGAAGCGACTTAAAAAAAATTTCTGGACGAACCACGCGAGGATCTTCTCGAATTCAGATCGACTGCATGCTTGGGTAGAGAAGAATTCCGGAGCCTTCTTTTTGGTGTTTGCCCCTTCTCCTTCACAATCCCGAAGAGGCAAGTGCGTAGAAAATAGTCAAAAACGAAGCTTTCCCCTTCTTTTCTATTTTTCAGTCCCCTTTTCCCCTGAACCCCCGGGAATCTCTCAACGTTAGGTCCAAGTGAGCAGACCAGAGAAGTCTGTCTTGGGGGAAGAAGAGGAAGTGGCCCAGGAAGCGACACTGCTTAGAAGGTCACGGGCCGGCGAAACCGAGGATCGGGAGAGGGCAAGTGACCGTCTCTTAGTAACTCTTTATCTCAAAGTAAATTGATTGTGCGATAAATAAGAGGCACAAAGAAAGAAAAAAAGCAAGGATATAAAAAGAAATCCAAAGAAAACGAAGGAACACTGCCAATCAAAGAAAAAATAAGGAGGCGATGAAGGAGCGCCCGTCCGCGATCTGTGTGGGAGAGAACAGAGAACCACCAATGCTGAAACGAAGTCGACGCCCAACTGCGCAGCAGGAACAGGACTTCAAAAAAGAGGCGAGAATGCATGATTCATGTCAGCAGCTGTTAGAGGTAGTAGTCTGGATCGGGTCAGACATTTCGAGATTGGCGTCGCATCGTGAATCCTGCACTGAATGGCCGACAGATGCATGCAATACACACCTACACACAGAGAGAGTGATGAGTGGGCAGAGAGATACGGCACTGTGGCTGCTTATATATCCACTGAATCTTCGTCGTTTTCACCCGTGCTCAATGGCTGCGCTGCACCTCGCTTGCATGCTGTCCTTGTCCTACAACGCGCAAACTATACACACTCGATAGAAGCCGGGATTGGAATCCTTCATAGATACCGGACGGAAGTAAACGACAGCTTACATGCATTAGAATCTATTATGTTGCTTACATACATTATCACTGGTACTATCCAACAACTCAAAATGGGGATATATGACCAAAAAAAACAAGAGGAAATCAGGATCGCTCCAAAAGAGAGAAAGAGAGATTAAAGAGAGTAAGAAAGAAAAAAAAGAGGGAGGGAGAGAGAATGTGGCCATCACTGGTTCTCCTGGCACTTCGACACGCTCTTCCGCACATACACTTGCCGGACGGGGTCGCCTTCGTGATCCTTGACAACCCACTCTCCCATCCCATATTCTGGTGGTGCTTTTCTAACACCACGGCCTCCTCCCCCGACAATCAGGTTGCCAGGCCGGTAGTCGGGGTTGGCCTCCATACGATGAAGGGCAGAGATATGAACCTGCGCATCTAAGGGGATATCTCGCACTTCACCACAGGGGAGAGGCCATCTGATGGGCTTCCAAGATCCGTCCGGTTGCAGGTCCATTCGTCGGAAGGGGAGATATTCCATCAATCGCCAGGTCATAACAGAGGCAGCGGGTAAACCGTTGCCAAACGACAGACAGTCATGTATCCAACCCTGGGTGCTGCCCAGGTGTAGGGCGGCGTGGAAGTCCCGACTGGAGGGCGAGCGTTCCTTCTCATTGCCGCATGACCCAGCCAATTTCACTCCTGCGTTACCGTTACTGGTGTCCTCGTTCCAATCACTGTTCTCGCGAATGGGCGAGAACTCTCCGTCAAACTCCTCCATGCATTCAAATTGCTTAACCTTGCGGGGGTCGAGCTGGAGCCCTGCGCGCCAGGCCTCTTGCACCATCCAGACCAAGGGTGGGTGGCTCAGAGGCCATTTCTCACCATTTTCCAGTTTCCAACCGCCGCCAATATCGGCGTGACAACCTGGGAACCACACCTCTTGAATATCCTGGTCATCGTCATCTTCTTCGATGCCGCTGGGCACTTGCAAAGACAGCCCCGACTGCCCACTCTTGATCGACACGAGATCCTCTGCGGACGCTGCCGTTGGGATGGCAAGGTTGGGCCTGGGCCTGAGATGCGTGGCGGGTGCACGGTACCGATGGTCTGCGTTATTGTTCGAGCTACTCGCCGCTTGCGAAGTGTGCGATGGACGACGCATCGATGGGTTAGGTGCTGCCTGACTTGTCCCGTTGGTGCCATCATTCACAACAATGGCCGGCACGTCCTCATGGCTCTTTTCAAGGTGCAAATGATGCTGCAAGTTTTGCCAGGCATGTCTAGACCTCGATTTCTTGGCCTGGGGCTTTGCCCCAGAGATCAAATCCTGCCGAAACTTGGCGCGACGCTCATCAATTCCGACGGCATGTCGGATAACCCTGGCAGAACTGCGCGCGGTGTAAGGGAATTTACTACGTTGCATCCAAGCGGACTCGAAACTCGGGACACTGTTGACGGTATCGAAAAGACCCATGAACTTGATGCGGGTCACAGGCCGAGAGAAAGTTTCGCGAAAGGCCTTCATGAACATGAACAGCTTTTCCTTCTCCACACGGTCTTCCTCGGTATCGCCTCGCCGCTGCTGCCACTTGGCAAAGGTTTTCCACGCGAAACGCGTTAGCTCTTCGTTTCCGGCCTCGAGCAAGCCGACGCAGTCCAGCATTTCAGAGAGGAAACGGGCAACGTAAGAACCCCGACTGAACCCAATAAAGTAGATCTCGTCGCCAGGTGAGTAGTAACGCATGAGGAACTTGTATCCGCCCATGACATGTTCTGCGAACGAGGATCCGACGGCGGAGTCTTTGGCTTTCAGATAGGCAGACTTGATGCGCTGGAATCTCCCAGTGTGGGAGAACGACTTGGAAGTGACATAGGTTCCAATACCAGGTTGGTAGTAGTGAAATTGGTGACTTTTGCTTCGGTCCAGCATCTATCGACGTCAATGTTGGCTCCTTTTTCGTATATGTTCGTTTTACATATCAACTCACCCGAAAAATCTTGAGGACATTACTGTCCGACTCATCGCCAGCAAACTTATTCCCCGTGCCATCAAAACAGAGCACAAACTGTTTGGGAATGGGAGCAGGTCCCAACGGTGCAGCCTCCATAGCCTCCATTGTGTCTACGCTCTTGGCCTAAGCGAATGAAAGAAGCTTGAAGGTGGTTATTATTGATAAACCAAGAGAACCAAGAAAATACCGAAGGAAGTGACACAGGGGGAAAAGGAACCGGACAACTCGGACTCCTTGCCGTCGTGGAGAATAGAGAAGGGTTCGTTGTTATACAGGACCACAGGCAGGGGGAGAGAATGCAAGTTGACGGCTCTTGGGGCCGAGCTTAGCTACGAAATCAGGGGATTTAATATGTCCAAAAGACGAAAAAGATGCAAGCCGAGTCAGGCGAGTCAAAAAAAAAAAAGACGGCTCTGCGATGCTCATGATCCTGCAGAAGTGGAATGTCCGGTTTTTTTTTTTTTTTTTTTCACCACTCAGCCTCCTCCGAGGGGTATATAATAATAATAAGAAAAAAGAAAAAGGAATTAACTTCGTGCACGACAGCGGGTGTTTAATTCGACGAGCCAAAGCGTCAAACTTCACCCGAAGCAGTGGGGATTACGAAAAGGAGGGATAAGGATACGAAGCAAGAAAAAGGAAGAGAGCGGGAGGCTGGGAAGTCCTTTTCTGAACGGACAAACAGATTGGCACATTCCCTTACCTTGTGCGTTCATGCACTAATTCCGCTCTGGGATTGACATGCAGCATATCCTGTACGGGGATTGTGACTAACAAGCCGGCTATTTGGTAGGATTTGAATTCTAAAGAGGGGGTGTTTGCTTGTGGGGACTGTTCTTCCTACTTGGAATACGGAGAATGTCCTCTATCTGTACAAAGACAGGCACATGGCGGAAGCGTTCATCCTGTTCCTGTCCAGCGGGAATACGCCAGCTTCAGCCTAGGTCGGTGTTAGTGGGAGCAGATCGCACAGTTCGCACAGCGTCCTGCTCGCCGGATGATATCGGTATGATCACTGTTCTTACAGGCAAGCATCATATTGCTGGGATCCTCACTTCCAGAATAAGTAACAGATGACAATATCATGGCTTCATACGACAGCCGACCCTGATCGAAACCCGAAAACATGGAGATTCTTCCCTGTTATCTCGGCGCATGAGACTCGATGTGAGAAATGCCCGTCACTTACTTGTACTCCGGAGTACGTCCACAAAGCTGTCGATCGCTTCTTTTTCTTCACACTAACAGAGAGAACCTACTCTATTAGGGTAATACTATGGTTCTCGAGTGGGTGCCGGTATCCGCATGTATCTATACATACGGATACGAAGTGCATACAAGTACCTATGCATACCGAGAGATTCTGCATGTGAGCTCTCATGTTCTCTCATGTCCAGGGCTGACAAGCAAGGGATTCTTAACAGGATGTGATCAAGTCTTTGTTTCTATCTATCTATTTGTGTTCTTTGCTATGTGAAGCCCACAGAGCGAGAATCAAACTGAATTTAGGCTGCAGCCCTCGCAAAAGGGAAGGTGGGTTGCTATTTGGCTAGTAAAACTAGCGTTTTTAGTGATATGGAGCACAGGCACATGGCAGTACGTGCTTGCATGCAGACTGAGATGGAAGGTCTTCATCTGTTGCAAGGGAATTCTGGAATCTTGTCGACGAGTACGGGTGCTTCACGGAGGATATACAGAGGATGGCATTATTTCTATACTTCCATTCAACTTCTATCCATATCAATCGCATGGGGTTTACTGGTAATTGTAAAGTACATACCGTAAATACAATACCATACAATACTCGGGAACACCCGCTCGTCCGCCATGAACCGTCTTCACCTCCATTTCTCTCTCTCTCCTCCACCGCTGAATCAACATTGGCCAACCTTTGGGATTGCCAGCCCACCTGCCTAACCGGCTTATACGACCGTCCTTGTTCTCATTCGGTACCGATATACGGTCCCTGCACGCGAAATGGTCCTACCGCACAGCCAAACCCCGGTCGGAGATCGTATGAATCTTGATCTAGGATGAGTGATAGATGGTAGGCGATACATGCGACCATGATGGTGTAACGAACTTGCCGGGCATATGTACTTGTACTTATACTTGTACATTATGCTCGACTCGATTGACGGAATACCGAATACGCCAAGTGGACGGGTCCGTCTTGAGGAGTTTGTGGCTAGCTGAACATTCGTAAGGGGTTTTGCTTCGAGCAAAAATCTTCAGCCAACCGAGCACACGGACTGCTTGTCGATCTGGGTTAGCAATGGACCGGCACCGATTGGATTAATATTCCACTGTCCATGGTTCTTATCCCGTCAAACTTATCCCAATTCCGTCGGCTAATCAAAACCACATCTCCACGCTGTTTTAGCTAGTGGAGGAGCTGAGAACTGAAAGTCCTTATGTTTTCCCGGATATGGTACGGAGTAATCGGCTGGGATGTCGGTGAAGCTGCCAGCCCCTCCCTCCGGAGGATGCATGCCCAGGTCTTGCAACGTCGAGATGCGTTGGTTGGAAGCGATCTTATTGATCGGTCGTACTTGGGCATCACTGCTCGACATGTACAGAGTCGATATCTGGTGCTTTGTACTTCATGAAAATGCTCGCATTGTACAATAATACCGAGTCTCTAGTGAAATATGCCGTGACGGAAATCCCGGGATGGAGATGAGGGAGGGTCCCAAACCACTACTTGGGACCTTAGCCGGACCCACAAGTGGGGGGAGCACTTCAGCTCTGGTTCAGCTGGATGATTATCATTTTATAATCTTCGATTTGTGTGGACACCTTCTGTCGGAGCGGAGTACGAAGCCTCCCGTATTAATTTGTGGTCTCGATAGCTGGATGATGATCCCGGACGAACCTGAGATCAGCTCCCAAATCCTTGGCTTATAATTGGATTTGCAATATGCATCCCAGTTTCATCGCCCGTGCTTTGGGAATCTCCTATTGCTCATGGGCCCGATTGTCGTTGTCAGCTCTGAGAATACGAAATACCTCACTAGGATTCGCCGACGCCATGTGCAGGATTCACAATTCACATCATTGAGGTGACCTAGCCAGCTAATCATTTGCATGCATTTTTGTCATTGCGTGGCATCGTTATTCGAGTAACCTACATCGTACGGTACAACATGATTCAACCAGCGCATACAGCGTCGCCCAGCTGAAACCGCAACCTATGAGAAAAGAAAAAAAGAAAAAAAGACAGAATTGCTGTTACCGTGGCTTCCCATTCGAGAGGTCCACACATTCCGGCTTGTCGACATGATTTCTAAAGATATACGATTGACATGTGTGACTGCGTTGTATGAATGGCAGTCCTTTAAGGACGGACAACCTGTGAGTAGAGAGACGATTGGGACTATCTACGCAGTCTAAATCTGAAATAGCGATTTGACTCCCACCAAGACTGAACTATTTACTATCAACCGGATCTGATGGGCGGCCGGTGGTCCACCGTCTGATTCGAGTGCAGCGTCCTACTTCACTTTGTCTCCCCTTGTTTTTTATTTATTTTTATTTTTTTTTATTAGCCCCATATCTCCGAAGTATTAAACTTTTGGTAAATTCTCCATATGTTAATTCCTCTTCCTGCTCTTTCTTCTTCTCTGTCTCTTGTTTCTTCTGTTGTTGGTGTATTCACGGCTCTGTTGATATTGCACATTATGTTACGTCGATTCTCAACGAACTTCAAGAAGTCCAAGGGCGACAAGGAGGAGCGTCGTGAGGCCAAGGAGAATGGCCAGGTCAACGGAAAGCGTCACTCGCTAGTTGCACCCATTCGCAAATCGACCTCCCCGCCGTCATCCACTGCGGAAGAAGAGACTCCCCAAGGCGCAACACGCAATGCTGTCCAGTCTACCTTTGAGAAGTACTCGCAAGTTATCCATGCCTCGACGACCCCTCTGCCCCGTCAGACTGGAGATTCCACTTTTCTCGAGCAGGATACCACTCAAGGGATTTTCGGTGACATCAAGGCGCTTGGTTTCCGTGATGTGAATACTTTGAAGGATCTCATCAAGAGCAAGGCCTCTGGTGAGCTTGTCGATGACAAGACTATGCTTATGGAGCGGATTATTCAGGTATGCGCTCCTTATTCCCATGACGTTATGCTCCAATCGCTAATTTGAATATGATGTAGCTCGTCAGTGGTCTTCCCGCCGGCTCCAAGAACCGTGTCGAACTCACCAACGTTTTCCTCGACGAGCTCTGGAACTCGTTGCCGCACCCACCACTCTCGTACATGGGAGACGACTACCAATATCGTTCTGCAGATGGCTCGAATAACAACCCGACTCTCCCATGGTTGGGTGCCGCTAACACGGCATACTCGCGCTCCATTCCCCCATTGACCGTTCAGCCCAGTGGTCTGCCAGACGCGGGCCTGGTGTTCGACAGTCTTATGGCCCGTGAGAAGTTCAACCCCCACCCTAATAAGGTTTCGAGTTTGTTCTTCGACTGGGCCTCTTTGGTTATTCACGGTATGTTTTCTTGCGTCTGAAGCGATGGAGTGGTGCTGATTTGCAACAGATATCTTCCAAACCGACTATCGTAACCCTAGTATCAATAAGACCTCCGCCTACCTCGACCTTGCCATCTTGTACGGTGACGTCCAGGAGGAACAGGACTTGGTCCGTACCCACAAGGATGGTAAACTGAAGCCCGATGCATTCTCCGAGCCTCGTCTCCAGGCCTTCCCCGCAGCTTGCTGTGTGTTGCTTGTCATGCTGAACCGGTATGTCTCCTGTCAATGCGATAACTGAAATATTGGCTAATTAGTTATCGAACAGTTTCCACAACCACGTTGTCGAGCAGCTTGCTCTCATTAACGAGAATGGCCGCTTCACCAAGCCCTCTCCTAAGCTGCCTGAGGAGCAGGCCAAGCAGGCCTGGGCCAAGTACGACAACGACCTCTTCCAGACCGGTCGTCTGATCACCTGCGGTCTTTTCATCAACATCACCCTGTACGACTATCTCCGTACTATTGTCAACTTGAACCGCAGCAACACCACTTGGTGCTTGGTACGCATAACCGCCCTCGTCGCTATTGATAGTAGTACTAATACCTGTATAGGACCCTCGTGCTCATATGGAGAAGGAGGGCGCTACCCCTCAGGGTATGGGTAACCAGTGCTCTGTTGAGTTCAACTTGGCCTACCGCTGGCACTCCGCCATCAGTGCCAATGACGAGAAATACACCGAGAAGATCTACAAGGAGCTCATGGGCAAGCCCGCGGAAGAGGTTACCATCCCGGAGCTTCTCATCGGTCTGGGCAAGTACGAAGCAAACTTGGACCGTGACCCAGCCAAGCGCACTTTCGCCCACCTTGAGCGTCAGGAAGACGGTACTTTCCGTGACGATGACCTTGTCAACATCTTGTCAAACGCTGTTGAGGATGTGGCCAGCTCTTTTGGTGCTCGCAACGTTCCCAAGGCTCTGAGGGCCATTGAGATCCTGGGTATCAACCAGGCTCGTCGCTGGAACGTTGGCTCCCTCAACGAGTTCCGTAAATTCTTCGGCTTGAAGGCTTACGACTCGTTTGAGGAGATCAACAGTGACCCCGATGTTGCCAACTCCCTCCGTCACCTATATGAGCACCCCGACTTTGTCGAGCTCTACCCCGGTATCGTCTCCGAGGAAGCCAAGGAGCCCATGATCCCTGGTGTCGGTATTGCCCCGACCTATACCGTCTCCCGTGCGGTCTTGTCCGATGCCGTTGCCCTTGTCCGTGGTGACCGATTCTACACTGTTGACCAGAACCCGAGAAACCTGACCAACTGGGGTTACTCGGAGTCTCGCTACGACCTCAGCGTCAACCAGGGCTGTGTCTTTTACAAGCTGTGTCTCCGTGCTTTCCCCAACCATTTCAAACCTGACTCCATCTACGCCCATTACCCCATGACCATCCCTGGCGAGAACCGCAACATCATGAAGGACCTCGGCAGGGAGTCGCACTACTCCTACGACCGTCCTTCCTACACTCCTCCCAAGGTGAACCTGTCGTCCTACTCCAATGTCAAGCGCGTGGTCGAACAGCCCACAGACTTCCGCGCCCTGTGGGGTGAGGTTCCCGCCTTCGTCTTCGGCAAGACTGGCTACGAGCAGTTGCTTGCTGGTGACTCTTCCTTTGGCACCCAGCAGAAGGAGGCCATCACCCAGGCCTTGTCATCTGAGGAATGGAACAAGCATGTGAAGGCCTTCTACGAGGACATCACCCTGCAGCTCCTCCGTGAGAAGACCGGTCGCCTCGCTGGCAGAAATCAGATCGACATCACTCGCGACCTCGGTAACTTGGCGCACACCCACTTTGCCGCCAACGTCTTCTCGCTACCTCTGAAGACTGCCGATAACCCCAAGGGCATCTTCACTGAGCACGAGCTGTACATGGCCCTGGCCGCCACCTTCACCAGCATCTACTTCGACGTGGACCCCGCCAAGTCCTTCGCTCTCCGCCACGCCTCCCACGCCGTCGTCCAACAACTCGGCCAAGCCGTCGAGGCCTCCCTCAAGGGCACCAGCGGCTTCCTCTCTGGCATCCTTGGCGGCTCCCGCAAGACCCCCAACGCCCTTTCCGAATACGGCGCCAAACTTATCAAGCAACTCCTCGACAACGGCCTCAATGCCTCCGAAGTGACCTGGGCCCAGATAATCCCCGCTGCCGTCGGCATGGTCCCCAACCAAGGCCAAGCGTTCACCCGCATCATCGACTACTTCCTCTCTGCTGACGGCGCCCAACACCTCCCCGAAATCAACCGTCTGGCCCAGGAAAACACCCCCGAATCCGAGGAGAAACTCCGCCGCTACGTCCTCGAAGCCATCCGCATCAACGGCGCCTTCGCCGCCTACCGCGAGGCCCAAACCTCCGCCATCCTCAACGACAACGGCCGCGAAATCTCCATAAACCCCGGTGACAAGGTCTTCGTCGGCTTCGCTGGCGCAAACCACGATGCCGAGGCCTTCCCTGAACCTAACCAAGTGCGCCTCGACCGGCCCCTTGAGGCTTACATTCCCTTCGGCGTTGGTCCCCACGCTTCGCTGGGCAAGGACACCAGCCTCGTTGCTCTTACCACTATGCTGCGCGTTGTAGGTGGCCTGCCGAACCTGCGCCGTGCTCCTGGTCCCCAGGGCCAGCTGAAGAAGGTGCAGGCTGAGGAGGGATACACTGCGTATATGCGCGAAGATAACAGTGGACACTTCCCGTTCCCGATGACGTTCAAGGTGCACTTTGATGGGGAGATTCCTGGTCCTAAGCGTGGTTAATTGCCGTGTCTCCGTGGTATGGTGATGAGTACGATAATTCTACGAAGGTAATGGGTCGATATAATCGTGGATCTTTGGTTTATGGCAGAATGCTCTTGTTTATCTCGAGATATCCTTTGTTTTCATGCTTTTTGGTTTATTTTTATTTTTATTTTTTTCCTGTCTGTCTGCCGATAATATGATAATTGTTATGTTAATAAATATTAGTTATTGATTGAGATTTTGCCCTAATTCTACAGTCACGTAGTATGTCGAGTAAGACGAATACTTGCCACAATTTGAGCAATAATAAACAAATCTCAAACGATATGAACAGGGATCGTACGATAGCGACCAAGGCAAGGAAACTGGTATCCTGGAGCTAAACCCTGCCAATCGCAGTATCTAGTAACAAGACCATGCTCGGCTCATCCAGATGAACCTGGGTCCGCACTGGATTGATTGGTGCTTAGCCTTAGCCTTTTTCTTTTTTCATCTGTGAAGTTCAAAAACCAAAGAGTTTCTTTGTGATACTGCTTCACTAAATTTCTCTCTTACTTGAACATCAAAACACTCCATGAGCATGGCAGGAGAAAATCCTTCGCGATCCATGATTTGAGTATCTGCACCGGCAGCAAGAAGATATTCAACTGTCTTGTCATTATTAAGTATCAAGTATCATGGCGTCATGCAAAGGGGTCCGGCCATTGGCTAGGCCTGTGCGGTTTGCATCAACTCGTTGATCTATGAGCAATAACTTCAGCAGGTCTTCATGATCCGCACCTATGGCGTGGTGCAATGATGTCTTGTCATTGAATGATGCATTAGGGTCAACGTCATCTCGGTTGAGGAGTAGCTGCACTATCTCAGGGCTGTAGTTAATAACTGCGTTGTGCCATAGGGGTCTCCACATTAGGTCGTGCGGAGGCACCTCGCTCGAGCAGGAATCAAAACATGTGCGTATTTTCCTTTCCTTTTTTTTTTTTTTTGGCTTTTTGAGAGGCAGTCTGGGTTCCATGGACATGTATCTTATCGTAAAGACGTAAGTCGTGGTCGGTCTAAGGGTCTGTCAGTAAGACATCAAGTAGGGTGTTGAACATTTCTACTTGTTTATACCTTATAGCGAGAAAAAGGCTTGTATTACAAGCATTTGTGCCTGCACGAGAGGTTTTCTGGGGATTTCTTACCAGGCCCGTTTGCGCTGCATGATGCAGTGCAGTTCTATAACGGCTGTAAAGTTCACGGACCACATTCATATCGAGACTGTACAGCAAGGGATCTACAATGATATAGAGATCGCGGTATGTTTGAGCAAAAGAATCGATGTCTCTGCATCTTCTGTAAAGACCTAGAGGCTCTGGATAGGATGCAATCTGGAGAATTAGTTATGCTGGGATAATTAGCAAAAAAACTCTCGATCTCCTTGTTGCACGGCGTCTGCGCATTCTGGAGGAGTAGTTGGCCATCTTGTATCGAGTCCTAGGAAGTGCCACTTCCGAGTCTTCAATATCAAAGTGTGGGAGAATGAGAAGACGTCAAGCCGACACACCGCCTTTAACACCGAGCAAACTGCCGCTATATCGTGACCGCTCTTCTTACCGCTATCGCGACATGATACGGAGGTCGCATAGAACATTCGCATCAATCAATCACCTCTTCCAAACACACAATTGCCATTATGCCCCCCAAAGCCTTCAAGGGTGAATACATCGAGACGGTACACCACCCACACCCCACCTACATGCCCAGGAGCCCAGAGCTAACCAACTCAGGACACGGGCAACAAGATCTCCCGCCGCGCCCAAATCCACGGAACCCAACGCATCATCCTCGGTGGAAAAACAGTCATTCAAACAGATGCCGTCATCCGCGGTGACCTCTACCGCTCCTCTTCCTCGCACGCCTCCTCCGATGATCCGGCTGGCGCCGCACCATCACCTTCCGTCGCTATAACCGTTGGCCGCTACAGTTACATCTCTAAGCAGGCGATTCTGCGCCCGCCCTCACGTCTGCACCGCGGTATGCACTCTTATTATCCGTTGAAAATCGGCGACCATGTGTTTGTGGGTGAGCGCGCGGTTGTTGAGGCGGCTAGTGTTGGGAACCATGTACATGTTGGGAAGGAGGCTGTAATTGGGGGCATGGCGATATTGAAGGATTTCGCGGTTGTACTGGATGGGGCGGTGGTTCCAGCTGGTATGGTGGTTCCAAGTTGGTGTGTTGTTGGTGGTAGGCCGGCGAGGATCGTAGGGGAGGTCGGAGAGGGGTATGGAGTTGAGGGAGCGGATGGGGGATTGGCGAGGGAGAGATATCGGTTGGTTGGGAAGTGATGGGCTTAGTTCGGCAAATATTCATTATCTGGGTTTGCGTGGGTGCGTTCTTGCGTATGGATCGTGCACTGACAGACGAGGAGACCATTACTTGGCACGATCAAACAAGTTTCCCATGTTATACAGGGTACATGATTAGGGCTTTCCGGCGCTGTGCCATTGATCACATCGATTAGCCTGTGCAGAACAAACAAACCAACTGGCTTTCTGCATTGCATATTATTATTGCAGGACACGGTGTTATTCGAGCTCATATGAGCATACAGGGATACTACGTTCGCACCAGCAGCATTGAGTGTTTTCTGAAGAGAGAGATGTTTGTCTCTAGCCAGGAACGCAGTTTCTGTATCTAACTACGCACGAGGATTGGGGCTGATACACTGACTATTGGGATATTCCCTCTTACCACCAGCTAATCTGGAAATATTATACATCTGTGCATACATGAGTCTTTTCTGAGTCTTTTCTAAGAGCCTTTTCTAAGACCTTCACTTATCCAAATAATGACCTTTGGAGTCCTCTATCGCACTTGAGGAACCAGACTCACTGCGTTCCAGTCGTCTAGGTGTCAATTGACCTCATCTTTATGCCAACACCCAAGTTCGCTTAGGTGTATGAACCAAAAAGAGGCGTTGCTATACTCTAGATAATCAGATTCTAGGATAACCCTCTCAACCTCACAATGCGGATTTGTTTTTATTTGTTTCGAGCATCTCTTGCAATATGAGCTTTTGCTCAGTCTCGCCATGTCCTAGTTGGTCTATGTCTGCGACTGCGCTCTCGGCTGGTTCCTTGGGGAGTGGTGGATTGGCGGAGGTTTGCAAACAACTCGACGGACGAGGTGCAAAACAATTAAAAGATGCGCGAGAATGACGAGAAAGCAGCTGCTCACTCTAGGTTCATTGGGTCGTGCGTGCTTGCTATAGGACAATCACGGTACAAATTGTCTAGCTTTATCCCGCTTCTCTTGTCGAAGAATTCCATGCTTTTCGGGCAATCTCTACCATATAACTGTTTGGCCTAACGGCGGTAGCAACCACTAGAAGAAACCATGGAAGAATGATCCATAGATTGGAATTACAGTGTTGGTATCGGTTCTTTATTCTCCTATGGCAACGAAATCGTAAGGGCCAGGCATATTGTTTAAATTCGAGCGCCGCAGTTAATGTCGCGCGAGTGGACCAAAGATCCTAGGCTTATTCCCTCGGTGGTCTATCTTCAACCAAGCAAAGCATTGCAGTCATACAGGAGCACCTGCCCTGACTAAACTTGTTTTTATTCGGCACCGCGGAGTTTCCATGTGATATTAAGCCTTCTTTTACCAGATGTTCAGCATACGACGGTTCCTGTTGATGGTGGATGCCGATAAGCCTATGGCAATTTGCAGCATTCGTTAGATCACCAAGTACCACGCGGCACACAGACAGTGTGCAATGACATGGGGCTCTGTGTGGCATTGGCAAATTCGATTATTCTTCTGGGCCGCGGAATCTGATTATGTTTCTTTGTCAGAACGGAACTCAACCAATATGAGGGACTTTGTATTATTTGCATGTAGCATACAGATGACCCTTGCCCAAGTGAAATTATTAGCGACGAAACAACGACATGGTCGTATCAGGAGTTTGTTCCTGTTCTCCTCTCGAGCGGGCATTAGCAGAAAGATAATCACCAGTGCTCGCACTGATTAAAATGCGTGGGCCTTTGGGAGGTCTTCGAATTCGATGGCTATTAGAAATGAGTTTCGAATTAACTGGCTTGTGCCACTATTGAAAGGTAAAGCTGAAACAAAATCCTGCGAAGCCGCCAACGAGCTGATTTTCCATGGTCTCTCGGCAGTATCTGAAGTAAGCGATATCCGATGTGCATGTAAAACATAAAGAATGCAGGGCTTTGCTTCCGAACATGACTTGAATGTGTTAAACCTTGTTACATGAAGCAAATATGCTACCAGCATATCTAACTGAGCAACCTTTACCTCAGGGGGTGTAGCGCTCGTTCGCCCACTCCATCCATTTCTTCTCGTATTCCATGCAATGTGCCATGGGAAGGATATTTTCACATCCCTAGAGCCCATTCTGCACACTCAGATGAACCGGCCCTTCAGTTTCATTTGGTGATCATGCATGTACTAAGCTCTGACGAGGCAGAGTTCGAGCACCAGAGGCGCACGGCTTGCATCCGGCAGTCTCTCCTTTCTATATGGCACTCTCTAATATTTTCTTGGGCTCTTTGCACTTTGCGGTTTTGCATTTGCGTTATAGTATGGTTTATCTCAAACTGATGCACCGTGCCTGGATTACTGATCACTGGCATAGCTAGACGGCGTTTGGGTTGGTGTTAGGGCTCTTATTTAGCAATATACTTGTTGGAATTGAAGGAGTCAGAATTACATTTGCTTGCTGTCCTGCCCCATTCCTTTGGCGTGCCAGAGAGCCTTGCAGTCAGCAAAGCCCTCTCCGTTTTCAATGTGGGATACTTGCCAAGTACACCAGAAGATTGAGATAGCTTATTGTACTCTTCTTGGTGCCTATGTAATTCTTAGAGCTGACCTGTCGGTATGACAGAGAATAATATAGCCACTTGATGAGCCTATTATAGGTATTTTCTTTTCTCCAGCGGAAATAACCTAATTCATTTAGTATTTCTTGTCTCTTTTATTGCTTGTGTGAAATCTCGAGCGATCACTTGGGGATTTTAACGAGGTTTCGCACGAGGTTGACGAACCTTTCTAGCGGATAGCCTTTCCAAAGGTATAGTTATCTTCACCAAAATTAGTATAAACATGTGACACTATACATGTCGTTGACTGATTGAGGACAGGTTTTTTCATGATATCGTCCGGTGTTTCCACGCCGTTGAGGCGAGCAAAGGTTTATCTTCCTGTATGTCCATCAATACATTCATTCTAAAATCCAGAAATTGTCTATTTCTTTTGTGAGTCTCAGCGAATCCGACATTAAAACCACTCTTGAACTTGAATTGCATGCTGTTAATCCATGCAGGGATTGGTTCTTCATGAATCCTAACTTGTGTGAGTCGGCTCATTTTGCTTTCTTGTCCTTGTTAATTTCTTTTCGCCTGTCTGGGCTCTTGCCAGTCATATTGAATATTTCATCTGGAACTTCATCTGTTGCGCTAGTCTTACCTGAGCCTTAAGAAGTCGATCCCTTGGCCCTCGCCTTATGCCGTGCCCTTGCCATCGCACCTTAAAGTTGCTTGCCCTCTTCCGAAGCTCGGGTATGGGTAGTAATGACGCCTGTGGACGGCGTTGGCATGGGACCTGAGGGTTGCGATAACATCTCTTTCCCGGGTAAGCGCTATATGAAGCTCTTGAGCTTACTATTGAGCTCGTCGACCTCCAGAGCTTCCTCTTACATGACTTTTTGGCATTCTAGTCACCCTCTTCATAACGTGTTTGACAGTAACATCAGGGCTAGAACTAGGAGTGCAAGACTTACGAGAACCTTGTTCACCCGTAATGGGTCAAGTTGAAGATGGTTGGCTCTACTCTTTCCGCGCTTGATGTTCAGAACTCTCATCTTTTGCTCCATCCTGAGTGGGAAGCAAATGAAAGACGACTTTGATCAGTTTTAAACTGGATAGCCTGTATTTACTTTCGTGCTCCATATTGGTATAGACCGGCATAGACATATAGACAGAACCACTGGCACGTCTCTCTCTGAGGTAGACGCCATATCATATAGTGCTCATATAGTAGAAGATCTAACATGATTTGGACTAGCACAACGTGGTGCATGTAACACCCTTACTCCGGGTGTGTAACACGAGCAGGATGGTAATGACAGGACGAATCCAAAAAAAAAAAAAAAAAAAAAAAAAAAAAAAAAAAAAAAAAAACACTTGTTAATCAGACAAAATGACAATTCAGTGAATAAAAACCCTATTGACCCTCATTCATCCCCAGCGGTGACTGCCCCACCCTCTGTCCCGTATCCCCAAACAAAAACCCCATCTGCTCAAACCCCATAAACCTCCCTGTCCAATTCACCGGCCTCCCCATAACTGCACTAACAATCATATCCCTCCAGAAATCATTTAGCACCCCCGTCCGCCTATAAATCTCCTCATCCAGCGCCCTCAACGCATTATCCTGCAACGACGACGGCAAAAACCCCTCTGGTAGCGTCGCAACAGCCTGATACGCATCGCACTGGAATACAACATCGACTTCGCGGATGGTGATTGGTCCAGGAGACGGGGTCATGAGTGTCGATGTTTGTGTCGCGTTCATGCCCCGGAAGATAGTCAGGATGCGGCATGTATCGACGATTCCGCCGTGGATTAGGAATTCGCCGATGTGGTCGCGGAGCATGCGCCTAGGGTTTGCGCCGTCGCCGTCACGGAATCCGAGACTCTGGGCGATAGATTCGGCATTGTAGATGTTTGCCATGTCTCTTGCCCAGAGCGCGGTGATGGTGACTTCCTGTCGGCCCTCGAGACGAAAGGCGCGGTAGAGGGATAGGGCACGCCGGAAGTTGCTAAAGTAGGAGAGGAAGGGGGTCAGGAAGTCTTTTGAGTTGAGAAGGTGGCGGTCGAAGTCGTCGGGGGTTGGGGGGTTGACTGTACGGGTGATGCGGGCTTGGGCACTTAGGGTTCCGTAGCTGGAGCTTAGGCGGTGTTCAACACGGAAGAGGAGCCAGGGGACTTGGTCGCGGGAGATTGGGGGGTAGGGCTGGTTTTGGGTGGGGTTGTTCATTTTTATGGTGTGTTAGATGGCAGAATGGAGGAGCATGTTGTATTGTACTGGGGGTATGAGACTATTTATCAAGTTGATTGCTCAGTATACGAGGATTCCTTGACAATTGTCAATCATTCGTATATTAAAACTAAAACAAATACCTAGAATGTTTGCGCAAAGGACCAAGCGCATTTGGTGCAGCCTACATTGAAATCTGACGCTGACGTCGGATTGCATGGGTAGCAGATCATTGGGCATGACAACCCCTGTCAAGGAACCCAGACGATGCATGACATGGTGAATTTGACATCAATGCAGATGCTGTCATTTTCCACACTGCATTCATGCCAGTAAGATCTTCTAACTATAATAAGCCCTGGCGCCGCTAATTTCAAAATGCGTACATCCTATGTACATTGCTTAACTAGGTAATTGAGACCTGCGAAGGGAGAGAATCATCCCTTCCGGTTTCAATCCCAATCCCATCAAGTCCGTATATTTGACATACTCTTGCGGCAACTCTTTCTCCGCTCCAGTATGCTCCTGTTGTTGTTCCGAGCGCTACGAATGGCGCTGTATGTTCGCCGGCAAACCAAACCCCGCGTTCTTTTCCAATTCCGGCACCATCACGGAGGACTTCGATGTCCTCATCGCCTTGTTCCAATCCGACCTGAAAGTTGCTGTATGAGCCGTTGCCTGCGTATGGGTCTATTTGCCATTGTGTTGCGAGGAAAGCGAGGGGTTTGCAGTCTGCAGATGCAGTGGCGTAGCCATGCAAACGGGAGTAGAAGGGATGTAAGAAGTCGTTGAGATAGTCGTGGTATTCGGATGACGAAGGTGACAAATTCGATATGTGGGAGACGACGTGACTCGCACAGGGTCCGTGGATGTAGAAGAGGAGAGTTGGGTGGGCCTGTGGCCCGAGTGTTGCAAGAGAGACACATTCTTGATTCCAAATAATCTCTTTCGGATGGTTTGTATATGTTGGATCAAGGAACATGGCAAAATTTGGGGGTTTGTAGTTTTCCCCCTCAATGTGCCAGAAGGCTTTTGGAAACGTCACATAGACCTTCTCAAGTCTACCGTAAGAGATGCTATCAATAGCCTGGATAAGACGAGGAGGAAGATCTGGAGTAAAGGCATATTTGTTTCGTTTGAGCCATCCCAGAGGACAAGTCACGATGACCTCGTCGAATTGATGCTCTTGTCCATCTGCAGTGGACAGTACCACCCGGTTATCTGCCTTGACCTCGCGAGGTTGCGCCTCAATTCCCAGAACAGGCTGATTAAACCGAACATCCGCATGCTTCAGCGCAGCCTTAGACACAACCTCCAGAATCTTCTGATACGTAGAAGACACGAAACAATTACCTGCAATCTTAGCCATCACCCCGACCCCCAATGAAGAATCAATCAGACCTACTCGAATCAATACACTCCTCCAAGCAGAAAAACTTCAAACTCTGCCTCTCAACCGGGTCCCCAACATACGATCCCCACAACCTACAGCTCTCAAGACAAGCCTCTTTCTCCTCCTCATTAAATCCTTTCCTCTCAACTCGATCCTTGAAGAAGTCAAACAAACTCCGATCTGATGGGATACTATCTTTGTATGTGTTGCTGTACTCGAATGCCTCTTCAATGGTCGTCCAAACGAAATCGGAGACTTTGGCGGCAAGTCTGTTGTTGAGTGGTTTGCCGTCTTTTGAGAAGATTATTTGGTTCTCGTCGAAGTCTTCAAGTCTTATCTTTGTTGACTCGGCGATGACTGAGATTGGATTGTCTTGACCGCCGTGAATCCAGTTTGGTCCGCTATCAAAAATCAGTATGCCATTCTCAATATCACTTCCAGATACGGAACAGGATCCTACAGATCAACCAAATGATCGCCGACTTTGCTTTGTGCGACCTAATCCTCGTCAACCAATGGCCCTACTACAGGGGGATTTGTGAGACTCACCCTCCCCCCAACTCGATCTCTCGCCTCAAAGATCGTGACTTGAGCGCCGTTCTGGCCAAGAATATCTGCGCATCGTAGCCCGGAGATGCCAGCTCCGATTATCGCCACGCGCGGATTCCCCATGGTAGAATGACCTCTTAAGATAGAGGCTGTTTGGATTGGGAGTAATTGGGAGGTAGTGGTATACCTCTTCAAGGGTGTTTTGGAGGGTTCTAGTAAGAGTTAATATTGATTTATATGGGTGATTTATAAGGCTAATACGAGTCTTCTGAATAAAATACTCACATGGATTTGAAATGCTCGAATGCCCGGCGCAATATCGATAGACAAAACATAAAAAAACAATGATAGTGAAGAAACAGATGCCAAGCCCGATATATATCGGCGGCCACGTGCCAGCCAAACTCGGTATCTTTACAACTGCCCCTCTTTCTACGGAGTACAGAAGAGTACTACAAGAACATATTGTATCCTGAATTTTATCTTTTATTGATTTAAATTATAACCGGATATCTAACCTGTACTGCCGACACGAGCCAGTTTATCATCAAAATGTTCCACTCAGTCCTGGAAGAACTAAATATGTCCAAAGTCCCAACGAATAATCAAGAGAATCATTCACACATCGCATGCAATCACCGCTTGCTAGATTGCATCTTCCAGCATGGAAAAGAAATAAAGGGAATCAGATAAAACAAAAGAAATCACAAAGGAAAATAATAGGTCGTGCCACAGGACGGAGGGTGTTTTCTACCTCCATGCACCTTGGCTCAGTGATAATAAGCCTTGAATGCAGTCGAGATCTTCTTCTTGACTGGCACTGCTACCATTGGCCATGAATGTGGAGACTTCTGGCTCAACTTCGGGAGCAGTCTTTCGTTGCTGGTGAGCTTGGAAAAGACGGGAGCGGCGGTTTTTACTATTTGCATCTTTGAGCGCTGGGCGTTGCATGTTGGAAGTCGTCGTCCGGCGACGGACATTGGAGATTCGCGTGCCTGGGATCCAGTTCTCTTTATCCGAATCACCGTTGTGGAACTCAAAATCTTCATCGTTCTTTTTAGAGTTGCCAAGGAGTTTAGGCATCTTGAGAGAATTACCCGATACCTGACCCAGCGCATTTGCTCTGTTCGACTCCAGTCGTCCGAGAGATGAGACTGTGCGGGAGAGCTTCCGTCTCTTATCTCCTGTCTGCATGGGAACAGGGGTGTCAGGGTGGCTGGGAGAGTTGTTGGCAAAGGCATTCTGCCTTGAAGAAAGGCTTCTAGTCAACGATCGCTGGCCACGGGAGCGGAAGAGTCCTGGGGTGCTATGTGGCGCACTCTGAGCGCTGCCAGGAGTTGACAAGGCACTTCTGGCATCTGTGTCGAAGACGGACTCCCAATTACGGGGATCACGGGATCGACCGAACATTCTCTCTTTCTCGCTCGAGGCCACTCGCGGTGTTGCTGGAAGGACGGCACTGTTGCTCCGTCGAAGACCTGCGAAGCGGGACTTCCGAGTAGAGAACATGGATATACGGTTCTTAGATGGAGAGGGTTCATCGTCTGTACGAATGACCGCCTTTCCATCCGAAGACATGGAGATGCGGAGTGCGTTTCGCCCCTTTGGCGGGGATGGGGTCATTTCACCCTCTTTCCGTACCATTGCCTCGCCGTCAAAAGACAGTGAAATCCGCAGCGAGGGCGGCGACTTGAAGTCTTTTGACGCAACTTCCTCTGCTGGCTGGGGTGCAGATGAATCACCACGCAGGTCAGTCACCGATCGCTTTCGCTTGGTGGTGCTCAACTGCGATGCGTCTGGTTGTGTGGTCTCGGGGTTCTCCACTGGCTCTGGTTCTGGTTCTGGTGCTACCTCTTCATTTGGCTGTTGGGGTGCTCCAGACGTTTCTGAATCTAAACTTGTCTGGGAGCTCTGAATAGACTGCTCTTGTTCATCCTTGTCCTCAGCACCGGACACAGGGTCCGACCCGAACGAAGACTGCAACGCGTCCGACAAGGGTGCATTGTCAAGGTCACCCTGCTCCACCGTGCTGCGTTCCGCCAACACATTGCCATCGCCCTCTTTAAATTCGTCTACTATAGCACGCGGCGCGAGGAGTTCATGAGGTTGAAGCGGCTTCGACTTCCGACGATCATTTTGGCGACGGTTCTGGAACCAAATCTAAAGTCGCGTTAGAACGTCCCAATCATGCAATTGTATCTGAGAAACACACCTGCACCTCCTTCTCACCCAACGAAACACGATTAACAATATCCGCTCTCGCAGTCTTATCCGGCTTCGGATTCCGCTGATACTCAGCCTCGAGAATCGCATGGTCCTCCGGACTATCAAGACCCACAGTTAGCTACGCGTGCATAAATCGCCCACACAGAGGTAAGTACCTAGTCCGACGGCGTTTCTGACGAGCCAGCAGCTTGTTGTCCACTCTGGGAGGCAGATTCTGCGTCAATGTCTTTTGGGAATGAACGAGAAAGGCATAGTTGAGAGCGGCGGCTGTGGCGTCGGAGGGCGGGACGGATAGAGGAGAGGAGGAGCATGCGGGGAGGGTAGGATTCGGTTCAGACATGGTGAGGGAGAGGAATGAGATAGGAATTGGTCAGGAGAGCATTGGTGAGACAGGAGTAGGCGTGGTAGGAGTAGGAATGATCGTGAAATAGTAGTCGAATAGTGGGTAGCAGTATCAACTAGGAAGTATGAACCAGCCAAAGAGCAGAACAAAAGACACAAGCTTAAACAACAGAAGAACAAATGCAGAAAGAAGAAATAAAAGGAATTGGTTGAGCACGCCCCGAAGTGAAAAAGCCGTGGTGAAGAAAACGCCTCGACTAGTATTAAAGATCGCGTCGCGACAAGTGGAGGACGCGGCGGAGCGGGCGTGACTTGACAGTAAAGTAAGGTTACCGGAAAATTGCCCGCACGTTCTGTATACTATGTATGTATGTATGATTGACTTTTTCTATTTTACTACGTTTTAGATGCAATTATATCAATTGCTCAATTACAATTTCGGTATCTGTTCTGTATGCACTGGTCTATGACGATGCGACTTCCTTACTGCTGGATTGTCGGTATTGACGCTATTCCACTGTATCCTGAGAACCAAGGTACTCAGTAGTAGTACTCGGAGCATTGCAATTATGCAATTGTCCATGTATAGCTACGGTGACTGAGCTGGGTCGTATACTATGTACGCGAGACCAGGTTCAGGCCAAACCAAGTAACGACGACAATTGTACAGAATACTACGGGGCAATTGTATACGTAGCTGTACACTAAGCTCCGTATACAGTACATAGCTGCTCTTACCGGTGGAATCGTCGTTCGTTACGGAAATTTGCAGCTCGCGTGGTTTCCCGATTCGGACAAAAAGACGCGCCAAACGCGATGTCACGTGGGTTGCATACATACGGACTTATTACAGTTCAGCGATGTCTGGTTATGTACTTGTACATATTCTGCTTTGAAATATATTGATAATAATGCTTAAAGAACTGCAGCAGAATAACAGTGAATATGATCTATCATCGATCTGCATTCTCCGCACCACACGGTTGACACATTCCTGCCTACCCCGGATTCTACCTTGTTACTGGGTTGGTTATTGGTGGGATTCTATTCAATGATTCTCTCGTCCCTGGGTGGCACACCATTCGTCGTATTAGCGTGGTTACAATTGTGCTATGCTGAGCTCCGGAGGGTATGAGGCTGTCCCACAGAATCGTCTGCATTATGTTAGATAACTTGCTTGCTTGTCCAACTCCTGGGAAATGGCCGTGGGCGTGCAACGTGTCAAGCGGGACGGAACGAAGGACTCAACTTGCTTTATGTTGAGAGTTAAAGAGGGGTGGCTTGACTATAACACTGGTAGCGGAGTATGGATAGCGACATCCGGAGATCGTTCTTGACAATCATGCCATATCATGCCACTACTTGTACTCATATAAAACAGTGCAAGTGCTTGCAGCCACAAAGTTCTCAGGCTATATATCCGGCTTGGAATACAGAGAGGTTTATTCCAAATTCCGTCCAACTGACCGGATCATCCGACCAGTGTGAGTGTGCGGCTGGAAGGTGAAGCTGTCACTCAATTCTAACCCCGCCAGATCGGCTGCTTGGCTTTATTCATCGTCTAAACCGTCGTTTCTTCTCCTCTTTTCCTTTTCTGCTCTCTTTCTCTTTTTTTCCAAAGGGCAAATGCCCGTCTCCTTTGCTCCGTGACTCCATCCCCGCCTCGCGTATCTAATCATCCTCGACCAGGGAAAGAGATGGGGGATGTCGTCATCGTCACCGACACCGCAGACAGACCATAATAAGAACGATAATGCCGGATTGAACAAACAACATCTGATCATTGCGTTGGGCGTTGGTTTAAGTGTGGTCACTTTGATCATCATGTGCTTACTGTACGCCCCTCTCACTCTCATACAAAGAGTACAAATGCTGATCTACGTGTATGTGGAGTCTCTCCATCTTCGTCAACAACCGCCACAGCAACTCCGACAACAGCGAACGTCGTCGCTTTCGCCCCTCCCGCTCCAAGAAACCCAAGAAATCACCAAGCGAACGACGCCTCCGCAAACTCGACGCCGAGTCACCTATATGCACCCTCGAGGAATGGTGGTCCCGAGCAAAGATCCCTCCTCTCCCGTCGGATGATGAATGCGATCAGTTTACATGGTGTGCCACCCCTCCACAACACCCAAGGTAAAAGGGAGGGAGGTTCTAATGATACAGTGCAATATGCCTCGACTCCGTCCTGCGAAGCCACGAAATCCGCGACCTGAAATGCTTACATGTGTTCCATCGCGAGTGTCTGGATAAATGGTATCTGCAGGACCAGTTCCATTGTCCGTTGTGTCATCGGGCGTATTTTAAGCAGCAGTTTCAGCCGACAAATGAGTTTGTGTGGATGGTATGATATTACTTGATTTGTTTTGGTGCAGATCTTTTGTTGATATGGGTTGGTTTTAGTGATCTATGTTTGTTGCGCTTGGGTTGGCTTGCTATCGATTGGCGTTGCTTGTTATCGATGCTTATGCTTGTGCTTGTCGTGGACGACTTATGATTTATGACCATGTTTCTTGATTTCTTGTTGATACCCTCGAACGATACCCCTCGTTACTCAATCTGCCATATATTTTGCATGAAGATCCTATTCTGAACAATACCGATTACCAGGAGAAACCAGTTAACGGAAATCAGATGCAAGCTAATTACTAGACACCATTACTTTCCAAACAGTCTCAGCCCCTGCCCCAGATATATCCACGAAACACCCGCACATCATACGGAGTCTTGTAAGCAACAAGATCAAATGGCACAACCTTCAGATCATCCTCCACTGTCATGTTGTCCTGGGTGGAGCACTCTTTACTCTGAATACAACACCAGCATGCACTGGTACAGTGTCCATAACTCCACTCCCGCTGTTTCCCGGGTTTTCTCACAACACCCATATTTGCGTCCACAGCACCCACCCCTCCCAGCACAATCCCGGCGCAGCCATTCAGGAAGGTACCAATTTGGCTTCTGTCTGCACGCTTTATATGCTCGTCCCACTGCTCCCAGGGGTGTATTTGCCTCCAGACGCCAGAGATGCTGTTTGTGTCGCCAGTAGTCATCATTCAGACACTGAAATTCGGCTTTGCGCAACAATCTGGTCTTCTTTTTTGCTCACCTCGTCATCCTTTCCTTCGGCCTCGCAGTCACCAAAATCAGGATCCCCATCCATGCCTAGCACCATTAATTCAATACATAGACTCTGAACCTTCCCTTTAATGAGAATCTCCCGCTGCACGATCCACCGTCCCTTGATATCCGCCTCGATGATATCCTGCGCCCAGCGAAGATTCTGCTCGATCTCTGCTGCTGATTGTCTTTTGAGAAGGAGGAGATGGATTTCTTGCGCGTATACGCCGTCGCTTGTATTGGCTAGTGCGCGTTCGAGATATTCCGAGTCGGAGGTTGTTAAGTAAGTGATGTTTTTGTTTTCATTGGGTCATCTTAAATCATCTTCGTCCTCTTCGTCTTTTTCGAACCATTCATCTCTGTCGTCTCCCTTATTAATTATTTCTAGAAACTCTTCAAAGATCTTCTCCTTGTCGTCGAGTGACGAGGTTTTGGAGTGGAGATATTTGATTAGGTCTTGGGGTTTGAGGCTTTGGTGGAGATGTGCGCACCATCCTTCTGCTGTGGGTTCGTCTGGGGTCATTGTGTTTGAAGTTAAATCTGGAGAAGAAGGCCGTATGGATATGGGAAAGGATGGAGAAGGAGAGAGATGTTGGATGGTTCTCGTTCGTTCTGGGCTGTGTGTTAAATAGGCAGCATCACGTTCTGTCTGGCTCCCGAAAATATTACACGACGACTCTAGGCAGTTATACTGAGGTTCGCTTGGGGAGTCATCTAGGCAACTTTTCTCCCTTTGAAACTTCTCTGCAGGTCTTCAGTTTCCTCTTTCAAAATGATTCAGCTGTTCATCAGTTCAGCCATCATGTTCCGAATCCTAATCCGAAAGCCAAAAACAGCAGAAGACTGGCACACCCATCTTCGTCGAGACCCTCGCCCCCAAAGAATGCTAAAATGTCTCCTTTCGGACATATCATTCAGCGATAAGCGCACGATCTTGTATGCATACCTCAAACCATGCGTCCAAAGAAAGCACAAAGAAGTGCAAAACCCAAAATATCTCGAATACATGGCAAACGCCAGAAAACAGTCGAAGCTTCTATGGCTCGAGTCTAAACTAGACGATGCTGGTCACCTTGAAATAGTCCAGTTTATCCGCTTCGCACTTTTTACGGAGGACGATAACGATAGCGACAAGGACTGGTGTTCACGTATCATCAGAGCGGATATAAAAGCGCGGTGGATTGTCCAGAGGGAGATCTATCTAAACGAGGAAATTCAGGCACTGCATAAGTCACTGTCTCTTCTCTCCATTAATACAGACGCTGCTATTTCTGCTGCTGCTGCCGAAGCGGAAATCCAGCTCAACGCCCATGAAAAAGAACTCCAATATCTAAATTATGTCTATTGGGCTCACAAACGACATATCTGGCTCCTTGAAGCGGGGGCTCCTGTCTCTGCAGCTGGACGAGCCTATGAAGCTCGCCGAAAACACATCCCAGATTGGTATCTCTCTGAATGGCTACGCCGCGACTGTGCGGGTCGTGGGGGATGCTGCGGACGGGGGTGTGGGTGCTGTGAGAGGGCGCGAAACACCAGGGACAGAGAATGGCATCATGGCCATTGTACTAGTGCTTGCGGGTGTTGTGTTCGCACTAGGGGGTGTGGTAGGGCCAAGGAGGTAGAGGTGGTTGGCTCGGAAGAGGATATGGATATGTTACCGGATGATTGTGGGGTTAGCGAGGATTGTCAAGGGTTGTATGTCAATAGGTTGATGGTTGCGTACATCTGGGGGTATGGAGGATTTGTATAGGCGGTTGATCTATTCTAATGGGTATAGTTCTGACACCATGACTATTCAATCCACCTTCTAATCCACCCTACCGTCCTTCTGCCTTGTAACCGAGGATCGCTCCAAGAACACGGTCAAATACAAGAAAAACGCTACACAACTCACCGTCTCTTACCAGAAAATCCGATTCCAGTCGCAGTTTCGGTGTGTCCCTCTAGGTCTTTCAGTGTCTACCGCGTTCAACACAGTCTAAGCGAAGCTGGGATTCTGTCTCCGCTCTTTTCTTGACTTTTTTTCTTCCCCTTCGCCCTTCTCATCCGTGATGAGCGGTAGAGATTTGCGGAGGGCCTGGGTCTTCTCTTCCAAATATATCTCGCTGACGAATCTAGCGCGCTTTGTCATTTCCTGCAATGGCATGATTCAACCAGTGCAAATCCTCCTTACCGCAGTTATCATAATAATCCTTATCCTTGTCCTTAACATCGCCACGCTCGTAACCCTTTAGTTTTGCCATACCAACACAGCAGCGGACGATTTGGGCAGGTTTCTCACCGGCAGTTTTCAGTTAAACCCGAGCCATACCAATGTGATGTCCATATCTCTCAAATAGACCGGCACTTTTGATTCTTTAGTTCTGGAATCCTTAGGGTCTTTTGTCTTCAACTCTGCCTGTGCAAAGATGAATGTTTGAAAGAGCTAGGCTTTGTCGGCGAAGTCTCTAGGTCCTTCGAGAGAGGTGTTTTAGTAGCTCCTGGGGATCGGGTTCTCGGTGGATACGGAATTTCCAGTCTTCTATGGTTGGTTTCGGCCATAGAGGTCGGAACGTGGTTGTGATAAAGGTAATAAGAATTGGCATAATATGGGATAGGAGATGGATGGGTGGTTTTAAAGGGCAAATATTTGCTGGAAGTTGATAGTAAGCTTGATGTCAGTAGAAACTAATGATTCAAGTAATCGAGAGAATACCATAATTCAAACTGATAGAAGATTACTTCCAAACCTTCACCCCAAAAGTCTCCCCCTCCGTAACTTTCCTCAACGGCGTCTCGGCTCCATCCGCAGTCATTGTCGCAATACTATTCCCAAACCATTCCACGCTAACCCCGGGGTAAACAAGACAAAAGAAGATCAGAAAACTCCCAATCGCCAACGCCGCATCAAGTCCTGCAGATAGGATGTAGTTATACTGCATCCACCACGCATAGAATCTGCGCTTGATGTACCCGTTGAACAGCAGACCCACGAGCCCCCATGCCATGTAGTTCGCGGCCGTTGCGGGGGGGATACTCGCTGTGGAAGCGAAGACGGCAGGGAGGTGAACCTGGTTCTTATCAGCACTATTCGGGCTGAAATGGTTGGTGATAGATGATAGGTGTGGGGTACCTTTCGCAGTCTGAGTTTCGGAAAGTATTTATCAGCGAAAAAGAATATTATGGGGAGTAATGCACCGATTAAGAAAAACCATAGCATAGGTCTATACATGGAGCCTTCTGAGAAGAGGCGTTTGGGGCCGATAAGACCCCAAAAGACGGCGTTTGTTGCGTAGCCTTGGGCTAGGGGGCAGGTGAACTTTACCAGTTAGTTTTGGAACTTGCGTAGGAGTGGAGGGAGACATACGTTGTTGCTTGCATTTGGGGTACAGATCCCTTCGATATTCCCCATAGCCCAGAGGTTCACCGCTGTTTGGGTTAACCACGATACCAGGATGCCGGTACACTGCGCAGCGAAGGTAACTCTCGGTGGAATTTTCTACACCAGTCAACTATCATTACCCTCGCAAGCCCGGTCAGAAAAAAAAGGGACGAACCATATAATGCCCAAGCTTCATATCCTGAATATACCCCAACCCCTGTGCCGACGAAACCAGTGTGAAAATCTTAAACACGACATTATTCATCATCTGCCCCGGCCATATATACCCGGCGATAAACGCCGATATCACCGCCGTCGACAACTGGATGTTGCAAATCGCCTTCATGATACCCGTGGGTACGAGGAGGATCACGTTGACTGCGATAGCGAGGATCAGGCCGTACCAGGGAAGACTTGTGTTGTAGAAGTAGAGGAAGGCGATGCTGATGCCGAAGATGGAAAGGAAGATTGTTAGGTACCACCACATGGGGACTTGTTTGTATTTTTGCATGTGCTGTTAGGGTTAGTATGGTAGTCATCGGATTGGTGTGGGGAAACGTGCCTTGGCGTGGATGTCTGGTTTCTGGGGGCTGGAAAGGAAACCTACTGTTGCGAGGAGGCCTTTCCAGACTGCTTGGCGGTGGTAGAGGATAGTGTGGATGATGATGGATGCCACAGCTGCAAATCCCAGTCCGTATGAAAGGGCCGAGGTTGTTGCTAGGTAGACCGGGGAATAATCATAATAAGCCGCTTCATTGAGAGAATAATCCGAGTTCATCACCCGAGTGGTATTGTATGGTTTTCCTACACGAGTTAGTCTGTATCTTTGGCTAGTGGTAGAATGGTTTTGGGATTCACCTGTATTGTCAAAATTCTCAGACGATGAAAACGGCATATACAGCCCTTGCCACACATTACTCCAATGCAGCGCAGGCGAAACGATCCATAGAAAAAAGACACTTCCACAAAACACATTCACCAACGCCCAAGACGGAACCAACAACGGTGATCCCAAATACCCCGTTATCTGATTCCAATCAAGAGTGAGTGGCAAAAGATCCATGCCAGATGTAGCCCCAAAAACTTGATTAACCGTCACATTTTTCGGCATGATCCAAGTTATCCACGCGAAAGTAGTGAGTCCTGTGAACAGGAACCCAGGGACGAATTGATACACTGCTCCGCAGACGACGATGATAGAGAAAAACCCCATCCGGCTTATTTTCCATCCGTTAATCTCTTGTTTCTGGGACCGCTTTTCGTGGAACGTATAGAGTAACGAGCATATCGGAAGCGTTGCTGGCCATACACAGAACGCAGGCTCCACCAAGAATCGATGGAAGAGTCCTGCGATGCCGAAACTCAGGGCCTGGGTGCTGAGAAGAAACATGAACCGGTAGCCTGCGGATATGGGAATGTGCAGAAACTTGTCAAAAGCGACGTAGACATCTGAGGCTAGGGAGCCGTTATCGAATGCCGTCACTAAGGATGCCATGATGGCCACGATCGAATGCTCCTTTTGGTTGAAAGGGCCTGGGTTGAGGGTAAACTCGAATCCGCATACGTTCCAGACCTTTGTCGGTAGCATAGCAGCCATTAGTCTCCCACATGGTAGAGTCGCAAAGATTGCAATGTATGCCGAGAGAAACACTATTTACGATATCAGCATATATCCGTCATGCATCGACCGTTGACTTACAAGGCGGATTATGAAGCTGGAAAAACTGGTTCAATGCAGTCAAAACAATAGTCCCAATGACTCCCAGGAACCACGCGCGAAAGGTGTTGACTGGTAGGTCCTCGTCCGTGTCGGAAACGCTCGCTTGGACATCTGGATAGGGACTATGGCTGTAACTGTCAGTAAAAGCAGCAAAGCATACCAGCACGGGGCGACACACAGATTATCTTCACCAATGCTTTCATCTCCAGCATCCGATCTACTTTCCCGAAGCTCTTTCGACTGTCCAGAGAGCCCATTACTCTCGTCCTCCAGGGATGGGGTGGGTGCCTGCATGACTGAAATGTCTGCCCTGTGCTTTTCTGCCATGGTAGCGAACAGTAGATATTCTTCTCCAGCTGTCAGCGCCAAAGTAGGACTAGAAAGTCACTGTATCAACTACTTGGTGCGGTGCTATGTTGCAGTGTAACTATTGACATCGGAGCCGTGACAGGTGATTCTATTTTAATGGGCACCACCTTACACAACAATTGGGAAAAGAGCATTTTCCAAACGAAACTACAAAGCTCGAGAGGAGAGGTAATTGAGTAAAATAATTCCGTTTGAAGGGGGGGGGGAGCAGAAGCAGGGATTCGAATTCGCCGGTTGCTTTGTCCTCTTTGTCCGTGAGTCGATGGAACATCATGACTAAAGTAAGGATCTACGATGGCTTCTTTCTCAGAATCCGGGAAAAGGCAGAAAGGGGGATTGCCACTACGCTGTATAATAATAAAAATAGCTGCATGCATACATACATTAGCGTGTGATCTACAGATATGATCAGTCACTCTTTTGGCGGAATGCAGATACGAGATGCGTACGGAGTACGAGTTGCAGGTCTCAAATACACTCTTCCGATGCTTGGGGAGCTATGAATAGGATGAATTCACTAGTATCTATCTATTGTGTTATGCAAATTGTAAAACAGTCCGTGTCTTCAGAATGGTTCCTCGAATAGCCATTTCGTATAGAGATCGAGAGCCACCTCGGGTTGATCCAATGGAACCTAGATCGAGTCAGCATAAAGTCCGTAGATAAAGCCAATGTCCCTAGATCAATAAGCTTACCATGTGTCCAGACCGATCGACCGTAACCAATGCAAATCGCCGTTCTGTGCTTCCAGTTCGCGTAAAAACTTCCTTGTAGCTTCCCACCTTTCTCATTCCCCCGTTGGTAACCGAGCACCACGGCTTCAGGTCTTGGGAAGCAAATTCAGCCTGACCATTCCAACGGAGAGAATTGGCCCAGCGAAGGTTTCCGGCTGTGTTGCATGCCAGGTCTAGATTTCCGTTGTAGATCAACACGTCGACACCGTTATCTAGAGTAAATTGTATTTCGTCCATAACGGGCGAGTAAAGATCATTGCCTGCTGCAAATGCGGATGCTACTCGCATCGATTCGATGGAGAAGTCACCGATCTCTTGTGGTACTTGTAGTGCTTGCCAGGTAGTCGGTTTGTTGATGTATCTCTGAATGTCAAGAGTCGCTGCATAACAGAGATGCTCTACCTCACAGGTCCGAGTAACTGGTTGAATTAGCCAGAAGTAGTAGCACCTTTACCGATAAGGCAAATTACTGTCAAAGGGGTCTCTTCCGCCCGCATGCGACTCATTATAAAAGAGCTCTTTAATGGTTCCACAAACCTGGTCGGTGGCTTTGCACAGGAATTTATCGGGATACCGATAACAGGCCTCGTATACATAGAGACAGCGCGGTAGAGTGTCGGCTATTATTTGGCATCGAGTATGGTTAAAGACGGGTTCGGCAACCCCGGGCTTTGTCGTGCAGAGAGTTTCGTAGTAGCCGTAGGTTGTATCGAGTGGTGAGACATAACCGTTTCCTATCAGTATCGAGCTCAAAGGGATGGCCGGGCTATCACTTTGTAGATTATTCTGTCGTATGATCTCCGCAGACAACGTTGGAATATAATGCCCCTATACTGGTCAGCTCATATCAAGATATCATGTTTTAGGAACATACTGCAAAGCTTTCTCCTGCGATATGAAAAGGAACACGTCGTCGCTCCGGGACGACTTCTGTCAAAAATATCTGGAGAAATATATACATGTCCTCAGCCGCTATCGTAGACGTTGTCGGAACTTTTACTCCAGGGTCCGTGTATGACAGCCCTGTTCCCACGGGTTGATCAACGAAGATCATGGAGGAATTCCGTGTCCACGAATAAGGATTCCTATGCGTCCCTTGACCACCAATGTCGATACGGCATGGTCCCAGTTCGAGTAGCATCCCTAGTCAATATTAGCTTTCTAGTCGTGTCATCGTGTTGCGCCACAACTTACCAACCGTGCTGCTTACCCCGGGGCCTCCTGTCAGCCACAACGTGAGAGGATCCGTTAAAGGATCGTTGAGACTGTTGAAATACCCTAAGTTATGCAGGTTAGCATTCCTTTTGGTTCTGTTGTCCTTCCTATCTGGGTATCCATTGCGAGCTCACAGAAAAACATGTGTTTTCCATGGAAATCCAACCATCCTGTATACTGCTTGGAGCCTGCATCGCAGAGACTATCATTTTGTTCTCTAATTCTGATAGAGTGCGAGGGATTTATAGGGCTTTTGAACGTTTCGAATCGATTATCGTCGTTGTTTGCCAGGTAAGACTGTGGCCCATTTACCAGGGTTGTCCGTCCAACGGCGATTAGACTGGCAAAAGCAATTGAATGCCAAACCTTCATCTTGCTCTGAAAACTTGGACAATATAATTCATCACAATGGGTCTCTGTGTATAGTAGTAGTATATGTTTTTATATGGTGTTGTGATAGATGGCTGACGCGCTTAACCTAAAGCGGTAACCCAGAACGAGCCCGGTCCCTGCAACGGCGGGTGCTTCTGTAGTTTCTTACTACTTCTTCATACAGCCCATTGCGTCGATCTCTTACGAGTTTGATGTGTCTGCTATTGGCTTCCGGACGAATGAAAGCTTAAGTGATATTCTCCGGCTTTCTTATTCGCGGTCGAAGTCGTGGCAGACGGAGCCCGCTGGAGACAAAGCACGCGCTCAGACTGCCCCTACACCTCCGTCCTCCGTTATTCCCCTGCCTAGAAGGGAAATTTTGAAAATACGTCTACGTACACTGCTGGCTTGGCGTGGGCTATATGAAGAAGTGGCAGGCAAAATATGGGACGGTGGTCTGTGAGAAGGCGATGTGTCAGTATCCGGACGGAGGATGCGGATCTTCTTTTCTTTTCTTGTTAAATCGGGATACTTTTGACGAAAAGGCGTGAGGTGAGATTACTATAAGACTGACCAGGAACCGCTGGCTGACGCTTCGTGTGAGAGACCAACTTTTCCCCCACGAACGCTGACCCCGTCCGTTTTGATTGGGAAAACCTGAGTTCACAACAATATGCCGTTCGACGTTGTGATCAGGCCAAACATGCTGGTCCTTGCAGGGCTATGCCTGCTGATTTGCGTTGCGGATGTCCATCTCCTTTGCTATCGAAAGCAGCCAGCCGGTCTGGCGTTAAATCTCCAACATGTGCTACTGGGGTTGCTGAACCTGTTGTGCTCGCTTGTTTGCGCATTCGGTACCCTGCTTTCTGGATGGAAAGACCCCCGAAATTGTTGGCCATCAGTTCTAGTTGGATTGCTTTGGGTAAGTCGCACTGAATCAAGTTTGCTTTGGAACCCTAGTTTCACTGACGGAAAATCATGGTAGGTCATGGTCTTTGTTCTTCGACTGTGCTACCTCGCGGTCCCAGCAAAACGCTGTCTTTATTATGTGCACGCTAATATCCTTGCACTTGTTCTCTTTTTGACGACGAACCTATCAGAGCAAGTGTATCCGTTGATATGGTTCGAAGCACAGCACTATGAGATTATTTCTGTTCGAAATTTCGTCCAGCTGGCAGCCGCTTTTGCAAGTGCCGTCGCTTTGCCTTTATTGACACCCTTTCATAAAACCCCTTCGGAGTATGGATCTCATTCAGAAAAGCCCTGTTCACCTATCCAGAGATGGTGGTTATATACCTGGGTTAGTCCTGTCGTCAACAAAGGATATGATAGTAATGGGGTTATGAGCCCAAACGACCTCCTACCTAACCGGAAAGGATTCTCGGGAGAGACCTGGCTGCAGAGTTACTTGGAGTATAATCAAATGCTCTCCTTTAGGGCAATCTTATGGCGACTCTTTCGATACCGATTGGCAGTGACAGCGTTCTGGGCGGTGCTGTGCGGCGCCTCCGAGCTCGTTGGAACTATCGGACTCTATCAGCTCTTACTCTCCCTCCAAAGATCACCCGGCACGAAGTTGCATCCGTGGTTTTCGGTCATCTTGTTCGGGGGCTGTCCAATACTGCGTGGTTTGTGCATGCAAACCTTCGAATACTATGCCACACACACTATAGGAGATGCAAAGACTTGCATTACCACCGCTGTATATCGAAAACTGATGCTGCAGCAAGCAGATGCCACTGTCGATGTCGGGCAGCTGCAAAGCAACATTTCAGCAGATATCGATAGGCTAGGTACTTTGAGATACACGATATTGACAGCATTTATGGCGCCCGTCGAAATTATTTTTTCCTCAACTATCCTCTACAGGATCGTGGGATGGTATTACATACCCAGCCTTGTTTTTCTCCTTGTGACGAGATATCCGCTCAGCAAGTTCATTGTAGTAGCTCAAACGAAAGCCCAATCAGGGGTTTTGCAAGGTACAGATGAGCGAATTACGAAGACAAGTGAGAGCATACGGGCGATGACAGCTATCAAAATACTTGGACATGCGCAGCCCTTTATCCAAAGGATTCTCGGGGCAAGAAATCGGGAATTGGATGCGATTTGGCGCAAGATGCAAGTTATTGTTGCTTCCGAAAGTGTCTCTTTAGCCCTTACTTTTCTTGCACTTCTCCTTTGTTTGTTATTGTACACCATCGTGGGTAAGATGCCGTTGGAGCCGGGTGTTGTCTTTACGGTGGTTGTTGTCTTCAACATCGTGAATAGCATGTTCAGTCTAAGCGTTCTTGGGGCAGGTCAATATGCTCAAGCCAACGTCAGTCTCAACCGCCTGAGCAAGTTCCTTGACCAGCCCGAAAAAGCAGCGTACCCCAGGGACGAGGCAACGAACACGGGTGAGACTGCTTCCCAGGATACATTAATCACCATTCAAAGTGGGTTTTGCAAATCACACACCCAGGCGGACCTAGAATTTGTTGCGCCCGGGTTGAATGTTGTCACCGGCGACGTAGGGCAAGTGATTATGAGCTACCACCCATTATCAACTGTCCTATTCACTAACTTTCACTCAGTTCCGGCAAATCTCTGTTACTTCAATCGCTGCTATTCGACCGACAAAGGCTCCAAAAGACACAATTTGAGCCAATCGCTTATACGCCCCAGAACCCTTGGCTGTTCAGAGGGTCTGTCCGAGATAATATCCTTTTCGGCACTCCATTCAATCAAGAACGATACGAGAATGTCCTCAGTTGCTGCGCGCTAGAGCTAGATCTTGCAACCTTCAAAGACCACGACATGAAAGATGTAGGAGAGGGTGGCCGCAGACTCTCCGGAGGTCAGCGTCAACGAGTTACCCTTGCTCGTGCGGTATACTCCAAGGCTGATATTGTACTATTGGACGATGTTCTGTCGGGATTGGACCCGAAGACCTTCGAGTGGATTGTCGACAATTGCATTTTGGGGCCGCAGATGAAGGATCGCAAAGTGGTTCTCGTCTCGAACAATGACAAGTTACTGGCAAGAGCCGATATGATCGTGTATATGAGAGACAGCACAGTTTGTCAAATTACACGCCCGATAAAGATTGAAGGTGCAGTCGTCGAGAATGAAAGCGCCGTTGGTTCGTCTCCGGTCTCTGTCGTTGACGTCTCGGAAAGCGACTGTCTTGAGGAGAACAATGAGCCACATGAGGACAATAACGAGAAAATAAACGACCTTGATAGCCTCCGAGGGCGCATTGGATACAAATACAGCAAGTGTCTTTATTTCCCCGATGGTTTCATCTGCTGACTCGCTTCCAGTAAGCAAGTACATCCGATCATTTGGATGTCGCACCTTTATCGCTACCATGGCCATCTTCACCATCTCAGCCCAGGCTATGGATATTGCTTTGCCTGCATGGCTCTCCATCTGGAGCCAGGCTTATACTGAAGGCAATAACTCTCACATCGGCTTCTTTGTTGGCATATTCACAGGTAAGTGCACCGACAGGACGCTATTCATGCGGGAGACCAAGACTAACTAGAGTCGCAGGCCTCGGGATTGCGCGTATACTGCTGCTAGCCGTCTCACTCATCCTTTTATATTCAGGTGCTTGGAGAGCAAGTCGCGACAAGCACATGGAAATGTTGGTTGTGGTGTTTGGCGCCACATACGCTTGGGTTTGGCGTACACCGGCTGGACAGGTCATTAACCGGTTTTCTTCCGATATGGCCAGCCTGGATGACACACTATTTAAGACCCTGCGACCAGTTCTCGAAACCTATCTTTCCATCGCGTTCCGCATTCTGACCGTGTCTTCCTTGGTTCCACTCTTCCTGCTACCATCTATTGCGCTGACAGGTCTTGCGCTCTACATTGGTTATCGCTATCGGTTTGCATCAACAGCGGTGAAGCACATGTACGCCGGCAGTCTGACACCTCTTCATCACAGTATCTCCGAAACTGCATCTGGTCTGTTGACCGTGCACGCGTACAGGGCGGAGAAGATTCTACAGGATAGGTTCAACACCGCCGTCGACCATCATGTCCGCGCTTGGAACGGAGTTAGTGACCTCCAGCGATGGTTAGCGGTGAGAATGGACCTTTGCGTCGGACTCATCTCTTTTTCTGTCGCGGTCCTAGCCGTTACGCAAAGACATGCGAATGCGTCAACGGTTGGCCTCAGCTTGACACTAACAACGGGGCTGTGTACATCACTTCTTTGTGAGTTATGATCCACCTTGCATTACGCCCAAAGATAGGGAAAAGACGCTAACATCGTTAGATCTTGTATATCTTTCAAGTCTCCTGGAGGTGGAGATGACGAGCTACTACAGGATTGAGAGCTATATCAAGGATCTCCCACAGGAGCTTGGTCCGTGTGATGGATCTAACGTGGCCGAGCCCGAGGAATGGCCAACGCAGGGGGTGGTCCACATTCAGAATCTGACAGCCGGTTATTCATGGGATGAAAATGAAGTGCTGAGGGACGTTAACTTTAGCGCGCTGGCTGGGGAACGGGTCGCTATTGTAGGCCGCACGGGAAGCGGGAAGAGTTCACTCGCGTTGAGTCTACTCCGACTAGCCACAAAGCGCCGCGGATCCATCACCATTGACGGTGTTGAGATAGAGTCACTTGAGGTGGAGAAATTGCGACAACGCATAAGCCTCATCCCACAAGACCCAACTCTGTTTGACGGGACCATTCGTTTCAACCTAGACCCGAGCAGCCGACTGCCCGATGGGCACTTACAGACTATCCTGGATGACGTGGCGGGCGCACCGAGCAAATGGAGACTAGATGACCTGGTCGAAGGAAACGGGGAGAACTTCTCCCACGGCGAACGACAGCTTATCGCCCTTGCTCGGGCGATCGTGAACCAAAGTCGGATCGTCATCCTAGACGAAGGGACAGCTAGTCTTGACAAAGACAGCGAAGCACGCATTCATTCGGTCCTGCGAGAACGATTCCGCGACTGCACCGTCATCGCCATTACACATCAGTTACACAACATTGTCGACTTTGACCGGGTTCTTGTCTTGGACCGAGGCCGAGTAGCCGAGCAAGGAAATCCACGAGATCTATTGAGTACAGCAGGGAGGGGGTGGTTCCAGTCGCTGTATATGCAGCAACATGGTCCTCATCCGCATACTGACTGATTATGATGACTGATGTTATATTGCCGAGAACGGCGTACGGAGTATTTGGAATGAGGTTTTGGAATTTTTTCTCTAAAGTTAAACCGAGAAGAAAAGAAAAGAAAAAAAAATGTTTCTATTTCGCCTGACATGACCACTTCCAATAAGCGAAGCCGGTTGAGATCTGGATCTACGAAGTACATATTTCTTTTTTCTCTTAATACGGGGGCCTTCGGCTCTTCTAAGCGAGATCAAATGCCAGACATAATCCCTTGAACAACAAACCTTTCCGTGCGACATTCTCGATGGTGATAAGTATCGGTGTACAGACTACTATGTAACTGTATGTTCCTCGGCGCTGCGCAAACAAAGAAAGACAAAGAAAAAACGACCTCGCATTTTTTAGTACGTGTCACATGTGCCCATCATTTGCACCCCCTATTTTTTCGTTTGTTTTACCTTCCGCCGATTCCTTCTGCCTTCTTCCTCTTTCTACACATATTTTTCTCTTACACGGTTTTATCCCCAGGTTCTTCTACTTCCGTGCATCCGGTTTGTTAGGGCTTGCAGGGGGAAGATCTGTAGTTGGCCGATCCCTTGCGCCTCAGCTGGAGATCGGGATTTCCGAAGTTATCCCGTGATGAATGGCAGGAGCAATGGGAATGCATAGCTCAATGTCGACAGGACGCTTAATGCCGAGCCTGATGTTGTCTCACTGCGACGATTGTTGTTATCGCTGTTAGGCTGAAGTTGCTTCTTTCACCCCTCTTATTGTTTTTTCCCGGGGGGACTTTATATGAACTACATACTTTTACTTCTACTACAACTACCGAGCGATCTACTTCTATCACTGCCACTACTACTGCTACTACTACTGCTACTACTACTACTACTGCTGCTACTATTACTGCTATTACTGCTACTACCATGTCTCAGCCGATTGCTCCGGTCGACGCCATGGCCAACAAGCCGCCGAGAAAGCGGAATGTGATTACAAGAGGGAGGACGGGGTGCTTGACTTGTCGGAAGAGGAGGCTGAAGTGCGATGAGAACAAGCCCGGGTGCAATAATGTAATATCGCTGCGCAAGATATATATAACCGGAAGCTAACATGATTATTCGCTCTATAGTGCAGGCGTATCAAGGCAGTGTGTGAAGGCTACAACCAGAAGATCACCTTCAAAGACCAGACGAACTTGACGGTCGAGAAAGCCAAGAAGGCTGCTAGGAAGAAGGCCCGGGCGTCGGATGCCGCTAATGAAGATACTAACAGCGACGATACATTGTCGTTCAGTGCTGAGGAAGTGTCTTCTACAACCACAGTCACGCAACAAGCGTCGTTTCCGTCAGCTCAGTTTGTGAATTGTTCGGTTGGTCTCACGTCGCCCGAGACCGTACGAAACGACAGCTTCGATTCACAGGATGGTCTCGTGCTCCAGGGCGCTCTTCTCGAAACTCCGCCTATGTCGACAGATGATTTCTTATCGTCGCCTGTTATGACCTCTTTGAATACCGGTTACCTGACACCGACTTCGCCAGCGTCGATCGACTTCCTCCCTTCTCCCACTCAGGGTGTCCCCAACGCGACACTCAGTCTCGTCGGAGCGTTTGAGTTTCCAGAGGATTACACCTACTTTCAATATTCTGCTGGTGGCAGTTTTGCTAGCATCTCCAAGGTTCTACCCCTAGCAGAACTATTCCAATCAGAGCCCATGTCGTCCCATGTGTATGATGCAGCGATTGCTCTGGCCGCACTTACCCTATCCAACTCCAAGTCAGAGCCCGCCAACGCCAGATCTATACGCCGGCACGCATTCCATCACAGCCTAAAGGCTATACAGAGCTTGCAGAATGATATATCACAAACTGGGAAGCTGAGGGCATCGACGTCGTCAAACTCTCTCCATGTCGATACAACGCTCTCACTCTTTGCCACAATCATGTTAGCGGCCAATTTCGAACTCCAGCGGAACTCCGTTTTGCACTGGCACTCGCATATGCGAGGGGCCGCGTTATGTCTCAACGTTGCATATCCGGAGCTGATGAAGAAAAATACCGGGATGTTGCTGATCCGTGCGTTTTCACGGATGGCTCTCCTGCTCCGTTTGTATAACGAGGAGTACTCCGTGACGACATCAAGGTTCATGCCAGAGCATCTGTCAACTTGGCTGAACGAACTCCTCCGCGACTCGTCCAGCTTACATGACCGAATCCTCCTCTTCGTCGAAGAAGTCACAGCCCTCGAGATCAAAAAACGCGAACACCCATCCCTCAAAACCGCCATGGCTGAAAGCGAAGACCTCCTCCGCCGCCTCAGAAAATGGCGAAATGACCTCCCACCCTCCGACATTCCCGTCGACGACCACACCGGCGCCTCCTTAACCATCTCCACCACCGCCAACCCATCCACCCTAATCCGCATCCCGGCCCTGCACTTCCCCAACTCCTCAGATCCCTGCATCGCTGCCGTAAACTACGCCTCCTACCTCTGCACCCGCATGCGCGCACTGACCCGCTACGCGCAAAACCACAACTGCCCCAACACCCTAGACCGCATCCTCCCACCGGAAACCGAACAAACAGCGCTCACAATCTGTCGCATCGCAGCATCCAACCCGCCCTCCCACTTTGGCGACTCCTTCACTTACTCCTATGGCATGCTCCCCTCCGTCGTCGGCGCGTACCGCTGGTCCAGTAACCCCAGTCTCCGCGCGTGGGCTAAACACTGGCTCATGGGCTACCGGATGACAAAGGAGGGTATCTGGAATATTGGATATACGCTGAAGTTGATTAAGAAGATGGACAGTGAAGCACAGGGGGATAGGCAGGCGTTTGTGGCAATCCGGGTAATTGATGAGCCTGTTGATGCGTCGCCGGAGGCGGAGGAGGGGGGTGGGGAGGGGCCGTTTAAGGCTGTGTTGAGTACGAGGGGGGTGGAGGGGCCGAGGTCGGATATTATTATGGTTAGTTGATTGATATTGGTTTGACTGGGTTGGTGTCTTCTCTGGGCTTTATGAGTTTATGATATCACTTTGTTACTTCAGTTTTTTATCAACTTTCTATACAGAACTCGTCAAGGCCAAATAAGTGACATTCCATTGGAAGGGTCGAATGATTGAGTCTATCAAATATCAGTATCCCGTCGTAGCAGACGTAAGTTAAAGAACTACTGAAGAAAAAGCACAACTCGGCGTCTACGAAGCAGAGCTCCGCCATTTAGACACACAATACACACAGAACACAAGCGTTACATGCGGCTCCTAGAAGGCGGAAAGCCATTATCCGCTCTTGGACGGCCATTCGAGACATGCCAGAGGGATCCAAACTTGTATATATCCAGGTCGCTTGTGTCGGGACTGTGCTGGGCGTGGTATTGCGGAAGGGGCTGTGGGTGCTGTGAGTAGCCGAGGGAAACGGTGCGCTGGGAATGGAGGAGGGGACATTGTATTAGTGCTTGTGGGTATTGTGTGCATGCTCATGGGACTGTCAGGGGCGAGGGGAGAGTAAAGGGGAAGGTAAAACTGGATGATGATCTGGAGATGCCGGCTAGTATTACTTGTTCATGTAAAACGATGTATAATATGCGAATACATTTTGCGTATATACTGGGGTTCGACTTTCTTGATGAAAGATGATTAGAAATGTGCGAGGACACTTCTAGGGACAGAGGAATCAGCTAGGCTTAAACCTACAGATATATAGGGTAGATCCCTACATTCGCCCTTAGATCTGACTGAAGTAAGATTAGTTTATGGTTGGGTAATCGGCCTCTCTACATTTTAAAGTAACCCAAACTAGGCTTAAAAGTGACATCCTACAATGCTAAGCCATCTTCTAGCAAACGCAACGCCAGTCCCAACTATCGCTACAGTACTTCGAACTAGTCGTGCAACCCAAACCCCCATATATATTCAAACCATACTCGGAACGAATAAAGTTCCTTGCACTCGCTAGTGCCATCCGGTATTTTCATATCCTCGTCCAGCTTCACCTTTCTAATACAGCCTTTAGTACGAATGCAACACCCACATGCACTAGTACAATGACCCCGGTTCCATTCGCGCAGTACATCTCGGGCCTTTTCACGGCAGCCACAATCTCGCCCACGGCAGCCACCACGTCCAGCACAGCCCTGGCGAAGTCATTCAGAAAGATACCAGTCTGGATTGCTCTGGTGTGCATCAAAGGCTCTTTGAAGAGCCAGGTGTGTTGCTTATGGATCCAATACTCGCCTCTCAGGTGTGTAAGTTCCTATTCGTACTTGTCGAGTTGTGATTTGCATTCTTTCCTGCTTTCTCCTCTTCATCGGCGAGGGCTAATGACTTGCGTAGTGTTTGGATCTCCTCTTTAACACGTATCTCTCCTTGGACGATCCAGCGGGCTTTGATGTCTGCTCTGATGACTAGATGAGTCCATTTTAACCCTTCGTCATTATCATCGTAATCGTCATCGTCCTTCTCTCCATTGTGATCATTTCCCTTTTTCTCTTTCTATTCCTTCTCTTCCTTGTCTTCCATCACATATGCAAAGGTACAAAAGCGTAGAGCTGGACAACCTCGGCATATCTGCAGTCCTGCAGTTTGGATTCGAGACACAGCAGGTTGTAGCTTATTGATGCCTTTTCCCTCTCTTCCTTCTTCTCTTCCGTCTGCTTTGACTTGTTCGAATCTGTCTTTTCTGAGCACTTCCTTTGGAAAGATGCCTTTAAAAACATATCAAGAACTATGGACTTATTATGGAGCAAATTGTCTGAAAGGAGTCATTTTATCATTTTCTCTAGGTTAGGATCCCGGCGAAGATGGTCACATCAGTCTTCCACTGTTGGTTTTTCCGAATAAGAACCGAAACATGGCGATAGCTGACATTGTCGGCAGAGAAGAGGCAGTTGGTTAAGACACTCAATGGGGTTGGAGAGTATAAGAGAGTGGGGACAGAATTCATTTTAAAAGTTAGTGCTAGAGTACGCAGGCATGATGTAGGGTACATCAAGGCATCAACAGGTCACGATTATTACAAATTTGAGTATCTCACTCCTATCCTTTATATCTTCAACTACAATTCAACTTTTTACTCTAGAAAATGTAGGCATATAGCCATTCGTACTCAAACGGAATGCCTACTCTCTTCTTACAGCTACGCAGAACGTTCTCGATAGATTCTTTCTTCATGCGGTGTCTATATTCTAGTTCTCTATATCAAACTATCATCTTCCCTTTCTGTCTTCTATCTATAGTTTAGACTCTGGCATCGTACTTTCGTACATTCCACCTCGTCTTTCCTTTAGGAACCATCCCTACTGTTCTGCAGCCGTGCATATATATTTAAAAAACACCCATCCACGCAGACCACACCCGTATCTCATACTTCTACAATCTGACAAATCACATAGCCCAAGAGTAACTAATATCTCTCAAGAGCTCTGCACTGCTTTGCATATATTGGATAAGTTACGAGCTACCTTGGTATTTGTAGCCTATAAGTTTATCTATTCTTCAGGACATTAATCCTGCGCTTGCGCATATCTGCAAACTATCGTACAATGCACGCTTGGCTTACCAGAAAAGCAATGTGCTTATTCGGTGTGGTGATATGCCTATAAACTTCGACTTGTGAGCAGTCGAGGATACTGAGCAAACTAAAGTCTCGCAAGGACAATTCTTGAATGAAACCGACTATCGACTACTCGAGAAAAAGATACACCGTCTATACGAGGGTTATAATGCAGAAAACGCTGTTTATCGATTCTAGCATTATTCGAAATTTTACAGGCGTAGATGCTTTAGACATTGCGCGTAACTCGGAGACAAGGCACGAAGTAATATCGTCAATCTGTTAAAATCCGCGAAACTAACTCAAACATCAAAGACCCCAAACACCAAATGACCACTGGACGCCCATGACAACAAAAACAAATCGACAAGAAGAGGTAACGTCATGATGCAAAAGTATGGGTATGCAATAAGATCCATTGCCCAACGCCCGCAAACGCGGAAAAGTGGAACATGGAGATGAAAAAAGTAAAGGTGAAAAATTAATACGAGAAGGAAAAAGTCGTAAATGTGTCTTCGATATAACCGAGACCACGTCAACTTTTGTTGATTCACTTCACCCTAACAGGACTCCCAGCGCTCCCGATGCGCCCACTGGGCTTGCGGACCCCTCGGGATTCGCTCTTGCTGTCTGTTACCCGGCGAGGGCTTGAGCGGACTTTGCTCACGGATATAGGGGCACTAGTGGTCTTGGTGCCACCTGGGGTCTTGGGAGTCTTGGGGGTTTTGGGTGCCGCGTACGTTGTCTCACCCCAATTCTCCTGATCCTCATGGATATCATCGGCCAGGGTGACGGTAGCTGAGTAGCTGACAGAACGGTGGCTTGGAGATGCCACGGGGGACTTGGAAGAACGCTTGGCAAGCCGGCGGAGTTGGATCTCCTCTTCACTTTCGCTGCTGTCGCGCTGGCTCCGGTGACTGGAGTGCTCCCCAGTCCTGCGTGCGTCCTTTTCCATCACAATACCGCCAGATGCGGTGCGGGCGTATGGGTGATGCCGTGAATCCTTGCGGTGAGACTTTCGTGGTTGCCCGGGGGTTGGTGCGGGAAGGTTCTCTTCGGCCTGGTGGGATCCCACTTCGTTGTGATCAATTTCTCCCAAAGCTGCACGCTTCGAGGGTGGCGTCGCAACCGTAACGGGGGTATGCTGAACCCGTTGCTTGGTGGTCGGTCTGCCTGGTGTGACGGGCGTGGCTACCTGAGCCAGCTTCTCCTTCATCGAATCCTCGTACCACCACTCGCGGAATGCATTCTGGTTCAGGTGCAGCCAGTGTTGTTGCGGCCCAACCACCATACCAGGACGCATGAACCGCATGAAGGCAATAATCTCAGTGGCGGTGAAGCCATACCTGTAGATCAGGTATGCACCAATGAGACATCCGGTGCGACCAAGTCCAGCCTTGCAATGGACAGCGATGCCCTTCTTCTTAGCAATCATCTCATGTGCCATTTTAATGAACTTCCGAACCAACGGTAATGGGGGACATGTTCCATCTTCAAAGATCATGTCAATGTGGGTGATCCCGAGAGCTGTAAAGTACGAGGGAGAGTAGAGTTCGGAGTTCAGTCGCACAACCAAGCCCACGTCCCGCGAGGCAAAGTGGGCGAGGACATTCTTGAAAGAAAGAGGCAGTTTGGAAGCAAGAACTTCGGAGGCCGTGGAAGGCAAAGCCGCATATTCCTTCGAGTTTGGAGGAATGGGGGTAATTGGATGGTGTTGTGGAGAGGCAAATGCGACGAAGTGCGGTGTAACCCAGTTGAAGTCACCCATGTCGACTCGTTCGAACTTCTCGTATCTGAATTGATAATTGTCAGAATCTCCGTTGTCAGGCTAGGGGACACGATACATACTCTTCGAGATTAAACTCACGTAACCCACACAGAGAGCTCTCCTTGGCCTTCCAGACACCATAGACGACATCCTGGATGGTCAGGATGAAATCCGCTTGGCTGTATCCAGCATCACGGAAAGGCATGTACGGGGGGTCCGCCTGTGCGATGGGCGCCAAAGCCAGATGCGGGGGCCACGATTGGATCAGAACCATGTAGCAAGCAACCAGACATGCGGCATTTGCACGGCTTTTCGCGTCGGTTTTGCTGTAGAACACAACCGCCCGGTCACTGTTTGCGGGGTCCCCAAGAATCTCATGGAAGTGAACCGCAAAGCGATAGAGGTGACCAATGTGATAAGGACCAAAATCCGCGTGGAAAGCATTGTAGAACAGGGTATCCTCCACTGTGAAATAAACGGGGCTGCGTCTCTTGCTGCTGGGAGTGCTGGGATGAGCTCGACGCTTGCTGGGAGACTTGGTTTGTTCCAACGGGAAGGGGAAGGGAGTTCTCGAATCTGGCGGTGAATCGTAGGAGGCAAGATAGAGACGATCTATGATGGTTGACTTCTCATCAGCTCAATTCAAAACAAAAACACCTGGTTGCCATCGCTCCGGTTACGGACGGGCAATCAAAACAATAGCACACGAACCTTGAATATATTCAATGATCTGGCCGCAGCCAGTACTGTTTCCAGCCATGATGGTTGGAAATATCGCTTATGATATTGTAAATAAAACAGAAGGGTTGAAGAATAAACAGCCGGACCGACAACGAAGGCGCTCGAAAGAATAAGATTGCAGAAGACAACAACTAAATCGTATACCCGTTTCCAAAACTAAACAGTCATGATCTGTTGCTAATATCCCAAAAACAAAAGAATTGATTTGTTCTTGCTTTGTTATCACAGCTATCGAAAATCGACGCCGCGGAGGGTTAGCAACGGGGGTATGACTGTTTGGGAAGAAGGAGGTATAAAGATACACGAGACCAAGGCGACAATGGTCAAGGAGAGAAGGGAGGATAGAAAGGATGAGCGGCAGAAACTCTGGAGAGTGAGAAGGAAAGAAGAGAGAAAAAGGTGAAGTGGTGTTGTTGTTGTTGTCTGGCGGTTGAGGTGTTGGTGATGACCGATTGGGCAACTGCGATGCACGCCTGGCGCTGTTATGTTGTGATCCGCCCAGTGCGGACTAGCGCGGAGAGTTGGCACGACAACCGCCGACCGTCTGGCAACCAAGTCACGTGGAAAAACAACGGTCTAGCAGTAACACGTGATATTCCAGGTGCAGACATTGTGCCACAGTCAAGCCACACTGTGGCTAGCATAATTACCATTTCTGGAGTACACCAACACTCCAGAACATTGGCCCGAGTACAGAGTACAGGGTACACTTGCTCTCTGTAAAGACAAGCTTTGTCAATTCTAGAGCCGGCAAGGTCTATAGCACTCTACAGATAATTCATCAAGTCAGTCTCGCGTGAGGTAAAGTATTCATCATAAGCATAGATTCAGGCGAGGGCATGCTGAGGCAATGTACTCCGTACCCCGTGCACTGGTTGAAGGAGGAGTTCCAGGGCAATGGATACAGATCTAATAGACTGGCAAGGGGTCAGGGTTCTTCAAGATCGATGATCAAGATCAAGTCAAATTACCGAATATTCAGGGGTTGCATAAGAACACCTGATCGAGTCCTGGAAGGCTGCACAGCTGCACAGAGCCCGATGGTTCTCCGTTAACAATGCGTATTTGCAAGAGAAACTCGCACACCGTATCGTACGGCATTCTCTGTGCTATGGATAGTTTCTAGGGTGGTGTTGGCCAATGACATGTAGAAGTATTGTGATAGTCAGGAACAGACCGACGGAGAAACCGGAAGCAGCATGCTCTGCGGGCTCTTATTGAGGGATGGGATAGGGACAAAGAGATTTGGAAGTTAATCCTCGACAGCGAAGCTACACGGAAGTTGGCAGCTGCAGAAGATCTACTCATCCGAACCAGAAAGAGATGGGACTCCGAACTATGTACAGAGTACTGAGAGTTCTAAATCCCTGCACGGAGGAATCCTACAGAACTCAATCATCAAGGACGGGAGAACAAAGCAAACGGCGCCTTGTATTACTCAAAGTTTCTGAGTGGTGTTCTCCTGCCGGATTCCAGCGATCTCAATAATGCACCGGCTGGGAGATATTTCCACTGATGGAGACGTTTGTTTTGTTCTCGGAGCAGCCGGATTCGGAATCCTCCTGACCATCTGTGCTCTCCTGCGTGACCGAATGTTCTGAGAAATGACGAGTGCGTCTGGGCAAGAACTCGTCCTCAGCGTAGCCGGGGGGGGGGAGATTCGGTCGCCCACTCGGGAAAGCGCATGCCTCGTTCGATCCAGTTTCCAGCGAGACAAGGTGGTCCGAGTAATTGTTCATTTCGTTTTCTAAAGCCGCTAGTTTCCATCGGGGAGGGAGAGGGTCATAGCAGATAAATAGTATTCGGAAGATGGTCAGCGAAGAACAATAGCGTAGTCTCAAAATTATGTTCCTGACTCTCCATTCCGCAGGTTCATTTTACTCCGTGGTTGATCTGGAAAGTTTATTTTGCCATTTTCCATGGACACGAGCCATTTAGAATGTTGCGTGATTTTGATAGAGGTGAAAGAGTTGGAGCTGTGATGAGGATAGGCAGTGGCACTCGACGGTGGAGTGAGATCGACAGGGATGAGTACAGTATGGTAATGTGGTCATAGTAGTACAGCGTGCATGACATTTCACAGCATTCTTTCACAACATGCACAAGTAGTGAACATGCAATCGGACATATTATGAGAAATCTCCTGGAATGTCTCGAGAATATCAAATCCTCGTGTACTAAGTAGTACTATGTAGAGATGATAACAGAATTCGGCACATGTAACAATACCGTTTGCCGCTCAAACAGGAAATGTGTGGAGCGGCAAACGGTTTTTGCCTTCGACTAGTTCAGCTTTGTTACTTTTCATTGGGCCAGATACAGTGCCTGATTGGTCATTTACCGCAGCTTTTCGCATCTGACTGGCTGTTGGACCCCAAAACCGGGGATGTCTATAACCAATGATATCTTTCGGCACACAACGGGTGGATTCACAATTGCCGAATGTGCGAGGAATCAACGTCATCTATCCACTGTCTGTCCCCTAACGGAAGTATACCAGGCTCATCTCCTAATCGGGTAGAGCTACTCACCAATTGGAATAACCCCTAGACCGCGGTAAAGCTTACCTGGTATAAACTTGAACCGTGTAATGACCCCACTGAAGGCGCCATGTGCGCTAATTCCTGTCTGTTGACGATCCACATTGTTGTGCTAGCTAGTCGTTGAATTCGCCCGTGTCGTAGGCAATTAGGGCAGATTTGTCTCCTATTCCCATTGTCAATTTCCTTTCTTCCCCCCTGATCTGCGCTGTCCGTCCAAGGAAAGAGGAACGGGGGATCCCGCCGATAAGGAGAGCCATGGAGGACCCGTGTTCACAATCTATATAAGCTGGGCTCATTCAGCATTTCCTTACGTTCTTTTCTTTCCTCTTCACACCAGTCAAAGGCCAGTCTTTCATTCCAGTCGTTCTTTCTCAACCCACCTGCTTTACGCAGTCATTCATTCATTTTCACAAACCCAACTTTACAACAGTCACTCATTCTTTCTTTCCAACCCCAAATAAACCAAATTCGTCAAAATGAAGTTCACTGGAATCGCCGCTATGCTCGCCGTCGTCACCGCTGTGACCGGTGCTGCCATCCCCAACGTCAACGGTGCTCTCGCCGAGGTTCACCAGGTCACTGGTGACGTCCAGGGTCTCCTCTCCAAGGCGCTCGGCACCAAGGACGAGGCTCAGGTCAACAAGCTCGTCTCTCGTATGTTCCACTGATCTACGATTTCTTCTCTATGCAGAACATAAGGCTAATTAAGGGTATTACAGAGCTTCAGAACGTTGAGAAGCTGCTCAAGCAGCTCTCCGGTGGTGAGGAGAAGCGTCAGCTCGCCGACATTGGTGTCGGCGCCAACGTCAACGTTCTCAAGCGTGACGGCATCCTCGGCGACCTCACCAACAGTCTTCCTCTTGATAACATCAAGCGTGACGACGCCATCTCCGGCCTCGCCGAGCAGATCACTCCCCAGGTCACCCAGGTCATTCAAGGCCTCAATGTCCAGCAGGTCACCGGTCTTCTGAACATCCTCAACGTCAACGGCCTCCTCACCAACGTCGAGTCCGTCCTTGACAACCTCCTCGGTGGTGGTCTCCTCAAGGGCCTCACTGGTGGTCTCCTCGGCGGCATCCTCAAGCGTGACGACGCCATCTCCAGCCTCGCTACCCAGCTCCTTCCCAAGCTCACCAAGGGCGGTATCCTCCCTGAGGACTTGAACGTCGAGCAGCTCACTGGTCTCCTGAACGTCCTCAACGTCAACAACCTCCTGACTGGCGTCGAAGGTCTCGTCCAGGGCCTGCTCGGAGGCCTCCCCCTCAAGGGTCTCACCGGCAACCTCCTGTAAATAAGAAGATCTACGCATGTGAAAAGGATTGTTTAAGGTCTTTTGTTGAGCAGGACATACTTACCTTCTAATATTATACCACTTTTTTTGCTTAGAATTTTCTCAATATGTTTGTCTCACGGGCCCTGGATATAATTCTTAAAGATTTTTCTTTTCGAGCAACGCGTCATGTCAAGGTTACCTCGTTTTGTTGGCTGCTGGACACTGCTAAAGGCCATGCCTATGTGGGAGTATTAAGCGAATATCCTCTTTTTGTTTCTATATAATCTTCATATGAACTTTGGTTTGTTTATTCTTCAATGATCTGCGAATGATTATTTGTATACAGTACTTTTTTAATTGATCGCATTCTACTCATTGGTTGGCAGTAGATTGGTTGGTTTTGTCCATTGTAAATATATATAATAGTAGTCGTACATTTCGAGATAGACCATGCAAGAAACGCATTAGATATTCCCCAGATGATCCATTGCTTACAATTCTGTACTCCGTATAAGATCTCGATCTTTCGTTCCCTGTCCATCCATGTCCCGAAAAAACCCCTGGTCTTAGCAGGTGTGCTGAGGCTACTATGGACCGTACAGCAACAAAACATTAAATTTATATTATTTTGATTCAATCGGCCAACTGGTTCTTGAACATTTTATCAGGATTATAACCCAATAACATAGATTAATGACTGTGATGGGGCCGGTGGGGGTCATGATCTCTTTCGCGGGGGATTGCTCGTTTTGGGGTGCTGTTGACGGCGGAATTGTTGACGATCTCGATCAAGAACTGAGACAGTGCTCGTATTGCCATATCATTTATATCATTCGCGTTAGGCCACGGGATATAAAAACTGAGCTATAGCTATCCGCTGCATCCTGCTCCGTACCTCAACTGAGCCGCCTCGGTTACTACCACTAACCACCGCAAACGGACCCAACCCCTCCAACACTTCCACCTCGACCCCCCCCCAAACAAACAGCACTGCGACAACACATTATCAATTCTCTATTCCTTCTATACAACACAATCACAAAAAGAACACAATGGCAGCCAAAGCGACCGGATTCCCCTACACACTGTCCGTCCCTCCTCCATCACCCCACCCCGCAAACCAACTTTTTCGCAGACAACAAACACACTCCAAACCAGAGAGCAAACTAACAAAAACAGAACAATAACCCTCCCTCTTCCCTCCATCCACCTCGCCTCCTCCGCCCTCCGCACCCTTGAAGTCGACACCGAACTATCGCCCTTTGTCCAGCGGGACTTCGAACTCGTCGCTCCGTCCGCATCTTCGGAAACCGAAACACAGAAGATGGAAATTGAGGAGGGAGAGAAATCGGTGCTGAAGACTACGTATCGTGCGACGACGAATCGAATGCTACGCGTTGCGGTTAATGGATTTATGGAGAGTTTGGGGGTTGTGCTTGGAGTTATGCAGGAGTTGGATGTGGATGTTTTGGAGATGGATCAGAGTCACGAGGAGTGAACTGCAGTCACCAGTGTTGTTATTCTGTGATATGAGGGAGAGAAAGATACAAGGGATATTGGATATTGGTATGTGTTATGCTGGGTGAGACGGGATTCGTCGCAGCCATGACTCCCTCCGATCGCGGTCGCTATATCACGGGCAATACCTTGCTACGGGGTATGTTCCGAAGGAAACTGCGTCCCGAGATTATAGCAACGAAATTATTGCGCCGGGAATAACCCAAGTTCAGATGGTGGAGGACAAGGGTGTGATACAGTCGCGGCGTTGGATATATATTTTACTGTTGACGTGCGCCCGGGCCAACAAGCAGACAAAAGGATTTTAACTGCTAGCATAAACCGGTGACTATATGCAAGACACTACTACTATTCGAGGTTACTCTGTACTCTGTACACTACTAGGGACAAATTATGGCATGACATCGAAATCAATGTGCTCTCTACCTCTACGGAACACGGATCTATACACTTCCGTACTGGATGTATCTGTACCGCATATTGCTATTTGGAATTCCAACACTGTCCCCCTGTAAATCTGGAAAGTCGAATTTGTAATTCCCTTTCATATGGGGGCATAATCTGCATTACTCGGCATATGACACGGGCAATGACATCAGCGCCGTTAACGGGCTCAACGATCTCATAACGGTCCAACCTCGGCTTCCCCTATAAAATGCATCTTCCATCGAACATCGTTTGCTGTGGTTTCTTCTCATCAACTGTCAAACATATTGCTGTTCCAAAGATACAGTGTCCATTATCATCATTTACAACCACTCGTCAACGCGCGCAAATCAAACCGCTAAGCACCAGAACCATGTCGTCCGCGACTACATTTTACGACTTTGAACCGGTCGACAGTACGTCCCCCCTCTACCCTCTACCCCTCTACCAAAACAAAACTAATACTGCTCAAAAACAGAAACCGGAAAGCCCTTCCCCCTCTCTAGCCTAAAAGGCAAAGTGGTTCTTGTCGTCAACACAGCCTCCAAATGCGGCTTCACCCCGCAATTCGCCTCCCTCGAAACCCTCTACAAATCCCTGACCGAAAAATATCCCGACACATTCACAATCCTCGGATTCCCCTGCAACCAATTCGGCTCCCAAGACCCCGGCTCCAACGATGACATCCAGTCCTTCTGCCTGACGAACTACGGTGTTAGTTTCCCCGTGCTGGGCAAGTTGGATGTGAATGGGGAGCAGGCGGCGCCTGTGTATAACTGGTTGAAGGAGGAGATGCCTGGGATTATGGGGTTGAAGAGAGTGAAGTGGAATTTTGAGAAGTTTCTGATTTCGGCGGATGGGAAGGTTGTTGGGAGGTGGGCTAGTACGTCGAAGCCGGAGGGTTTGGAGGGGAGGATCGTGGAGGAGATTGAGAAGGCGAGGAAGGAGGGGACGTTGGCTGGAGCGTCGGGGGAGCAGGCTAAGCTGTCTTAGGCACTTTTCTTTTGTTTTCTTTTCTTTCTTTTTCCCCCCTTAAATGTTTATGACGGTGTCCTGATTCAGTTGTCCGACTTGATAATTCCGTAAACTAGTATTGATACCTCGCGATAATCTATCTTTACTTTACTGTCAATTAAATCGCAGAACTACTTGGGAATCAAATTCCGTAGCGAGAGATCGTAGACAACGTCTTCAACCTTTTTGACCTGTTCATTGTTAATATACCGCATTTCCCAGTTCCTGAAAAGAAGGACTTACGCTGTACTTCATCCCATCACTCCTCTTCCGTAGCACATCGTTCTTCAAATTCAGCAACTGGAATCCCGCAAACAGATCTTTGATGAAACTGCCAATCTGCATCGGACGCGTATAATCACCAAGAGTCACGGAGTTGACAGCCAGACGGGACTACGTTAGTTAGCCATGACATTCCAATAACGAAAGAGAGTAAAATAACGAACCAATTCCTCAGCCATGGCAATCAGAGAAAGCAGATACTCTTCGATGGTCAGGTGGAAAGCATCCTCCTCTTTCAAGTTCACAGGGACTTTACATAGCACATATTAGCATCCCCTGCATAAACAAGAGACAAAACAGGGAAAAGTTACCATCCAAGAATTTCCCAACCTCCTCAATCGTTAAAAACTCACACGAGTCCGCGCCCTTGTACTCTTGGAATCCGCCCAGCCATGCGCAGAGCTCGATAGCCGTCACCTTTCCAATCAGCAACTAGTCAATAATAACAGAGGGTAGGGTGCGTACAAGATTCTGCAACTCCCGCGTCCACAGCCCGTTGTACTTGTAGAACGGATGCTGATCAGCCACGGCCTTGAGGCGGGTGACTTCTTTTTTCTGGGCAATGATTTCTTTGGTTGCACTGTCGAGGACGGGTTTTACTGTTCTTTCTTTCAGCTTTCTATCATCCAGGCGAGTAATTGGTAGGGGAGCGTACGCTGGCCAGAGGGTGTAGAATGAGCACGAGAGAGGATAGCTTGCGTCGAGCGTCCTGTACATTGTTAGTCTGCATGTCTGCATAGATTATTCGATTTAAGATGGAGATGTACCCCGTCTCGCGAGCGTCTGGACGATTTCTTGGAGTTCCTGTGTAAATTAGCTTCTATTCTTTCCTCACGCGTCAAGTCAAAGTTCAGTTTCTTAACAGATCAACATACATCACGAACGTGAGTCTCCTCGTCGATTTTTGTCTGGAGATCCTCGAAAATGCGATGGTCGATCATCTTGTCTCTGCAGAGGTAGAGTAGATATGGTTTGTGGTGTTGCGGATTGACGTCAAGAAAATATCTCAAGGCGAGAGATTGCCAACGGGAATGTTTGCTTTGTATTCACTACTGATAGTACAGGTACGTCGTACTACGAAATGAATAGTTGATAGAGCTTAATACAGCTTAATATTACATTATTGCTAAATCAAATTTGTGGAATCACTGGGTTCATGGGCATATGGAAGAGCTTTGCAGTCTTAATACGCACGCATGAAGGCGTCAAGAGCTCTTTTAAGTATAGAACATTGTAGAAAACCAAATTTAATATATTTGACATTCTAAAGCTAATCTACATGACACAACCATCTTCTCCAACCAGTCAGCAAGCCGACCGCATTGATGAAAAAGGTGTTCGCGTCTATCGGGGATAGTGTAAGCCCGATGACACTGTGCGACCGAACATGCGCAAGCACAGAGGTCCAGCCACGGAGACCAAAAATAAGATTAATCAATGTTGTGTTCCTTAGAACACTTTCAGAGATTAAACTGAAAAGAACAGATACTACACTTGATCTAAGCCAAAAGGCAAAGAGAGCTGGAAAAGAAAAGAAAAAAGGCTAAAAGAGGGGCGGGGATAGCACGGTATTTATATGTTGAGGGAAGGGATTCGTGCACGCTAGTGGTAAGCGAGGGATAAAATGAGTCATCTAAGCTGCTGCTGCATGTGACTACTACATACCCTACACCAAAAAATTAGCCCTATTACCAAATATAGACTAGTCGCTCGCACCGCGCGACGAGGGTTGGTTATCGACAAGACAGCTCGGCTCCACCACGAAGATTTCTTCTCTCGATCATCCACCAGGCGCAGGATACTCACTTCTTTGCGTTCAGTTTTCTTTTCAAAAACACCCAAATCAACCCCATACCAGTCACAATGGCCCCCGTCACTGTATGTCCTCCAAATTCATGAACCGCTTTGCTGTTCCCCCGGAAGAAATTCTGGGATCCGACATTATGGAGCAGTAGGCTAATTCCGATTTTCCTGTACATAGGCTCGTGGTCGCAAGGCCCAGAAGGTCACCCAGAAGGTATGCGCCCATTTTACATGAAATCGCAATTGAAGATGCTAACAAAGCACAGTTCGTCATCAACGCTTCGCAGCCCGCGAGCGACAAGATCTTCGACGTCTCTGCCTTCGAGAAGTTCCTCCACGACCGCATCAAGGTCGAGGGCCGTGTCGGCAACCTCGGTGACAAGGTCGTCATTTCCCAGACCGGTGACGGAAAGGTCGAGGTTGTTGCTCACATTCCCTTCTCTGGTCGCTACCTCAAGTACCTGTATGTGCACCTACAACATCCAAACCTACATGGGGAAGACAAAGTCAGGGCTAATGAAAACAGGACCAAGAAGTTCCTCAAGAAGCAGCAGCTCCGTGACTGGCTCCGCGTTGTCTCTACCTCCAAGGGTGTCTACGAGCTCCGCTTCTACAACGTCGTTAACGACGAGGCTGAGGAGGACGAGGAGTAAACTACTCTTCCACTCGAGACGAACGACAATTTACGATCATGATCCGTGCTCGGTCCATATAAGGGGTTTCCATGAAAAGACGGGAGTAAGACTGGGTCTTGGTTGGGGTATAGATGAGCTCTTGTGAGGAAATGCTTTTCCTGCGCTACGCTGGACGATCCGCGCATTGCCTGTGATAAGGCATTGTTGGATTGGTCGGTGCGGTGTTTCTACTCATGACGCTACGAATGGTAGATATAATGGAGCAGTCTGTTACCCAAACGCTTATTACACTCGTACCCACTTAAAACAGTAGATCTAGTATGAAAATGCCATGTATGTGCACTCACGACAAACCCTTCCTCTTAACCCCAGCCGCAACCTCCAAAGCCCTCTCCCTAACTTCCTCATCCTCCCCTATTCCCGTCCCCTCCGGCGGCACAAGCTTTCCACCCGCAACATTAATATTCCATCCCTTAGCCTTCAATACCTTCCACGTCTCCCCAACCTTAACTCTCACCAAATCCCCCGTCGACACTGCATCCTCCTTCGAATCATGACCCCTCTCACCACCTGTCTGAATCTCCCGCTCAAGGAACTTCCTGCAAAGCGTCTTCAGACTCATTCGGTTGGGCAGACCGCCGCGTGGAGCTGGATAGAGGATAACTGTGTCAATGACGGTGGGGTGGATGATGCGGCAGGCATTAAGATCGTTGTCGATTGCGTGGCCGATGATCGGGGTGGTGGGTTGGAGGTGGGTGAAGAGGAGGGAGCGGGCAGCGGCGGGGCAGTCAACGACTTGGAGGGTTTCGTTTGATGGAGTTGGTGTTGATGGGTCGTAGGGTACGGCGTTGGCGTAGTGTTCGGGGAAGACGCCGGAGAAGCGTGAATTGAGATCTAGGACTTCGCCCATTGGTCGAACTAGAATGTCGAGTAGGGGTTTGCCGTCAGGCCAGCTGACGGCTGTAAGGCGGATGAGTTCCATTCCGAACGTTGTATATCCCATTTCGCAGTCAAAGCATACAGGTGGTCGTGGTTTCATATCCGGCTGCCAGGGCGTTTTTTCGAACTGTAGCATTGACGCGAGACGTTTCGTTTCTGAGACCTTAAAGACATGCGTGTCGCCTTTTGTACAGCCAGACGATGCACCCAGGGATTCATTGCAGCAAGAATAGTATGCCTCCCTGGGTCCGGTGATATGCTCCGTTTGCGATTTTGGAGGGTACATCGGCTTTCCCGGATGATGGGTGCATTGCCCTCCACTCGTCAATGAACCATCAGGACGCCGTCCGGGCCAGACCTGAAATCGTCCACCGCATCGAGCACATTGCTCCCAGCCTTGGGACCCTTCGATGCCCTTCTTGGCATTCTCGATTTCCTCCTTTGACGGCGCGCGGGTGACGTAGCCAAATTCCTCGAGACCTTCTAATGGCGTGATCAGTTTCTCGACAATCGCGATTTCCTCCCTAGCACTCAATTTAGTCGTGAGATCCTTCGGTTTAGACGGCTCCTGGACCGGTTCGAACTTATAGTATCGAGCATTCAAATGCGCCTTAACCTCATTCGCCCAATCCTCCTTGCTTATCTTCGACAGCTTGACAATCCTAAGCTTAATCACATTTCCATATACACCTGGATTATCCTTCGCCGCCTTTTCCTCCTCATCGAGCGCCATAGTCACGAGCTCGCTAGGGGACAAGATGAGGTACTTATTCTCGCTCTTTTGGTCTTCCGCCAATTTGGCATTAAGCTTCGACATGGCGGAATGTAGTTTGGTCAAAATAGATAGCCGTACACCATGCGATGCAGGTGCTTTGGTGAGCATTCGAGGATTCAAGCTTTCCTTGCGCGCTTTTCTTGGTGGCAGTTGGGACGGTGTCGTCGCCTTTGTAGGCGCGGCATTCTTCCCCGGTGTTGATACCGCGCGTGAATGCGGTGGTGATACCTTTCTCGACGTTGACTGCAATTCTGCCGGATCTTGAAGAGTAAGCTTTGCGGGTTTGTCTGTTGAATTCTGTGATTCTCTTGCTGGTGCTGGCGAGGCATTCTTCCGGACCTTATCCTCCGCAGTCGCAGTCGGCTCTATCTTCCTTCGCTTGGGAACCGGCGTGCTTGTTGGGGCCGCATCTTTTGCTGATGCTAATTGTGCACTATTCTCTTTATCAAGAAAAGACTTGGTATCCTTGTGTGAAAACAAACAGACCAGAAGCGAGCAATTCTGAGCCTGAGGACATGGTATGTCCTTGAAAAGTCCAAGGGGAGGGAACATTATGATGATGATAATTGTATGGATAAGAGACCGAAAAGGAAATCTCTCACTTATGGAAAGAGCGACTGTATCATCTCTGCAATTCGATACTTCAAGCAATAGAGGACGTCATTTCGGTGTTCAGGTTGCCATAATTGGGAGATTTCGGATGGAAGTTCAGGTGATGCGCCGGCCGTGATCTTCAGAAGTGATGTTTTTTGTTCAGTAGCTCTAGAACCATAAGAACACAAGAGGATTAATAAAATAAAAGCAATAAATAACTTGAGAACAAAAGCACGAAGGGTATCCATCGACTGGCGAAGGTTGAGGACAGCCAAGGAAATCTGCAAACAAAACAAACAAGTCTATATATGCCTTATTTTTGAGGAAGAAACAAGCCAAACGACAAAACAGACGATACAAATAAGATATACAAGAATCCAAACAGACAGTACCCCCATACCACCGACCGAATTCTTGCTCACATACTGGCGTTGTCTGCATTTCGAGACTTTATAGCGGAGCCGGTACCTGGAGACAAAGTCATTTCAAGGTTGTATTTGGTGTCGGGATGCCAGGAATGTGAGCGGTTTGAGCCAACCGTCAAGTACTTATCGGCAATATGAAGGAGATTGAAGCTGTGCTCAAGGCCTTCCAGTACCCTATTAAAACGGCTTATCTCGAGACATATCTTGCTCGCCTTCAATAGTCGGTCAATTAGACAAAGAAGGACTCGCGGGGTCTGCGAAGGCTTCCTGGGATTCGAACTTGCTCCAAGCCTCCAACCGTTTAGACAAAGGCGTATCGCTAAAGCACTAAAAGAAACGCCTACATGTCGGTAGGGTCAGGTCTCGCGAGACAAACCTCAACACCCCAGGATGGCGATTGTCAAGCAAGCCGATACCTCGACGCTTCTGGTTTATACACTTCGACTCTTGCTGAATGGCCTTTTCTGTTTCATTTGACATGCAATTCAGGATGCCCTGCTGCCTTAGGAGCACCCCGTTGTAGGGATTCTGGGGCTGGTTGAACATATTATCGACCATATCCGCGCTATCCTCCTTCACTTGTTCGAGGTCGACGATGTATAGCTTTGTCTTCTCTAGCAAGGTATTGGCGAGTGTTCTTGTCTAGCAGAGGTCTGCCTAGCATCTTGATCATCCCGGCCTATACCCTGGTTAAGTCGCTCTTCTGGTCGACATCTTGGCTGAGCTGAGTCCTTAACGTTGAAGTCTCGAATAAAAGCTCTGTTCCTTTGTTCATCGGTTTCGCTCTTCAGCCCATTCAATCCACCAAAACAATCAACCTGTCGGTAAAGTCAGGCCCTTCAGAGGAAGTCTCAACACGCCCGGATTGTAATCCTTCAGTATAGTCAAGCCCTGAAGGAGAAATCTCAACACTTCTGGTCGGGAAAGGCCCAGAATGGCAGCTCTTAAGACACTTGATCAACCTAGACGGCTTCATAAAAATGCTCGATAAAATTGCACTTCGGAAGTGTGACTTGCAAGCAAGCAAGCGCAAAAGGCAATGGAGACTGTAGCCATTCTAATGGGTATGTTTTGAAACCTGAAGTAGTATTCATTTAACATTCTTACTATTGTTCCTCTCCAAGAACCGCACCAAAATCTCACAAAAATATAGCATAGACGCTATAGCGCTCACAGTCCCACCATAAAAACCCCTCAGAAACTGAAACGAGCTATACTCGTCTTGAATTCCACAGAATAGCATTGGTAGACCAAACGCTAAGCTGGCATGTCGTATGGAAGCTATTTGATAATATTAGCCGGGGCTCAAACTAGAAGACTGTGTGCTTGTATATGTTCGACTGGAGGATCATCTAATCTAACATTCTCCGAGCTGAACCACGATGATATCCGCGAACGACGAATAACACAGACAATATGATTGAGTGGATGGTGATTCCAATTTGGATTTATTGCGATGTTGATAATATATAATCCAAAGGGAGGGCCGGAGGGTGCTTTTTCAACATATAGAAGTCGACAAAACCTGCGGTTAATGCATGCCACTCTGCCTGCATGCCTTCCTGGACCGTTCGATACAGGAACGTTCCAACCTCCCCAAAGACCCCCCTGAAAATATTCACACCCGCATAGCGAAGGTAATTTGAACGTCCAAATTGCCATTGGCTGGCGATTTGTTGCGCAACATCCAGGACAGCATCATGTTTAGAAATGAGGATATGGTTAATATATGCTCGGACTTCACTTGGACCTGCAGATCCGGGGGAAGAACGACATTTTCCTCCATCTTACTCCCGTTATGGGAGGAGAATGAGAATTGACGGGGTGTGTTCATGGAAAATCGTGGAAGAAACTGGGCGACAATAATTTAGAAAGCTCTGGTTTGTCTTGGAACATTGCTTAATCCTGAATCATGTGTTGCGCCACGGCCTAAATACAGAAGAACCAAGCACATAGAAAATGAGCAACCGAACTTATAATTGTGCTTCTTAGTTTTGTTTTAGCTTTGGTCATATCGGTCTATTACTGGTATGTGAGCAAGGCTGACTACTTTATGACCACTTCATCCTGAACCGGAGATTCGTATAGAGTCAAGAAGCCAAAGTTTGGAGTAAGGATATAAAGCAAGCATGTAGTATTGATTAATGATGGCATAATCAGAAAGAAGAGCAGAATGAATAATGACAATATCTAAATCAGGAAGCTCCCCCAAGACCCACTACAAATAACTACATAGTTAACGTACTTAGTTACGCTAATGCCTTATTATGCCTTATCCACCAGGCAACAATGCCAAGCAGCTTATCTTTAGGTTGCAACAATATCGTAAGATAAGGGCACACTAGCCTCAGGCTCATAGAAATGCGACGAGGGGCTCAATTGAAAATCCTACTTACCCACTCCTTGCGCTGCGAAGAAAGTCACTGCAACTGATCTATTCTGGAATGGCTTCAACGAGTGCGTCTTCGGCAGACCATCTTTGCGTGCTCGTTCACGGGTATGTCCACTTAACTTCCCGTTCCTGCTGACTAAGGATACGGGGTTGACTGACGTTTTGGTATTGAGAGGAAAAGGTTATGGGGAAATCCAACGCATTTGGACTATGTGGCTGCAGCGTTGAGGGAGAGATACGGGGCTGATCGTCTGCATATTCTGGCTGCCAAGCGAAATGCAGGGAACTTCACCTACGATGGTATCGAGTTGGGTGGGGAGCGGTTGGCGCACGAGATCGAAGATACACTGAGTGCGCTGAAAGGGCAAGGATATACGATCAAGAAGCTGAGTGTCATAGGCTATTCGCTAGGAGGCCTTGTAGCCCGGTACGCGTTAGGGTTGCTCTATGCACGCGGATGGCTGGATAAGCTGGAACCTGTTAACTTCACGACGTTCGTAACGCCGCATGTTGGCGTGCGCACTCCGTTGAAGGGCATACAGAACCATATCTGGAATGTGTTGGGGGCACGGACGATCTCTATGTCCGGAAGACAACTGTTTATGATCGATTCGTTCCGGGACACGGGTAAGCCCCTGCTCAGCATTCTGGCTGACCCCGAGAGTATCTTCATCAAAGCGCTGGCGCGTTTCAAGCATCGATCAGCCTATGCGAATATCGTGAATGATAGGTCTGCTGTATTCTACACGACTGGACTTTCTAAGTTCGACCCGTTTCCGGACCTGGAAACCACCAACTTCAACTACGCCAAAGGCTACGAGCCAGTCGTCATTGATCCAGACGTATACACCCTTCCTCCGGAGGGAAAAGAACTGAACCAACTTGGTTCCCACGCATGGCACAAGATGATGCGGATCATTGCCAATCTCCCATTCTGGCTTTTCCTCCTCTTCTTTGTCCCCGTAGGCTCGTTTATTTTCCTCCTGAACGCCGTCGTACAAACCGTGCGCAGCCGTCAACGCATCCGTCTCCATGAACAGGGAAAAACGGGGGCCTCTTTCGGAAGCTACCGTGTTCCACTTTTAGTCCAGGATGTTCAAAACGCTGTTGAAGACGTCTTTGAAAACGTCAACTCAAGCCAAGACCCTGACTACCTCTCCCCGGCTGACGAACAGGACGCTGAAATTCCCAAAGACGAGCACATTTTGTCACAATTATCCCCCCAAGCACCAGGAATCGTACAAAATGGATCGAAATACCCCGTTCTGGCCCTTACATCCGCCCAATTCGCCATTATCGACTCGCTCAATGCAGTTGGATTTCGTAGATACCCTGTCTACATCCACAAGCACCGACACAGCCACGCAGCGATTATCGTACGAATGCCAAAGAAAGGATTTGAAGAGGGTGAGGTTGTCATCAAGCATTGGCTCGACAATGGGTTTGTGGTTTGAATATCCAAGGCGGACAATAAAATACTTTGTACATTGCTTATTCCCTTCCCTCTTGTAAACATATCACCAACGCGAATGTTCAATATGCTCCTCCAAGGTGTCTGTAGCAGCGAAATGTCTTCGGTACGAACTGAGGAGAGTTCCCGCAGTGTCAAACAAAATCCTCCAGCGTCTGGTGATGGTATTGCGCAATAGCAGTAGCAATCACATCTTTGAGTTGGCTTGTAGACGAACAGTGATCTCCCCCTTATACCCTAGTACCCTGTGGGATCTAGAGCCTTGATGGCAAATCCTTCTCATTTTTATCCAGGTTGTGGTGTGCAATAGTGTTGTTGGCAACTCAGGTGCGTGCTAGTATGATCCGGTATCCCTGTTATAGCGCGTCTCGAATATAGGTGACAATCCTCCTTTCCGTAGCTTTCAGATGCCATTGATCACCGATAATAGGGCTCGAAGCTGGGTGAGTTGCTGTATGGAGCTAAAAGGAACTCAAATGCTCTAATAACCAAAGATATGGTTGGATTGACATCCTCAGTAATAAATGGAAGAGGCGAAACTCGTTCCAACCAAGACCCTTGAGGAAAGGTTTTCATCGAGAGTCACCGGCGACTGTCGTATACCGGCGGCATCATATAGATCAAATGTGCCAGGTGGTGAATAACTGGAATAGAGCACCTTTTCAAGCAGAGGGACCCTGTAGAGATGAAATACATGGCGATCAGAGCCAAGAGTTTACGGTTCAAAGCAAACCCAAGCCAAGAGTGAAGCTGTACTTTCATTACCATGTAGAAACACAACGATAATCCGACACTCTTCTCCCTCACATTATCTCCTCTGCCGCTGCATCGCAAGAGTCACTCAAGCACGTTCCCGACACGAGCTTAAATTATCAAAGCCCCCTCTGCAAGTAATAATCAACAAGACCGTCCATTTTTGAGGCATATTGATAACTCATACTACTCCCAAAGGGACAAGAACTTCCTCCAAATAGCCACCGCGGCAAGCGAGAAGCAAAGCATCTCAGTGACGACACAAACCATTTTTTTCTTGCTTTGCAAAGGCCAGCCAGATTTAGATGCGGTATCCTGAAGTTCGACGATGTCCAAGATGTAACTGAGAAGGACACACAGAGCCACAAGCAAGTACAGTCTGGCGTTGGTCAAGTTTGCGAGGAGGACTATGGCGACATAGATTGACAGGTTGCCAACGCTCAAAAAGGCAATCATGGGGTTTGAGCGGAGGATTGAGCAGAGAATCGTTATGATGGAGGATGAGGACATAATTATTGAAGTGTGTTGAAGTAAAGTTTATCGAAGAGATAGATATTGAGATTCGAGATGGAAGCGAGGGTGGTGGTTGACAGTAAGAAGAGAACGCATGAAGGAGCTTAACTACTGTAGGTGCTGAATAATACGCAGAGTTGGTCGTCTGCAGGCCGTCACGAATATCCAACTATGTATTCTACAAGTACAAGAAATCCAAAGTTTAGTTGAAAGACAGGAGTATGTAGCCTGTCAGACAGATAATCCAATTGGGTATATAATAACTATAGGGCTATCACAAGAGTTCTCAAGAAACAAGCTCATCCATGTCTCGCGTATACTCCTTCCTCTAAGATGCACCGAAAATGGCGATCATTGATTAGGACGAAGTTGCAAACGGAGGGTTTGCGTAGATAAATATGGTGACTGGAATCAAAAGTTTACAGTTTGAAGACGAAAGGAAGTGAAGTGAAATAAATGAATCTTGACATTTATGACTAGTAGTGCATATTGACACCGATTGATCTTAACTGTCACTCTAGCTGACGCTGGCCCAACAATAATCCGATCCTTCTGTCACGGTACATCTGCCTCTCCTACACCATGTTACCCACACAAACCGCGTGGGTGTCTGCCGTCTTCATGACATGAACACTGCTGCAGGTCATCATCAGCCAAAGCCTTTCCAAACCACATATGTCATGCCTCAGCGTACAACATACAAACTCCCAGATATTTTTCGCCTTCTGATGAATAAAATCAATAAAAAGAGTGAAATAAGCGGCCTCTACGAGCAGACACAACAGTCTCTGCTGGTACGGCAGAGACCAGCCACAAACATTTCCAAAGTGATAAGTTTCTTGGATCTCTAGGGCATAGCGAAAAAAGGCACCCAAAGCAGGCACCTAGTAGGTTTTAGGGCCCGCTAAAACAGCAAGCAGGAACACGAGGGTGGAGTTGGCAAAGACGTTTATCATAGTGAAACGCGATAGTGCCATTGGATGAGCGAGGGTTCACCATCGTGAAGTGATGGAAATGGAGATTCAGAGGATAAAGAACTGAGAAGATGGAGCTCGACGGATATAAGAGAAGAGAACTGATTATGGATGTGGTTGACATGACGAGGGAGGAGCTGTCAGTTGTAACTACTGTAGGTGTTGAATAATGCATATAGGGCTGCTTGTGCCACGGGAGAATCATCTATGTATGCTACAGGTATAGGACACCAATACATGGAGCAGGTTTTATTGAATAATAGGAGTATTTAGTCGGCTTGGATACATCTCGTAAATTGGTATGTAGAAGCTATAGGGCTATCATGAGGGTTACATTCTGGTATAAGAGCGCCAGGGCTGCTGAGCTGTAAGCTTAGTTTGCTTTACCAGACTCTCATTCTTAGGACACTCAAATGTTCTCAAGATTCTCTCTGTGGCGTCATCAATTGACTAATTTGGAACAGGAGGAACCTGTTTTCAAAGGACCTTGCACAGACGAGTTATGTGGTGAGTCAAGTCTTGATCTGAATGCAGTCCAATTAAAGTCCATATTATTGAAATAGCATTCTCATCCTTGGAAACACAGTCCATCAATATAAATTGCTCTTGTGACTGGTTTGACCACAGTACGACAATTTTGATGACTGTCCAGTCCTTCTACTCCTCTCGCCACATCAAGTTATCCTCCCATGGAAAATCCCTCGTAATGTATCCAAGATCACTTAACTTTCTCGCGTCAGTATTGTATATTCATCGTAATTGTCGTAGCTAAAGCACCTATTGTAATCAATCAGCAAAATACCCCCAAAACACCTCAACCCAAATGTAAACCCACCATATCAGATCCTCCCCATCTCTCGCCGAAAAATAACCCAGACAGCAAACGAGAACGAAAATGTTTGAATAGCAGTGCAGACCACAAGTTTCTTATGCGCCGTCACCCAGCCGAACTCTTGAGCACCATCGTAGACATCGACAAGGTCCAAGGCGTAAGTCATCAGGACCCAGAGGGCCACGATCAAGGCGGGTCTGGGATGTAGTAGTCTCGCGAAGATCCAGACAATAGTGCTTGCGAGGACGACGTCTGAGCTTGTGGATAAGGCGAGGTCTCTGTTGGATGGGAGGGGCATGGTGGTGATGGTAGGAGGTTTGGTTTGGCGGTGGTTGATGGTACTTATGGGCGGCGTTGATGAAGTTGATGAGTTGGTGGTGGTTGAAGATGGAAGGTTTGTAAAGATGAAGAAAGATGTTGATTGAAAGAAATCGAGAAATTCTCGAATATGTATATGCTGAATAATACAGGGTTGAGGCTGGTGATGTTTGAGTCCTGCGCCACCGTAGATGAAGGGACATAAGGCCCTGACGACTCTGTATGTACCCTATGAGAATGTTAGAGGTATTTTTATTCATAAGATTAATCCACGGGTCATACAAAGTAGAATTCATCAACCCCAACCGTCGCATCAACCACTTGGACAACAACCTGATATCCTCCATAATAGTCATATCCGTACCCTCAGCTACTCTAACACATCATCCATGTAGTATCGTATACCGTATATATAGAGAACAGCCGTATAGGAAGATATCACCGCCAATAATCGACACGGGTACCTGGTGTCGTGAGTCATAAGATCAGCCAAAGCGTATCTCCAAACCCATCTATCAGACCTCGAGGCACATATTTCATCTACCTGATTACCCAGAGGGCGTTGCCATTTTTGGGCGATAGACCAATGGGGATTTGCATCGTGGTGATAATTTGTGATGATTGTTTGAGGTGGTAAGATAGGAAGGAGTTGAGCTTGAGGTGAAGTCATGGAAGAAGCTTGGGAAAGACATCTAGATGCTGAATAATACTTCGCACTCACCCTGCATCAGACACGGGTATGATGGAGCAGATAATCAAAATACAAGACCATGCTGGTATTTAAACGTCGAGGTAATTGAAAATAGAAGTACAAAGAGTGGTAATATAAGCACGGACTTATAAGACCGACCCCATAGGGCTATCTGGCATATACCAAGAACGAGAATTATCTAGCTATAGATTTGGTTTCTATTAATTCTCACACTCACGAGCCTCATCCATATTCCTCAGAATCAGGTCGATTCAACTCAATATAACCCCATCCCCGACAATCGTATCCAGTAACCTCGCTGCCTGCACTGTACTGTAGAATTCCTGCCACCATAACATATTCCCAACCTATATCTTACATATGGCAAGGACCCGCATCGAAGCATCTATCGCAACCATCAGTCAGCCCACCAGGCCAATCAATCAATCAAATCAGCACGCATAAGGCTAACAAACCTCCCTCCGTCTCTCCCTAATCCTGTAATAAATACTCCCTAACGTAGCTAGATAGTAGAAAATTGAGATAAGATGACACGCCAAATTCTGTTTCTCGAGAAGTGGCCAGCTTGGGATTGCGGCGTCGATGAGGGGGATGTAGAGGGAGACTATGCGGTTCCAGAGGATCATTGTGGTGTTGTGTTGTGTAGTGGTGGTATTTAAGAGATGGGAAAGGATACGAGGAAGAGATTGTGCATGTTTGAGAAGTAATGGAAAGATATTTTATGGGTCCATTAAGTCGAACCTATTAAGGCTCGCTCGTAAGAAGAAGCTCGTCCATCCCAGGATCCTTAACCCAGCAACAACAACCTAATCTCCTCCCCGACAATTGTACCCAGTATTTCTACTGTCTGTACAGTACCACTGACCTGCTGTCACCATAAATTATCCTCCAGGCCTCCATCAGCCTCGTCTGTACGGTGGGAATCGCGTCGACAAAGTCCCTATTACAGACCATCAGCAACAACATCCACTGGACCAAAGACAAGCGCACACGCACCACTACATCGCAATGACTTCTCCCACACCCTCTTATATTGAAGCCCATAGCAATCAGGGGGGAAGAAAAAAAAACCATATCCACACACGCAACCCTGTTTCTCATCAAGCGGCCAACTCCGCTGCGTGTTACTATCTTAAGTGTCGATCAATGCTAGCACGAAGTATCCCAAGAACCAGAGAGCTTTCGCGGCGCCAAATGAGTGATGGATTCAAGTTTCAATGATCACTGCAAGGCTTGACATTGTGACATCGAAGATGATGAGAAAGGAGTTTGTGTTGACGTGGAGGATGTTCGTCATCTATTGCGATTCCATGATTGTTGAGATAAATGAGAAAGAAAGGAGACTCTTGGTTCAGCAGGAGACGAAGAGAGGTTTGCAGGGACTGAGATCAAGGTAGTTGGCGCGCAAGGAAGGTTGTATGTGCTGAATAATACGCAGCCCTGAAGCATACACCAAAAACACACATTCAACCTACATCAAGTGTGAGCCATTCGTCCCATCCCAACCCAACCAGAAAACAAATAATCTACCTCACAACATCCACACCCTCCAAGCCCAGATCCCTATCCCCATCCCCATCCATCCCAGCAACTGCAATTGCAACTGCAAAATAAACCTCCACCAAGTCCAACACATAATGCGCCAGCAACCAAACCGCCACAATAAAGCTAAATATCGGATGGATTCATGTCGCAAAGAACCAGACTATAGCGGTTAATATTATGGCGCTTCGGGTTGTTGTCCAGGCGAGGGTGTTGATATCGTTGTTGTTGGAGAGGAGCGTTGTGAGAAAAGTTCTAGTACCGGATGGTAGGTCCATCATAGTTTAGAGGATTCAATGGGGGAAAGAATCAAATACAAGTAGAGGAAGATCGGTTGGTGTTGGAGTTAGTGGGAGATGAATCATTAGTTTCCAATAACAGTAGTGGGAAGTGAAGAGTCTCCATTCATCGGCGTGCTTCGCGAATAAATCGGTCTATGTACGGAGTACGCCGCACACCGGGGGTTCAATATGATGGTTACTACGGGAGAAATGAGCTTTCTAATTATGTACTATCTAAATGCCATTTGCGATGCAAATTAACGATATTATATAGAAGCTGAATAAGACTCAGGGATTTACTGCTGATCCTGGATCCTGGAACCCCACTGCGGAGTGACGCCAGGTACGGAGCAGTGTACAATGGAGCAGATACTCGAAAGACAGAGATATGAACTAGTTATTTGGTATTAGATCGGGTATGTGTATGGTTTTGTTGTCACTGCTCTATGGGTTATCTTGGTATATCCACTTAAAACAGTTATAAACAAGAACGCGTCAAGAAAGCAATGTCATAGGCCATGGAACGACGTAGTATATTTATCGACACTCCGGATGCCAAATGCGCGTCTGTCGGGGAATCTTGTGTAAACATATATACAAAGAATTGTATATATATGTGTAAAATAACCAAAAAGAAAAGAAAAAGAAAAATAGAGAAAGGCCTTAGTTGCGAAGACAAGCAGACTCCGAGTCAATCCCAGAATCCACATCATCAACCTCGTCCTTGTTCTTAGCCTGCTCCCGCTCAACAGCATATTTAACCGCCTCGAGAACATTCTCGCAAGTATGACCGGGCTGATACCGCGGCGTAGCACCATCCTGAAAGACACCCGTCTTCACAAGAAGCGACACCCACTCGGCTTCGCTAACGTCATTGAACTCATTGGTACCACGCACATCCGACTCGGGGGTATCGCCGACGAAGTAAACGGCGCGCGGGGGCTTGTTGATACCGTGGGTATCCTTCCGCCACTGCTGCAGCAGACGCATGGCGAAGTGGTACGTACCGAGCTGCGGTTTTCCAAAAGCAATGGTCGACAATTCCCGGCCTGTGATGGCCTTGTAGACGGCTTCGAGGGATGCCCGCAGGGCACCCATTCCAAGACGGCAGTGTTCATGAGAGGTAGCCCAGACAACATCGGTGTGGGAAAAGAACACGGGGGGACCCTCGTTGCCGGTTTGCGAGCGAGTGCCCAAATGACCATTTACACTCATCAAACAGTCAAGAATGATCTGCTGATCACCAGCCCAATCCCGGCTATCGGCAAAGACAAAGACAGCTTCGATCTGAGTGTTTTTCAAGTCTCGAAACCGCGAGTTTTTGTACTCATCATCGGTTAACCGGCGAAACGGTGTGGTGTCGTCCCTCGTCTTGATAATATCCCCGGGGGTAATCACGTCCTTGAACCCGTATCCCTCTGCAACAATTCGACATTTCTCTCCTTCGCCGCCGACGACCAGCACGGTGTGGTACTTATCGGCCATCTCACGCATTGGGGTGTGGCCACAGATGAACTGGCCAGGTGAGATATCCAATTGTAGTTGTTTGCTGAGATCGAGGCATCGTTCTTGTTCGGTCTTGCCACCGCCGTTGGTCACGAAGATATACGGTCTAGAGAGTCAACATGGGAACTGAACTGAGGAATGCTTTCAGAATGACAAGGCAAAAACATACACCTTGATCGAATAAGGGTTCTCCCCGTTAATGTATTTCAAAGCGTCAATGGCCTCCGGAATAGGCTGTCCTCCTCTCAATAAAACACCATCGATATCGAAAGCGAACGCAAAGTTATCAGAGACCGTAGCAGGCCCGTTTGAGACGAGTGAGACGCGGTCTGCATTCTCATGGTTCTCGACGTACTGTTGTGCCGTGTGTCCTACCATAGTGTATATGTGCGTATGTATATGTCTAGGTGTATGAAAAAAGAAAGGGAAGAGGAAGATATAAAGAGTTGCCAAATTTGTCTAGTTCAATTTCTGGGGAAAAGAGAGATGGGGGGGGGAGGTCGCCGAAAAGTCGGGCCGGGGTCTTTCGTACAGCCCCGAAAACGTTGGCGGGTGGCCAAGTCCATTCTTTTCTTCTTTTTCTTTTTTTCTTGGAACTGACAAATCACGCAAAGGTTGAAAGAGTCTTGATGTGGGTCTGATAAAGCGGGCCTGAGAACTGGCTTGCAATTGGAGGTTGCCAGATACTGTATTTGGTATGATATCAATTGCTAATCATCATTGTACTCGGTACTGAGTGATATCTATCTGAACCGGTAGATAGCATCATTACTCTGCGGAATTGCACTACAGTCATTGATATGGACTCGCAACGACTGTTATCGATAACGCCCTGTGCAACCACGCCCAAATCGTATTCCGCTGATTGGCCAGAAAACTCCACAAACTCTGAGCTAGAATCGGTCTCCGCACCAACGGGATGACGTCGGGTGGGCCTGTCTCGGTAACGGTTTGATGGCGTTCCATTTTTAGTTAGTACTTGCTTGTATTCTGTAGTATGCATGCAGCTCGTATTCAATGGGGGAGGGCGAGGGGTACACGTGAAGATAGAGAGGTCAGTGCCTGGAATACTACAACGTAGAATATATATTTCTGTATAGATATATAGGAGTATCAGGAAGGACAGAAGTGCAGATAGAAGAATCAGATCAGTGGCAAGAATAAGATTCTGGGCGTTCCACAATGCTAACCAACCAATGATAGCCATTTTATCGCCCGCAATCCGGTTTCTGATGTCAACCAGGGACTATCGGCGATCACAGTAATCAATATCAAAACGTCACCTCAACAAAACCGGAAAGGAAAATTATGTAATTATGTACAAGTCGTTAATGTCATATCATAAATCATTTATAGAAGTTCCATTAGTCCACCCGTAATATCAAATCCGCACCTTCCCTCGACGGCGTCAAATTACGCTCAAACACCGACTGTCTCTTGGCAGGTTTACGGGTGATCGTTTTTTCAACGGTAGGAATGGAAGTACCCATTGACAATGACGTCGGGGTAGTCATAGTACTACTACCAGCAGTAGTAACCTGTGTCAGGGAGTTTCGACTAGGCTCATTCCAATAATCATCGGGTGAATATGGAGAACTCATAACGGGGGTGTTCTCACGGGACTTGCCACGGCGGATCTCAACTCGCTTAATATCATGCTGACGGACGATGCGTGGTCTGGAGACGATTTCACGTGTTGGTTCGAGATTGGGGGTCTGAGGATTGGGGTGGTAAAAGCGCTGTTGCGGACTCCCTGTGGAGAACCCTATCCGGTCCTGCGGACTAGGGTTGGAGAGGCTGCATGTTGGGGTCCTGCTTTCTTCGCGGACGGGGGTGAGTGGTTTGAAGATGCCTGAGTGGCGGGATATTCGGGGTGATTCGAGGCTGTAGTCGAATCCAGTGTTGCTCCATCTTTCGGTTGATGGACTGGGATATGAACGACGGTTTGCAATGCGAGCTGGTGGTTGGGGTTGGTTGGTGTCGTAGTCTTGCCAGTAGGAGTAGTTATCGTCGTAACCGTCATCTGACATGGATGGATGTGAACAACGTTCTGGCGTCGCTGTTACGAAAGAAGATAGCCTGGACTCGGGTTGGAGATAAGTCGGCCTCAAAAGACTATCTTGACTCCGTTTAGGTGGTAAGTGATCATGTGATCCGAAGCCATACATCATGGCTCGAGGGTTAGCTGGTAGTCCAGCCATTGGTCTTTTACTATTCATTGGCCTGGGGCCTAGTGGGCCAGAGAAGTTAGTGTAGCCATTGGACAGATGGCTCTTGGGTTGAGCGACATCTTCCTCGAACATGGTAAGCGCATCGCTGTTCGATCTTGAGGGTCTTGGTCGGACCCATTTCAATGGCTCAGGCAACAACTCTGGTTTCTCCGGTAGCAACTGATCAGATCTCGTCCGTTGAGTCGCAGGAACACTCCGCGGTGTGTCCGCTTCATCAAACACAAATTGCGGTAACGCATGCGCAGTCCGTTCTGGTTCCTCACCAAACCCACCTCCCCTTTCATGATAATGATCATTATCCACGTCCGTCACAACAACAGCAGGATTCGGATTCGCAGGTTTTGGCGTAGGCAGAAATGGTGACATCAACCTCGATGTCTCCGTAGTCTGGATCCGATCTGGAGATTTGGGCGGAGGTCGCGGACGGTAACTGTTGGGACCGGGAGTCGGTCGTCGAGGTGGTGTGTCGAAGTCCGGAGGCTCTGACATTCTTCCCCCAATTTCGAAGTAATGTGCATCGTCTGCTTCTTTGCGCTTGCGTCGCATTTTCCGCCACCAGAAGAAAATGGCAATTCCGATGAGGAAGGATCCTGATAGCCCCGAGGCAAGTGACACACCTACGACCCCCCCTGCGCTGAGTGAATTGGAATCTTGATCTTCATCTTCATCTCCGCTGGCTTCTGGCATGGAACTGGGAGACTGAAACTGAGACTCAGTAACACTACTCGTAACAGAAGCAACCCCCTCCGACCCAGTCGTCGACACCGGACTCTGGAACGACGTAAGAACAGGCGAAGTCACAGAAGTCTCAAACCCAGAAGCTGTCGTTCCTGAAGCCGATGCTGATATTGTTGGCGCATTCGTAATACCAGAAACCGCAGTAGACGTCACACTGGGCACCAGTGTAGCAATAATAGTAGCATGGGTCTTAGAAACAGCACCCTTCACCCCGTCGCAGATTTCATAAACATCGTCGCCTGACTTTTCCACCACATCGTCCGAGCAGTAACTCAGTATGCATTGTACAATGCCTTCTCCTAGTGTATACCCATTCTCTGTCTTCGTTTTGCAGAAACAGTCTGTGTTTGATCGGTTTGGACATTCACTTGTCGGGAATTGGGATTCTATAAATCGTTCGGCACAAGAGAAAGCACAATCAGGGACGTTTTTGGGAAGCGATACGTTAGGCGCGCCGGAGACGACATTTAGCAAAGTGAGTAGTACAGGGATAAAACGCGTCGTAGATATTCGGATCTGCGTCAAGGGAAAGAGTAACATATTGGGACAATATCTCTAAAACCCATAGTTCAAATTGGAAGACGAAGGACAGAGAGAAATGGAAAGAGGAAGAGAGCGCTCTTCCCCACGCAATTCCGGATCGAACTAATTGAGATATTAACCATTTTTTATCAGATGTAGTAGAACATCCTTAAAATAGTCTGTTCGCTGTCTTTGAGTGGTTGGTTCAGCCTTAGATGCAGGGTATGTAGGGCGCTACGCTGGACTCTGGAGAGGGCGCTTAAGTCGCGGTGTCTGGGTTATTGGTCCAGGGCTGTTGGCTTTGTTTGTATGTTGTTAGTTGGAGGATTGGTATTATTTACTTTCTTGGATAAGAGTTTTAAAGTGAACTGTAACACAAATAGCCTTTGTACAGACCTGGAGACATGTCTGGTTTCAGTGTGGGGTGAAAGATTGATCTACGCATGCTGCCATTCTGAGACAGCTTCGAGCATTCTATAGCAATTTATAGCAGACAATTCACACCTTTGCTTTATGATTCCCTTTTTGTCGCATCTGTCAACCATATTCAAACGAACTTGTCTCGCAACCATCGTCCTAGCAGTAGCGTGACTCCATAGAAGCCATTATCACCCGACTGACCATCTTATTTTCGGGCCATTATGAACGAAGAGGCAAACATGGAGAAACCCCAGGAGCCGCAGACAAAGCTATCTAGTCATCAACGGAAGACACTAAAAGAAAAGGACTTCACACACCAAACTGAGCCGCAGTTTCGCTGATCAACAGTTCAGCTGTCTGCAATCCAGATCCCACAAGAAAAGCAATTGCGATAACTTGTGGATTTCGTTTCAGTTCAAAGTAAGCATGGTAAGCATTCCAGACATAGTTTGCTGATCTTAATGTGTTATAGGCATCGAACTAGATCCAGGCACCCAATATATAGCAAAACAATTAACACTGAGATCATCGCGGCGTCAAAAAAAA